TTTAATATATTTATTGATTAAATAATAAATATCCGAAAACAGCCACTTTAAGTATTAAGCGAGAAATTTTTTTTTTATTTCAAATCTGAATTAGGTACCAATCATTTTACTTATTAGCTTTAAAATATATTATTTATGTGGTTTATTCTATATATGTACACAATTGTTGATTTATATATTAAAAAATGTCACTTATTATTTTACATCAACAGCTATGTACCTGTAAAGTAATTTAAGGTCTCATTAAATTATCTTTAATAGCAAAGTATCTATCTATTAAAGACAAAGGCATACCTTACATGGAAACTAATTATCAACGAATAAGTATCGCAATACAGCGAGGAAATGCTGCCAGCGTTAAAGGTACACTGCCAGAGGGACTAAACTTTTTAAACTTGTTTTAATTTTCTTTTTATTAATTTTTAATTATTTTTATTGTTACTATGTAGCTTACGAAAATTGTAAATACTATATATTTGATTGTTATGATTACTAGAGTTTATTAATTAAATAAATCACATATGAAATCTATATAAAAATTTACTATACTTTATTATTAAATAATATTATTCTTACTGAGGTTCAGAATATTGTAATTACTGTATATTTACGTGGAATTAAATATTCCTGACATGGAAACATTACTTCAATGTTAGTTATGAATAGGTTAAGTTGTAAGAGTCGAGAAAAAATTTAATAAAATTACTGGCTGAGTTCACAAGAGTTGCTTGCTATATTGTTAGTTATAAGATCATTGTATACATATATATATTTTTAATGTTTTATGTAGGCTAATCGGTTTAGGTATTATTGTGTCGTTCTATCGCATTAGTAGTAACTGTTAATATAGAATAATAATGTGGAAATAAATAAATAAAAATATACCTATTTTTGTATACAAATTGAAAAAATATACTTCCAAGTATCATGTTGTGTAAGTTATCCAGTTGTATCAAAATCGAATATGACGATAAAATGTGAAATAGCGGTGTCTAATTAAATGAGATAAAATGCCTAACTGTACCATAACAATGACCACTTGCTGGCATTATCCCAAACATTAGTTACTACACGTGGTAATATTTTCATATTTTTTTATGAGTAACGAGGGCTTGGGCACTCCCATCAGAGGGGAACCATTGACGCGCATCTCTCAATGGCATAGGAAGTAGGTCACCATCGTGACGTCAGTCGTGGCCTACATACAGTTCCCGGGCCCGCGTGGATTACTTGTAAGGGGCTCTAAATATAGAGTGGAAGGATTACAACCTCATTAGTAGATTTTGACGAGTACTCCCGCTAAAGTTTGACAGGAAACTTTTGGCAGCTACAATTTTTTTTTTGAGCTTAAATTTCCAAAAGCCATTAACAAATATAATGCATAGCAAAGATACAAAGAAAATATTCTCATTTTGTTTGATTTATTTATATTTACCTACGGCTTATACTGACCGATGGCTAATTTATATGATTGACTGTTTATAATGTATAACTGATATTTTCTATTTTTAAATATTAATTTAATTGTTTCAAACTTCTAGTTTATTTATATTTCATTCTCAAGACTATTGACATATATTTATATTTCTAACACACAAATATACAATCTTCTTTACCTACATAGTCATATTAATAATAATTAAAATGTGTTCTATGTATCAAAGAAAATTAAAACAAGTTTAAAAAGTTTGGCCCCCCTGTGGACCTTTTAAGCTGGCAGCATTTTTTCGCTTTTCCTTTACTTATCGAAAGCAAAGCACCAGCTCTGGGGTCATGGGTACTATCTACCAGGCACCGAATTAAATTTTTAATCTTTTATATTATGAACCATGTAACATCAGAAAGTATTTTTGAGTTAGATTTCAGCATAGATCATTTTAATATTGTCTTTGCTTCACACGAATGTTACCTGTTGACAGGACAAGAAAGTTCAAGTTATGTAAATAATGTAATAAATTCGTAAAATATAGTTTAATTATTTTCATAGATCTTATTTTTGTTACTTCTAATAGTAAATATGTATATGCAATATGCATACCTATTTCGTTTTCCCAAACGGCAAAAATTGGATTAATTAAATGAAAGATAAGAATAAACGTTGTCACGCCATCCATTTTACTAATTACCTGAATCTCATGGGACGTGAATAGGACTTGCTATAAATATAACAATTAGAATAGCTTTAGTGAACTTACTAATTTTAGCCTTTGAAGCTATAATTTAAACTTCAAACATGTCGTGTGAACTTTATCACTCATGATTAAAGTCTACATGAAATATTATATTGATTTTTCGCGTAAGGCGTTGTAAAAGGTTAGTGCATAGTAGCACACAACTATTATTTTAATATTCTTATATTTTAATAAGCCAAAATAGCTAATAAAAACAATGCGATCAAATCAAATTAAAATGTATTAAAAGTGAAGTTCAAAGCACAACAGTAGTTGGCTAATTTTAAAACAGAAAACATTTCCATTTATAACTGAGTTTGAAAAGTTATCGATAGAAGAAAATGTTACGTCATATCGAGCACAATGCTACCCACAGCGCACACGTTATCAACTCCGCTCTACTTCTCTATTGTCCACATCTCTTTGTCTATGCCGCTTTGTGTAGTCGTGACGTTGACGTAGGAAGTAGCATAATGAATATTATTGTTAACGTCACACCCACCTGTGTCCGTTGGGGAACAAATGAAAGTGTGAATGGCAGGTTCCAATATGTTACGTGGCTTTTAAACAACCTACTTGAGTAGTATTTTTAGAAGGGATGAAGCGCTTGGTATGGAACGTTGAAGTCTTTTATTTTATGTGAATAATAGATAGTTATAGTTTTAAATTTTTACGTAGTTTATAATATTAAGATAAATTTGTACAACGGACATATTATTTCTCTGAAGGTTTTGTTTAATTTATTTGCAAGAAGAATTTACATAAATTAAAGTGTAATTATGAAAATAGATTATTATTATTGGTAGTAATATAAAAAAAATATAAGAACTTTTATAAACAATGCAGTATTTGAATATGTATACCGTAATAAAATCAAGTCGTCGATTTTTTTGATTTGAGACATACCGGTCTCCTACCAATGTTTTTCTTCATCGTATGTTATGTACATAGATAGTCTATTAGCCGGGGATCGAACGTACGGCCTCAGGGATGAGAGTCGCACGCTGAACCCATTTGGGCAACACTGCTTTAGGGAGTCAGCGATATGATCAATAGAACCCCGGGTGGTGGTGCAACGAAATTAAATATTCTAAAGTTCTTTGTAAAAAAATCTTAGAAACATTGCTAAGACTATACTTTTTATAATCTTAAGATTTTAAATAAAAAGTATAAGGCTTCAATGAAATAATTTATTTTAATTGCAAGCACTTACGACTTGTTGCAACAACTTGTTGCATTAAGCTTACTTACTATAATTAATAATATTCAAGTTATTCCAGCCAAAAGTATATAACAAATATTAGAGATGTCGTAAAAAAAATCATGCCTTTTTTCCGAACCACTACAACTCTAAGCAAATTTTAAGAAGATACCGATTTATACTGTAAACTTATAATATTTTTTCTAAAGTAATCGTTAAAAGTGAACTTCGCTTTCACATTTTGAGTCTCCAAAGACCGAAGGCTGTAGCTAAGTTCTACGAAATTGAGAAATGACGTAGTGGCTCTACGCGCTATTTGCTACTTTACCTTTTATGACCCCAAATATATAGAACAGTATAAAAACGAGAAAATTTATAAAATGCTATTTTATTCTTACGCAAAACAATGGAAATCAATAAAAAATAATTTTTTTTTTGTTCTATAAAAGCTCAATCAAGCAACTGTCGATTTTATTTAAAATATCTCTACGCAGACGCAGTTGCAGGCGCCAACTAAATAATAGTGTTATACGTGTTTGTCAGCTATGGAACAGGTAAGATCAAAGATTAATTGTCTATTAATTGCGTGTCATTTCATCTGTTATGGTACGCAATTAATTATAGAAGTATTGTGATGCCTTATCAAGAGATTATGGTAGTTTCAAGAGTAACAAAGAGAACGTATTACGGAACAAATATTAGCCTAAATTTGTTAAATAATGTTTTATAACGCATATTTGTTTAACATCGCTTATAACACTTATTAAAAACATCCGAAAATCCTATGGAACACAGACTACAGTTACAATAAAAAAAATAAAAAAAAATCGGTATATTTTTGTTTATACAGGCTGCGGGCAAAAAAAAACATTTAAAACAATTTTATCGTTTAAAAAAAATATTCACCGTTTGAAGATGCAACCCACTAAGGAACTTATTTAAAATATTTAATTGACTTGAATAACTAATATAAGTTAAATTTTATATACTGTATACAATAGTCGAGATTGCAATTTCTATGTTACTGTATATTTTGGAGTGAAAAGGTAATATGACAAATACGACTTAACCTCAAAGATATAATACGCCATTAAGAATTTCGATGTCATATTATATTTTTGAGTTAAAGATAATCGTATTGTATTTTAATCAGGATTGATTTTGTTTTTTACATTATTCTGTTAGAAAAAAACATATAACTTTAAGAAATAACTCTCATTAATTTAATTTTTAAGTAAAATATATAAATTGTAAGTTGAATATATAGAGATATATTAAATATACATAAACTAATCGCAAACGCTTCTTGCATCGTATCCATTTTTAAGTGGCTAACAGACCAATGTTTCGTCATTTCTTCAAACGCCATAAACGGTGTTGGAAATGCGTTTGGAGGTTCAGTGCAAATGACAACGTCCGTAAACGGGCATTTCGGGAGTCTGACCTTCATTTTGTATAAAGTAAATGGTGACTTACCAGAAGGCTAGCCCGCGCCGGGCGGGGTGTCACCCCCTCCCCGCGCGCGCTCACCCCGCTTCGCTTGGAAAAAACCTCATACAAAACAGACCGATCAATATCTCACACAATTCGCCAACATCATCTTTTTTGGCTGGCTATGACTAGAGGGCCTAATGGATCGGAAAGAGAGACAAGTCAGGGTGGTTCAGCGCGTGAGGTCGAAGGTCTCGGCCGCGCACGCTGCTTTGAGACCGTGGGGGGAGCGAAGGTTGTGTCGAGGGTTGGGTTACGCCCGGTTGCATAACTGGTCGTGCTTCGCGCGTATCGACGTATCGGGCGCATGCGCGTACCTTCGCAGCCGTAGCCCTGGCCGATGAGCCCCCATAGCAGATCGGAGCAATGATGGCAGTACGTAGGCTTGTGGAAGGTCTTCTTGGCGAAGGAATGGGTGCGTTGTGCGGAAGCGGGCGCGGCCTGCGCCATGGCGGGCGCTCGGGCCGGGCCGAGCGAGCGCTACTCATGCCGCGGCGCCAACGGGCGCGCCGCGCTCTTCGAGCGGCTGTTGCGGCCCACCATCGCGGCGCGTCTGCCGCCACTGATGCAAAGCCGTCGTGGAATTCGTCAAAGCTGCGCGGAACCTAGCGGTAGATATCAGTAGATGTACCAGTAATTATTTCCTTATAGGATATGTTTTTCGTTCCAGAAATAGTAAAATGATAATTCTAATTTTCTAAGAATGTATATATTTAGGATTTTATATATTTCAGAATAATCGTTGTTTTTTTATGTAATGCTCCTCCTTAATAGAGTATACGTAGTGTCTCAAAAATTGCTTTTCTCACACAAATAGTAGGTTTAAATAAATGGTTTTATTTCAAGGATTTGCCCAATGTATTCAATAATAATGTTTAAAGTTGTTTAACAAAGGGAACCAGGATACGAATAAGCTTAGCTTGTTTTCAAATAAATATTCGATTTACCTAAGTTCATTATCTAAGTATTTCCCTTAAGTTTGCCACTTACAGAAAATCAGTATGTAGTTAAAACCGTACACATCCCATCACTAGGAAGCCCGCGCCCGTCGCTCCTCGCGCACGCGCTACCCTCTCCCCTCTCCCTGCCCCCTCCTCCGCTTCCCTTGCAAGCCGCGCGGACAATCCTTCGCGCACGCCACACGTGTGACTTAGAAATGACGTCCTGTCGCTGAAACCGATCGATACGTTATTGTATTGGCTATATAAGTACTTTTAAGGAAAACGACTTAACGCATTATTACTGTTATTATTCTTCTAATTACTTATATAAAAAATTAAGTATGAAGTCTGATAATAATAATATTACGTTTTACACATAGAATATAAATTATTTGAACAAAAAAATTGTTATCAGCAAAAAAAAACTATTTATGATTTGAAAAATTTAAATTTCGTTTTTAATAATTTTCGATGTTAATTCGAAGTCATTTAAAATCATTAAAGGATTATTTTGGACGCTTTTTCAAGATAAGTTTCGTGCGCCTGCGCGATTCCACTCGCCAATCGAAAAAGCCCTTGTTTACAATATCAAACGCGCAGCATCCTAGCGATTGTCGATGTCATAATTCCCTGCGAGAGGAGCCAAACGACGGAAATAAATTCCCTATTTCCAGAGTCTAAATTAAATGCTACTAACACCTAAATTACACTATTACTTACGACACTGCCTCTGTATAACCCGGAGATGAGTTCTGCGAATGAATTTTGCTTTCCCGTTACTAGGCACAGAATAAAACTAAAAAAATTACACACCGTACACAGAAATCCTCTCCGCCATAATGGGGATTTCGATTGAGTCGTATTAATGACTTCTAAACACTACAATACTATATTAAGTTTAAAATGAAATGCTTGTATGTTGAATTTAGTATATATAACTACATTCAATTTAGGGCGAGGTCTTTAGGCTGAATTATAACTTCATAAGCGTTAATTACCAAAAACAAAACAGAAACACAGAATTAAAAAAATACATTGCTGAATCACTCTTGACATTGCTATCTTTCTTTTAACTAATTTGAGGAATGAGAACATACTGCTTTTAGCTATAATAGCTGTATATATCGATCAGCGAATTTGACATTTCAGCTTATAAAAACAAAAGAATAGCAGCACAAATGAAGTACGCACTAGAGAGTCCAACTCAATAGTAAAATTAACGCTAAGAAAATATATCATATTTAGGATCCATAACAACTCATGGCGTAAAACACAAAGGTCAGTTTCATTTATGTAAAGGTTAAAGTAAGAAATACAATTTCCGTCAATTACTTTTGGATTTCGTTAAGATAACTTCTTAGGTATTCTATATTTAAATCCTTCTTGCTGTTTCGAATGAATAATAATATATAATAAGTCCTATTATTAATTTCAATTGTCTCTGGTGGTACAAAATAATTGTTTTTAATTTATAAGATTTTCTTGGTACGTGTGTGTTATATAGAAATTAATAATTCTATATAACAGACACACAAATAATAATTAATAGCTGATAATAAAACTCTATTAAACGAAGTATATTTTCTTACTAGTTGCACAGTTACACGTGTAGTATTTAAAAGATACCACACCGGTTTAAGACGTAATGAGCTATTAAGAAATGTGTTTAAACAGTGTATTTTCTTTTAAGTTGTACTTGAAAACACACGCAAATGAGGTTTTTGTATAAATAGAGGTGTGGAGCGAGCCGTGTGCTTTTCCAGCCGATTAACCGGAGCCCTGATACCTGGGTATTGATCGTGGTTACACGCTTGGTGTAGGCACTTGCACGACAGAAATAGTTCTTTAGGCCTATGTTCATGGACCCGAAACAATTTGTTACACGAATAAGTACGATGGTTGGCAAAAGGTAGTCTGTGCGTGTACTGGAATTCAACTAATAAATATCATCATTTGTGTTGTCATTATTATTATATCCTTTCAATAACATATTTATATAAGCATATTTATACAGCGAGGAAATGCTGCCAGCGTTAAAGTAACACTGGCTCAGATGCCAAACTTTTTAAATTTGTTTTAATTGTGTTTTTATTAATTTTTTATTATTATGTACTTATACATTTTTTTTTCTTAATTATCTTGCGGTAATGTCATTTTAACGTGAAGGCATAAAAACTTAAAACATCGTCTGTTTACCTTTCAAAATTGTCTCTAACATTTTAAGCAAATAATTTTTTGAATACTTGCACTGCCTATCTATATATCAATAGTGTTCCCTACTTTGGGTTAGTTGGGAATAATCAAAAGGCCATCCGTTGCATAAAATTCTATGTATCTATATTAATAAGAATATAATAGTAACCAATAAACATAAAATACAAACCTGTGACATAAACCTTAAAATATAATAAGTAATAACTAAAATATATTATTAAAAGGAGTCCCTTTAGGCAAGGTTCCAAAGATACTGGCAGCGTTCCCCCTTTGAATAGCTAGACTATTTCCCTGTCCCAGAAAAAGCCCCTGCCCCCCCCTCCCCTCGGCGGGAACCTTCCCTTTCCCTTTTCTATAAAAAAAAAAAAAAAAATTTTATATATTATTATATTAAAAAGCAGTCTCAGAAGTTTTCCATGCTCTATTGGAATTTAACCAGACATCATAGAATGGGTCCTTATTGGTTAACGTTAACTTCTTGACGTATATATAGGTAATATCGTATGTATAAGAGTATAACGTCCGTAGATTTAATTAACGCCAACGAAAAGTTTTTATTGAGCTATTGTTTTCGGCTATTATTAATAATAGTAGCTGACCCGACAGACATTTTTCTGTTAACTATAAATATTGATTTCAAATCGGTATAATTATTTTTTTTTAAATGTTAACATTTTTGGCCTCGGTTTAAGCTTTTTTCGGTCAATCGCTGACAGTTATTTCAAACAACTGATGGAAAATTAATATTGTTGTTAAGTTTTCATAAATTTTTCAATGTTTCGCTCATCTTAATTGGTTCTTTCACAAGAACTTTCTCTTGTGATTAATACAACAAAAAAGAGTTAGCGAATTTGTTCCATCAGTTCACGCGTGATGCGTTGACCAAGATGAGAGATTCATTTTATTATATATATAGATTTCTATTATTTTTCATAAAATACATACAAAGAAATTACATATGACCAATGATTAAATATAACCTTAATATGTATGTATGCCTGTTATGGGAGATCCCACCCAATCCAGAAAATGCCTTTATATTGCCGGTGTGGTCAATCAATCTATGAACATGCTGAAAATAGCATGATACGTCGAAGCCATTTTTAATAACATACGTTTTAATCGTATATATGTATTTTCGAATCGATAAGTTTATAAACCATGTATGTAATGGCCTTCTATATAAAAATCTTAACTTACTTAGGCATCGCCTGAAAATAAATAGTGACTTCTAATGAATTATACTTATAAAATTATTATTACAAAATCACAAGTGGTAGAAACTTCGTGTTTTTAGTAATGAGTTATGCTTGTTTTATCTAAAATCTAAATTATTACGAGGCATCATCTATGCCCAAATTAGTCTTGATTGACGCAAAAGTCCATCATGCCCACCAATACAAAATAACATACTATAAACTCGTTCGGCTTAGGTGCCACCGTAGTTCAAGTCCTCAAAATTAATACAAAATTTAAAAATAATAACTGAAAGTAACTAATATTATCACTACATTTATTCCGTTAATATTTTATTCGCGGTTCGTGTCCATGATATTTATTTGCCTCATCTAAATATGAATAGGTAATCTAAAGGATTTGCATCTAAAAGTACGCTAAATCAATAAAGATATGATCCAAATTTAAATACAATTTATGATTAGAACCTGCTTGTACTTAAGTAGGTAAAAACATCGCATTAAATAACAAAGTTTAATTTGTGATAACACCCACAATCATAATATTATAATTATACAGAAGATTGATAATTAGTTTTCATAATATGACCTAAGAGTCGGTTTTGTAAGGTCGTGGTTGTGCTTACTGCTTGTGCGTCATCATTATAGTTTTTGAACGCATCAGTGTCGCGCTAATCTGTAAGCGCGCTGTCAAAACTCAAAACAAAATAGAAAATGATCGAAGAAAATAAAAATAAAACTTTTTTAGGATTTGATTTTAGTACTCAAAGGGTATGTATCTCAATATTTGTTTAAATGTTGGTTATTAAAGTTATGAAAGTAAATTTGTAATTATTATACCTGTCATTTTATACTAATTAGAAAGTCTAATTAAAATTGGGAACGGCTAGTGTAATAACTAAATATATTTAATTTCATTTTAACTATGTCAAGTTTCATTTGTTTTTTAATTTAGGCTTAGCTATATTTAAAAAGTTGTTCCCTAAATATAGCGACGAAATTATATTTTATATTAAGTATATAATTTTATTTTAGTTAAAAGCAATTGTAATTAGTGAAGACTACAAAGTGCTACAAGAAGCAGATGTTGAATTCGATGTGGATTTACCTGAGTTCAGGTAATTATACAGTTGATTAAAATTAATAAACATAATATTTAAATAGCTTTCCACATTACATTCATTAGTAAAATAAAATTTATTTTTCAAATCATGATTTGAAAACAAAATTTTCCAGTACACTTTGTATTTCCTTTACGTATAAATCAATTTTTATATGTTTTGATGATACTATTGATAGGACTTCGGGAGGCGTGGTCAAAGGAGAAAGTGGTGAGGTGACAGCACCACCACTACTATGGGTGAAGGCCCTGGATATGGTGATGGATAGGCTTATTGTTGCTGGAGTAGACTTCTCAACCATTGAAGCTCTGTCTGGTGCAGCACAGGTTTAATTTTAATTTCTCCAATTAACCATACAATACTAGCTATCCATTGTTGCTCTTATATTTTGTTTTAATTTTAGCAACATGGGTCAGTCTGGTGGGCGAAAGGATCTGAGGAGAGATTAAAATCTTTGTCATCTGAAGACTTTCTTCATAGCCAATTGGCTTCTACATTTATGGCTAACTCTCCTGTGTGGATGGACTCAAGTACAAGTGCTGACTGTCGAGCCCTTGAAGAAGCTGTTGGTGGACCTGAGGTATGTCTTTATATATGGTATCAATACATTATTTCTTTATAAAGTATGGAGACAAAAGAAACAGCAGTATTAAAAGCTATTTTATTTCATTTGCTTTAGTTAAAATACCACACTTAAAGTGTAGTAGTTCTAACAATCTCCTCTATTAATAAATTTTTTTAGGAACTGGCCAAAATAACAGGATCCCGTGCTTATGAACGCTTCACTGGGGCACAAATACGCAAGATGTTTAGAACTAGACCCAGGACATATTCAGCAACTGAGAGAATATCACTTGTATCTTCATTTGCCTGTTCCTTGTTTCTAGGACAATATGCACCAATTGATTTGGCTGATGGATCTGGAATGAATTTATTAGATATTCATACAATGAAATGGTGTGAACAGGCTTTGAAGGTGGGAAACTTTGATTTGATTTTTAAATGACTTAAATGCAAAGAAAACTTTTTAGGTTGTAATTAAACAAAAATTTAGATACATATCTAAAGAACTTTATCTATTTTGCGTCCTTATGACACGGAAACTTTCTTTACCCTTAGTATTATTTTTGGATAGGTTTTAATTTTTAACAACACACCCATGCGCCTACTGGCAGTGTTTGGGCCCATGGGCAGAGGTGTGTCTTAAAATGAACCTCTAGACCATAGTTTTTCAAACCGTTATAGCATACTATATGATTGCTATTGGAATATCAGATTCATGCTTTCAATTTTTGAAACTCACAATAATTGGTAACATTACAAAAAATATGTGATTTGTATAGCTATGAACCAATTTTACAGGCCTGTGGTAATGAACATCTAGCAACCAAGCTCGGGGCACCAGTACCCAGTGCTACAGTGGTTGGGAACATATCACAATATTTTGTAAAGAGATATGGGTTTACTCCAGAATGTGAAGTGATAGCTTTTACTGGTGATAATTGCTCGGCACTTGCTGGTAAGTTAATTAACAATTTAAGATATAATAGCTAATAGCTGTATCCAAATAGCAATTGTATATATACCAATCAGATACTCATATAAAACATACAGATATATTAAGTGCATTGTGAATAGATGCATCTACATTTTGGAGGAATTATAACAAAAGAGTTTTGTATTTTTGGAACCTCATTGTAATGTGTTAGTCAGTGCTGCCGGCCATTCTATCAATTATTGTTATGTTTTGAGAGGTAAAAATCTTAGTTGAATTGAGAGAAAAATTATTATTATTATTATTCAAATAAATAATTTAAGATTCGTTCTGTAAACACTTTTTAATGTATAGTGGTAATGATGACAATCTCAAGTAGTTTCAATCCCTGATAACATATCATAAGAATGTTTATATGCTACGTTATCTTTTTACGATTTTTTTGTTTTAAGATATATTTGAAGCACTTTTAATTTATTTCATAATTATAAAAACATATTGTTGTCATATTTATAACAGCGAAAATAAAATATTATTAATAATATTAATTTATTATTACTATTGATTTCCAAAATTTTAAAAATGAATAATGCAGTTATTTTGAAAAAAATTGTATTGTTAACTTTGTATACAATTTAAAGTACATAATCAAGATGTGCAGAGCAGTGTTGGCCTAGTGGCATCAGCGTGCGACTCTCATCCCTGAGGTCGTAAATTCGATCCCCGGCTGTGCACCAATGGACTTTCTGTCTATGTGCGCATTTAACATTCGCTCGAACGGTAAAGGAAACATCGTCAGGAAACCGGCTTGCCTTAGACCCAAACTGATGGCGTGTTTCGGGCTGATCACCTATTTCTCGTTTACATTAACAAATGTTCTTGAGACAAATACAGAAATCTGAGGCCTAGACTAAAACGGTTGTAGGCCCCTGATTTATTTATTTATTTTATCAAGTTGGCAAATTTCCCTCAATGTCATTTAACATGATTACATCCCAACTTCAAAATTCAACTTTATAAATGCTTTCTAAAATATTTTATAGGGCTCCGCCTCCGTTCAGGCTGTGTAGGCCTAAGTCTCGGTACAAGCGATACACTTCTACTAGGCCTACAAGAAGCCAGGGCTCCGCCAGCGGGCCATATCCTCGTAGGCCCCACAACTGACGCTCCGTATATGGCGCTACTATGCTTCTCCAATGGGTCCCTGACGAGACAAAATCACAGGGATAGGCTGGTAGGAACGAGTTGGGACGCATTTAATGAATTGCTACGGTCGACTGTTAGAGGGAATATGGGTTACATGGGTGAGTTATTCATGTAAATTTCATCAATATCATACCAATACCTGGAGCTGAGTTTCATTATCGGACGTCGAGGCAGAAAACGATTTATTTTTGTTTTTTTAAAGTTCAAGAAGATCGCAGAGTTACTCCTCCAGAATACGAAGTTTGTGCGTCCACCACCGGGTGCTGAGTTTCTTTGTTCTGCACCTTGATATTATTCCACCCGTATCACCTTAACGTTCGTTGCTCAACAACTTAGCTTTTTAAGGCAGTTTCTGCCGTGCACCACGCTAGTGTGGAAGCAGCTACCCATTGAAGTATTTCCTAACCACTTCGACTGAGGGCTCTTCAAGAAAAGAGCGTACCAATATGGAAATGTGAGTCATGTCATGGGCGGCGGTTTCACTTAACATCAGGTGAGCCATTTGCCCCCTGTTATATATGAAATTGACAGTAATATGGAAATATAGTTTTTTACTAATAAATCTGTAATAGATGTTAAAAACATGTAAATAAATTAACAACTTTAGTGATAGGTGAGACAGAAAATATAGATGAATTAGGCTTCCATGCAAGCTACAGTTCCCAAGTGTATGTACGTTTTTTTTATTTAACAGGGGGCAAACGGGCAGGAGGCTCATCTGATGTTAAGTGATACCGCCGCCCATAATAGACACTTACATTGGAAGTAGGCTCGCAAGTGCGTTGCCGGCCTTTTAAGAATTGGTACGCTCTTTTCTTGACCCTATCCAGTCCAGTCCAACGTATATTTGTCCGTAAACTTATCGTCGAGATTACTTAGTTATTCAAAATTTTAAACAGTCCAAATTTCATCCAAATCAGTTCACTAGTTTTAAAGTTTCACGCATATAAAATTGATAATAGGTTTAATTTGACTTAATTTTTTAATATTACTTATTTATAGGTATTTACTACGACACCGCGGAGATCGTGCCTCGCGCTGTCGCTGGCAAATGGGTGTGGGAGTCGAATGGGCGTAGTCTTGATAAGTGCGCGCCGCAGTTTGAGGCCCGGGCCCTACTCGAGGGGCAGGCTTTAGCTAGGCGGGCCCATGCTGAGGATATGGGGTTCAGGCTTGGTAAGGTTAAATCAAAATTTATTCATATAACTGTTTATTGTGAACGTCAATATATAAAGTAAAATCTAAATTTAAATTTCCTATCAGTTCTTAAAGCAATCAAGACGGGGGAGAACTGCCAATAAACTCTGCCACTCTTCTTAATCGCCAAGTTTTTGGTTACTAAAAGAAATTGTAAGGCAACCATTACCCCAAGCTCCACTTGATATATTGAAACAATGAGGCATTATAATAAAATAAACTTCAGTAGCAGGCAATAATTGGTTTTAAGGACATTTTTACAAGAATGGTGAAGATTTTGAAGATAACAGTGCCGAAATATTTTGACATGATATCGGTAACATAGTTGTTGTGAAAAAAATCTTAATACTTTACGAAATTGTATATATTGTCTCTTTCAGTCTAATTGTGTTTAGGCTTTGATGAAAAGAGAGAGACTGTACGACTGTACAGTACTGATTTACAACGATGCTATTTGACTGCGATGTGTCTTCTAACATATTATTATATAATTAAGACTCTAGATCCCGTCTGGTAGCGACGGGCGGAGCATCCGTCAACAAGGAGCTTCTGCAAATATTTGCTGATGTATTCCATACTCCAGTGTATGTACAGGTAAGCATCGGTTTTTTTAAACATATTGCTGAGTCTGACTCACGTACGTCAAGAAGAATTTTGACAGTTAGACATAGTTCGCGCTTAGCTTCGTTTCTTAATCGCACCCACTTTTGCTTAATTTCTAACCGACTTCAAATAATGACGTTATCATACCTAGAGGTGGATAGCGCGTGCACATACGCCATATCGCCGTATCTTTTATTCCCGTATACTTACGATTCAAGTTTCGACACAATCAGTAGTTTTTGATTATTCTAAAATAATTTATTTCCTGTTAAAGTACAATTTATCAAAATTCCAAAATATATTAAGTATCTGCAATATATTAAGTATCGTAAACACTACGACGACTTAAAAGCAACGGACTATATATATTAATATATTTTTTAGGAAGAGCACGCGAACGCAGCCTTATTAGGCGCCGCTATTCGCGCTGCGGAAGTATGGAGCGCCCATACGGGAACTAAGCTGACTGGTGAGACAGTAATGATATTTTTATGGGACAGAAGGCAAACGTAAAGTGTATACCGCCGCCCATGGACACCCGCAACAGTAGGTTTGCAAGTGCGTTGACGACCTTTAATCTAGTGGTACGCTCTTTAAGGCCCCTAACGTAACGGTTCGGAAATAGGTGAGATGGCAGTTGGTTATAGATATCGGCAAACTTCTTGAGCATTAAGCAAGGGAGTGGGGGAAAGTTTGCGCATCGCAGGACACAAACGTCAACTGATTTACCAATTACGCGATTGACACGTCACTCTCCCGCCGCCGCGCACCACCGCCCCCCCCTCCCAGTGATACCTAAAAATCACTTCTGCGCAGGCAAGGACATTTGTTCAAGATGTTTGCCGGTATCTATACATAAAGTGGTGGTGCGTGGCAAGAAGTGTTTAATAGCCTCTCCCGTCAGACGCCAGACGTCAAAGTGCAACGGGTGGTATTGAATTAAATATTTATTTATCTATCTCTTAACAATTATTCTAATTTTTGACTTCATTACTTACACTGCTAACTTTCATCATCGGACGTCAAGGCAAAATACAAAATACCATCCGTATCACCTCGACGTCCGTCGTTCCACAACTGATCGTTTTCTAAGGCAATTTTTGCACCGCACCACCACTATGTGGAACCAGCTACCCACTGAAGTATTTCCGAACCAATTCGACTTAGGGTCCTTCAAGAAAAGAGCGTACCAATTCTTGAAAGGCCGCTGCTGTGGTCTCTGGCAGAATGACCAGCGTTGTCAGTCTGCTCCTCAGCATAAAGCTCGTATATGCACACGCAGCCATTTGAGCTTTATTAGCGTTTTTTTTTAATCAACGAATTTTTCAACAGGAAGCGAACCTACGATATCTCCAGTGGCTAATCCATACCCTGACTCGGCAGCTATATATACTCCAATGCTGCAACGCTATCGACAATATGTGGAAACCATTCCAAAACTACAATAACATTCCAATAATCGCTTTATATAATGTAAAATGTTTTAACTGGCGCTTTTGCCATCTCCTTCACACATATCAATAATGAGCGAGATTGCATAATTTTGCATCACATTTAATACTCACATGGAGTTGTCAATGTTTTTTTATATATTTATATGTTTTACAGATTTTTTATTTAAGAATTTATTTTTTACCAATTTTTTCTCGCTAAGCGAACGTATTTGATGTTATCTCATAAGATTCCTTTTAATATATTAGGTCCTTACATATGAAATTGGCGTTTTGTATGGGAGGAATAAAAAGTCGAATATTTTTAAATATAATATATTTAATTAATCAAAGTATGAACCATTGTTTTCTATGCACTTTTGCCATCTCATAGGTAGTTCATTGATCCCTTTACTAAAAAAACTAGTCGGAGGCAATTTGTAAGCGATTTGGAATGTCCCATCAGTTTAAATTTTTTCCCTAATGCAAGAAGTTGTCCAAATTTCGAAAAAAATGGCAATCTGTTGGAGCAAGGTCCGGGAATACGGAGGATATCTTAGACATTCCAATTGAAGCTCTTCTAATTTGGTAGCCGTCTGTTGTGCAGTGTGTGGTCTAGCGTTGTCGTGAAGTAGCAGTGGCGTGGAGCGATTGACCTAGGTTGTTTAGCCGCTAGCTTTTCCATCATGGTTTGCAATTGCTGAAAATAGACATCAGCCGTAATAGTCTGGCCAGATTTGAGAAAACTGCAATGAACAATACCGGCACTAGTCTACCAAACGCTTACAAGTAACTTTTTTGAGGTTAATTTTCGCTTGGGGCAGGATTTGGCTGGCTGGCCAGGATCTAACCATTGCGCTGAGCGCTTCCGATTATCGTAAAGAATCCATTTTTCATCACAGGTAAAATACCATTCGGTTTAAAATACTTTCATTATTGTGCCGGTTCAGTAATGTAACGCAGCAGTCGACGCGCGTTTGCCGGTTTGCTTCAGTCAATTCGTGAGGTACCCATCTTTCAAGCTTTTTAATCTTCCCAATTTGCTTAAAGTGAATTCAAATTCAAACAGTTTTATCACTAACACCGCAGCCTGCAGCTAACTCTGACGTGGTTTGCGATGGATCCGCTTCCACAATAGCCTTCAATACTTCATTATCAACTTGGGTCTCAGGCCGTCCACTGGGCTTGTTCTGCAGGTTGAAATTTCCAGAACCAAAACGTTGGAACCAAAAACGAACTGTGTTTTCTTTTGCAACATGACCGCCATACACATTATTCAACATTCAAGTCGTTTCCACAGCACTAGTGCCACGGCGGAACTCGTAGGTACTCGTAAATAATGCGATACTTTAAGTTTTCCATTTTGTAAAATGAGTGACGCAAACAGAAAAAAACAAATGAATGACGGTCATCGAAGCACAAATACATGAGTAAATAGCTGTACAAATTTGAATTTGGAATTCCTTACCAAAGAGGAGAACATCGTGATTAAAGTGGCCAGTACGAAATACGCCAATTTCATATGTAAGGACCTAATATAACTTATTTTAAAGCCAAAGGCACTTTTGTGTTCGCTCTATTTAATAAATATTTAAGCATATTTTTTATACTTATTACGAATGTGATAGAAATCGTATTTTTTAAACGATAAACATTCTCAAATAGATTGTTCTCCAGTGTTTTTATCTCATGTGATATATAAAATTAACATAAGCTAGTGCAATTATTATACTATATATTCACATTCCATATATTCTATAATGCTTGTTATTTTGTTAATAAAATATTTATACAATTATGTGTTTTTGTCCTATGAGTGTCAGTGGTGTTATGAGATTTTAAACAGCTTAGTTTGATTTCTTTTCGCCCCCACAAATACATAGATTCAACGGCTTATATTTGAGTCAATTATCGTCAAACCTGAAGAATTATATATTTAAGCGTTTTTTTATAAATCACACTATCTATTGGTGAAATTTGTTTCAAAATCTATGTGGTAGTTTTTGAGTAAATACCGTTTATATACGCATAGATTAGACGCAAGATTTTTTATTACCATTTCAACGGCTGATATTTCTGTCAATTAACTTTAAAACATTAAGAATTATATATTTAAACGTTTCTTATAAATCACACTATCTATTGGTGAAATTTGTTTCAAAATCTATGTGGTAGTTTTTGAGTATATACCGTTTATATACGCATAGATTAGACGCAAGATTTTTATTACCATTTCAACGGCTGATATTTCTGTCAATTAACTTTAAAACATTAAGAATTATATATTTAAACGTTTCTTATAAATCACACTATCTATTGGTGAAATTTGTTTCAAAATCTATGTGGTAGTTTTTGAGTATATACCGTTTATATACGCATAGATTAGACGCAAGATTTTTTATTACCATTTCAACGGCTGATATTTCTGTCAATTAACTTTAAATCATTAAGAATTATATATTTAAACGTTTCTTATAAATCACACTATCTATTGGTGAAATTTGTTTCAAAATCTATGTGATAGTTTTTGAGTATATACCGTTTATATACGCATAGATTAGACGCAAGATTTTTTATTACCATTTCAACGGCTGATATTTCTGTCAATTAACTTTAAAACATTAAGAATTATATATTTAAACGTTTCTTATAAATCACACTATCTATTGGTGAAAACAGTATAAAAATCCATAATGTAGTTTTTGAATAAATGTCGTTTATATACGCATAAAGATTTATTGCAACCTCTTTAACGGCTTATATTTCAGTCAATTATCAATATACAATAGGGGTATGTGGAACTCGAACTACTCCACGTTACTCAGAGAACCTTGTGAGCTATACCCTCTAAAACCACCTCGGTAGTAACCACAATCGCGTCAGAGGCCCTCGGGGTCGTTTTCGCATACTATCTATGTAATATTATTTTTATATGGATAAAACCTTGCTAACTAATACAGTAAATTTGACCACGTTTTAAATTATGGCCGCATATCCACGTTTCCTTTGGGGACATATTCTAAAGTTGAAAGACGAAGATTTGTTGGAAATACAATTATGTATTAATGTTAAAATGATAAAACCTATTAAAAAGACAGTTTTAATTGTTTATTTATTGTTCAGTTTAGTATTAGATGCACAACAACTACCGAGGCTTGACCGCCGTACGACATTGAATAATAACACGGTTAATTATATATTTGTTTAATCAAACTGTTACAGTAAACACAAATAGTGCAAGTTATAATTATTTCTTCCTTCCTCCTCTCTCCTTAACTTGGAGTTGAATGACCGCGCCGGGCGAAACGTTGTAATACGCCAACGAGTTCGTGTCTTTGAAGAATAGACCCTGAAAATGATATAAGATATTTCAAAAACAATATAATAATTTTCTTTTACACAAGTATCAGTCTTCGGTGAGTCGTGTGTGTACGTACACATTCCGCAGATCGATTATAGATTAAAGAGATTCCGAGATTCTCCAAATTCGAGTTTCAATTCGATTTCGGGTGTCGTTATTTACTTTTACCGTTCGAACAATGTTAGAGCACAAAAGTCAAAAATCATTTATTTATATAGGTAACACAATGTACACTTATGAAAGTCAAAAAAGAAATATACATTAAATGCTTCTAATTTTACAATAACTTCCAGTTCTCAAATCAAGGGCGTAGAATGGAAGATAAGAACTGGCAATAAACTCTCCGCCACTCTTTTTTTATTTTTTTATAAAAGAACACAAGAAGCACATGGAAAGAAAAATCCATTAGTGCACAGCCGGGATTTGAACCTAAGGATTGTAGCTGGCACCACTACGCCAACAGTACCCTTTAGCCTATTAATCATTATATCTTGTCTTTGATTTACGCGAGTACGAAACATTTATGTAAAGCTTATCGGTTAAAAACGCGAATGATATTATTTTGTTGACATTTTAAGTAGTTTTCAACAGTCAGTATTTAACATTGATAACAAATTAAAGTATGTTTTACTCAATCCTAATAATCCAATATTAGATGTAGATTATGATGACAGTATAGAGAAACAAAACTTAAGCCCAAAAGGCACAGTTTCCCAACGTGGGCCCACGCCCTACATGGGGATCCGAAAATTTATTAAAATTGTTTGGAATTTGAATTCCAGTTTTTCATTATATGTTTTGAAAATTTACTTACTGTGTTTCGTTAACCATTTCCTAATAATTTCTTCCTAAAACCGATCATTAGTTTCTTAAGTGAATTTTTTTTTTATATTAATAATTATGTATGTTACATGGGGGCAAAAAAGTTTCAGAAAGACTGAGGTATGTCACAAAAAAGGTAGGGAAATACCGCTTTCTAAGGCATAAATTTTGTATGAAAAAGTTTTAAATAAAACAAAAACTATATAAACTTAATATATACCTCATAATGTAACTTCTGCTTAGCGATAGGCATATTTGTGGCTCTCTGCAGGTTGTTTTTGAGGTCAGCAACGGTCGAACTCAGTGTCACCGGGAACGAAAGCACGCGCCCATCCAAACGCCACTCACTGCGCTCTGGGGCTTGCGGGAGGGAAACCTGGAATTTCAAGTATAAACTAATACTTGCTAATTTGAGTGTTTTTAAACACGTCATAGTTTTGACGCTAGTTTTAAAATAAGACAATTAAATATAGTAAACCTTACACCGGTACTCATAGTGGATTATTAAATTGTCTAAATAAATTATTTGTGCAACCTTACCTTAAGTACCAAAGTCTCAAAAGTTGAAAAATTTTGAAATTAATTTTTTTTATTATATAAATTTTTACAACACCTACCTGAACGGTAATATTCCCGGAGTGTTTGGCCAACCAAGACATCTCCGGCTCTAGTGCATCTTCAGTCCTCGGCCTCTTCGAAGCCGGTTCGTCATCTTCTGGTATCGGGACAGCCATTCCCACATTACCCACTGGAACGTTTGGAACGTAGCCGTAGGGGGCACCGACTGGAGTCGGGATTAGTGAGGCTCGCGGCATAGGGGGGATCACCATGAGGGGGGGAATAGGCTGCAGAATGACCGAAGGAGGAGCGGGTGCACGGGGAGGAGCAGGGGAGGAGGCGGGCGAGCTCGGGATGACAGGGGCACCGGCTTTGGTCCAATCTTCTCTTTCTCTTCGTCAGGTAGAAGACCTTTAACCTAATGTTTAATATAATTAATGGAAATCTATTTATAGTGTGGCTAAAATTGTTTCTAGAATACCAGTTTTAAAGATATTGTATACTTGTGGCGCTACTACCTCTTTAGGTCTGGGCCTCAGACTTCTGTATCTGTATCATGATCATTTGTCAAATTAATAGACAAGTAGGTGATCAGACTCCTGAGTCTGACACACGGCGTCGACTCTTTGTATCTAAGGCAAGCCGGTTTCCTCACGATGTTTTCCTTCACCGTTCGAGCTAATATTAAACGCGCAGAAAGACAGAAAGTCCATTGGTGCAGAGCAGGGGATCTAACATACGACCTCAGGGATGAGATTCGCACGCTGAAGCCACTTGGCTAACACTTCTCATACATATATAAAATTTAATTTAATTAACTTTAATTTGAATTACCTTATGTATCTGTTGAATCTGATCTTCGAGCGTAATATGCGCGCGGGCAGCTCGGGTAGCAGCCTCCACGCTGGACGTGTGACCATCCCAGGTTACTCTTTCGTCTCGTTTCTTCTCTTCTTCTCCGATCTTCTTACCAATTGCTGTTTCCTCATCTCCCACACCGAAAATGTCAGTACGACGTTCGGCAAGCTAGAGACATTTAAGATTATATAGAAAGTAATCAGATCACTAACTTTTTTGGTTCAAAATCACAAATACTAAAATATGGAAATGGAAAACTTACATGCTTAAGTGATTCTTCAATGGCAGCTCCTGGTGCCAGGGCTTCGTCCCTGTCTGTACGCTCAGCAGCCGCGCGATCTCTTTGTTCCAACCAGCGTGGATCGAGTAACCCAATTCTCACGTGATCAGCCACCTTATTAGCTGGAATCTTCTCTCCGGTGATGGGAGAAACCAACCATTCTTCGCTAGCTGGGGCTGGCTGAGGTCGAGAACGCTTAGGATCGTATTTCTTAACAACCACGCGGTCTGGACGCGGGGCCAATGGAGCTTCGTCGGCTGTAGTGTACCTTGGTGGTTCTGGAATCCTTTCGTCTTCAGAGGAGGAACTCTCCTCTTCCATATCCTGTACACGATTGTCATCAGGTCGTTGCTGCTGCTGTGTGCGATCTTCCATTTCAGCCAGATCTTCGTCTGACTCGGACTCAGATTCCGACTCAATCTGCATTTCTGTATCATCTTCGTCGTGATGAGCAATATCTTCCCCACGCTCTTGTGCCAAAACTCGTGCGCCAACCTCTAATGGTGTTGTTGGAGGTGGGAATTCTCCTAGTTCCCCAGAAGGGTAGTCAACAGTTTCTACCACAACAAAATCATGCCAATCAATGGATGCATATGCTAATCTTTCCTTTTCAATTCTTGCTTCATCAGCTGCCTTTCGCTTAGCTTGGTGAGAATGCCATGCAGCCCTAGTACGAGCATGTTCCAAAACTCCAGATCTCACTTCAGAGGACAACTTTGAAACAAGTTCTTTGGGAGGTAGAAGTACTTTGGTGTATTGCTCAAGCAGGCGTGTAAAATATTGAAAGAGGGAATGCTGTGGTCGAAGGAAGTCAAACTGATGGTTACGTTCTTCCTTTTTCATCAAGTCAGTTAGAAATTGTCTTCCATTTCTTGCAACAAACTGAGCAGTTAGTTTTACAATGTCAAGCTCCAATGCTGATATTGATGGTGGATCAGCAATAAATTCAAAGTCTGGTGGGGGATCACGTGGTGGTGGAGGTTCAACTGGAGCAGCAGCTTTAAGCAATTCTTGCTGTTTAGCTGCTGTGGCAGGTGCTAAGCCTGGTCTTTGGATTGGAGGCACTGGAGCTGGTGCAACATCTTGTCCTTAAAAAATATATTATTTACAAGAGAAAATAATGCAAAAAAAATTTAAACAAAATAAAAGATACAAACCTCTTCCTTCCCGAATCTCTTTAACTTTATGCTGATAATAAGCATGATAAGGGTCACCTGCATTGAGGAAATTGAATTTAGGGTTTCCCAATTCATTTTGCCTTATACGAGCTTCAAATTCAGGCCCATTACGAGCAACAAAACTAGCAGTTTTGTCAACAATATCTATATACTTTGCTAAGGAACATTATTTGTTTTTGTGTTAAGACATTTCAAGTAATATATTTTTACTTACTAGGTATAGTTTATCATGATTAGTAGAACACTAGCTTTTATGTCAATCAAATAGTTGAATATCAATGGTATCCATATCCTGTGGGTCTTGCTTACATGACCAGCTTAAAAAAATCATACAATAAAATTAATCACAGAAAATAATAAAATTTTCTTGTATTAAAGTCTCCAATACCTTTTCAAATTTGATTCTGCTGACAGGACAGAAAGTCAAATGCTGTGAATTGTAAAATAAACAAATATAATGGCATATATAACTAAAACTATAATTGAAGTTGCTTACAGCATATTTATTGAACATACTTACTCATATAGGTTATTTTTGAATTAAATCAAACCAACAAACATTTAATAAAAAGGATACTCCTTACTTCAGGTGGAGGATAAATAATACCAATAACTGGGGGTGGTGGCGCCTGAGGTTCCTCTAAGACCTCTTGCCCAGGAGGCATCATAACGTCAATGGAAGGCATTTTCAACCTTCTTTTGCTAGTACTGATTTGTAACTATTTAAGTTCAGTTGTCATTACCACTTAATATTTTCAATCACTTCTCGGTGAAAAAAAGGGAATTGCAAATATTAAATAAACCAAACCCTAATTAATCGGTAAAAGTTGTTGTTTGAAAACGTCTAATGATAAATGAATGAACATTTATTGACTCGAATTTAAGACTGACAGTGACAATTCACGATAGCGCAAAGCACAGACAAATAATGTAAGCCAAAGAGTATACTAATATAGTATACATACACATGACAAATTAATTGAGTGCCACTTTACGTTAAACAATTTAAAATAGCTCCTCCTCCTTAAAATAACTCCTTTAATTTCAATTTTGAGGAGTACATATCTATGAAAAGAATAGTCCTTTTCCTTGCCCTAGAAGGGGAACTTTCTCAAATCTTTAGCAATATTTTTTGATAGCTCTTGATACTTATTATGGTATGGACTCTTAGGTCGTAATTAATAAGAGTACATATTTTAAAATAATTTAATTTAGACTATTTTATTTGTACTACATAATATCAGTTTGGTTAGAATACAAATAGAATTTTATGGGTATGGGGCTAAGATTCAAAAACGCTATAGTAGTAAGAGTAAGCATGTAGCTAAGAATCCACATTAAAACAGCTAACGCTGCTAATAAGAGGGTCGTTTGTAGTGGCCTTCTTGATCTTTTCTCCGCAGCATCACACAACTCTAGTACATTTTTATTTCTGGCCTAAAATTATATTTAACTATTTTACAATCATAGTATTCACTTTTATTTAATTTTTGTTTTATAGAATAATTGCTACCAAATAATAAGCTCGGCTTGATAGTTCCTTCAGTAACTTTACTTCATTAGTCATTCTAACAGCAAACAATTTAAAAATAAATATAGTTTTGCAAATATATCGAAACAGAAATTTATTTACAACATTGAAATCTTTAAAATGTCACAAACACCGTGTTTGTCTTGAGTTCATTTTATAAAAATTACCAAGGAGTTAGAACTTACTCTAGCTATAGATATTAGATGATAAGAAGACTAAATAGAAACCCGAAGGCTCGTTGTATTAAAACGCGATGCTTTTTAATAAAAATAATTTAATTCAATTTTTCTTACGAACTAGATAATATGTTGTCGCAATACGAAAATAGGTACATAATAAATAGGTAAAACAGAAGTGATATAATATTACTTTACTCGTATTTTACATAATAATAAATAGTGAACTTTGGAATCATTTTGTAAAATTGGTCTTTCTTTATATTGAATCATTTAGATACATTGGAAAACATTACATAACAATTTCATAAAATAAATCAAATAAATAAAGATTTCTTAGACGAGAAAGTTATTTCCACCAAAGAAATCGTTTTGGTGATTATAGATTGCAATATCAAGTTGGTAACAATAATTACGAACATAAACTAATGTCAATTAAATAAAATGGACAGATGTCCCCTAGTTAACACCATTGAATGCCGCCAAGTCGTCGCGTTGCTGGAACACAGAGCGCGGTGTAATTTTCTCTCGCTCTTCATTGCCAGCCAAAAACATAGCCAAGTGTTCCTGAAAAGAAGTTATGCGAGAGTTACAACAAGTAACGAAAATTATGCTTTGTCTCTTATATTTTCAATATCAGTTAAACTTAACTCACAAGGTACGATTTGGAAGAATCCTGTAGCTGCTGTAAAAGGGTTGTCAGTTTAATGCTCCAAGTCCTCACTTCAGAGATGGCGTTTTCAACGGGGGTTTTCTGCATGTAATAAAAATTAATAGTATATTGGCTGGATTTATAAAAAAAAATGTAAAATTGACTCAGCGAAAACGAGTTGCAAGAATAATAGATTCTAGTAAATACTCGTACTGAAAATGCTTTCGAAAGTAGAAACCTATATTTTCTCTGTGTGACATCGAGTATAAAATCACATAATTGACAATTGACATTTACCATTTCCCGCGAACAAAGTCATTCCACTGATGCCAACTAGGGCGTTTCCCCCACATATTAAGGGGGAATCAAGATGTCTTGGGGGGTTATAGAAATGCATAGAAGCCAACCAACAAACTAAACCAAATATAACTCCAAGCGTGGCTATAACTGAAATACCAAAAAAAAAGCTATAATACTTCAAGAGCGAAATGTGTATGTATACTACCTACTTGAATGTATTTTTGAATGCATATTAGAAATTATCTCTCAAACTGAGTGTACCTACTACAAAAACTTTAGTATTAATATTTAGGCGTATTTGAAGTTGGTTCTATGGGGAACAATCTGTAGGAGTTGGCATCATCGTCCTAGCCGTTCTAAATAGCCTTACAGCAAAAAGGTTTGTTGGAGTTTTATGTAATGTTTTTCATACCTTTAAAAGAGCATCAGCGGCGGCTGACAAGTGGCTAGTTACCACTGACAGACCTTGGCGGACATTTCTGAAGAAGAAATGTTTTATATAATTCGATGCTATTTAAACCCCATTTACCAGCCAAAATAATGTTAAATAAATGAAAATTAATTATTAGTATCGGACACTTCTAAGCAGAAATTTTCATGTTAGTTTTATTAGTATAATATGAAAACTGACTTACATAAAGCTAATCTAAACTATCCAAATATCCGTATCTCGATAGTCTAAAACGTAGCTTCAAATCCTGCAAGAAACTACTTCTTTCTTGTTTACTACTGCTTTGGATAACATCTACTTATTTTATTATTCGCAATATTCGAACTCGGCGCGGTAAACACCAAGTCCATCCACAGCGCACATTTATTTATTTATTTACATTTTTAGAAAAACAAATATCATAATACATAAAAATTATAAGGTATCTCATCCACCCTAGTAAGGAAAAAAACTAAAAAAAGAAATATAATGGGTAAAGTGCAAGAAGTGCATAACCAAATCTTAAAAAATAAGTAGAATCACCAACGTTATTCAAAAATAATACAAACAAAATTATAAAAAAAAAAATAATCTCACGTATTCATGAATTGCTATGCAATACAAAAGAATAAGAAATACTTACAAGAATTACAAAAGTCACGCTTAAACAGGATAGGATATTTTTTCATTAATTTATTACAAATACCTATTTTGTTTGTAAAATATACTTTGGATTCAGCAAATAAACCTTTCATTAGCTAAATATTATATTATAAAGTTTGTAATATATTATTTGCATAGAAATGGGATGAGGTTTGATTAGTACAAAATTATTAAAATTAAGATTAAAAGATACCTACTTTGGAAGATCGGAATGTGTGTAATTGATCAGGTGTACGACCTTCCTGGCGGTTTCTCTGGCAAGAAGGACCACCAGTTCTTCCAAGGTGGCTGGCCTGGCTTGGTTCTCCGGTTCTGATTGTGAGAGGGCAGCGTACAACTCTTTTGCCTTTTTCCAGGCAAGTACTGGGTCCTTGGCGACCTAAGTAAAAATTTAAAGTTGTTGTGAAATATATTATGAAATAAATTGAAATGTTCGTATTAAAAAATAATGGACGATTATCGGAACAAATTACGATAAACCACATTATTTTTTTTAATTGATTATATCTCCCATGTTCGTTCCCACTTCCCATACTCCTCAGCAACGGCTCGACCGATTCTTATGAATTTTTTTATTCAGTAGTCTGAGAATCGGACAACATTTTTTTTCATCCCTGTAAATTTTAAGGGTGGTCCCACCCCTAAATTTTAATTTTTAATTTTTAGACAAAACTTTTTGTTTTTATTTTTTTATCCTACAGCATACTAAAATACATACAACCCTTAATGGTCACCCCTCTACGATCAACGCCTATTTTTATTATAGTAGACAGTTATTTTTATTGAAAAAAAAGTTTCCTAGAAATAATATATGTACATGGCAAAACGACGTTTGCCGGGTCAGCTAGTTTCACATAAAAAATACTTTTGATTCTTTCTTGATTGCCAATTTCACTGATGAACAATTTTTTAAAGTTCTGTTCACTAGTTTAAACCAGATTTCTACAATAATTTTATTTTTTCAGATCGCAAAGTATTTACAGTACCCGACCATTTATAAGTCGCATCGTACTTTAGAAAGAGATACTCGGCTAGCTTCGGCTTCGTATATCGCCATCTCTGTCTCCTAATAGCTAACGGACTGTTAAGCTTAGGTTTCCTAGAAAAGCGGTGCCGTTAACTAACGGCCGTCATTTTACGGTTGTTAATAACGGCAGTCTTTACTTTTTAACATAATGAAAAAAAAACAAACATTTTCGCTCGGCCAAGTCACGTTTCCACTCATTGTATTAATTAAATATGGGCACCGCTACAGGCGAAAAACGTTGAACTAATGTTTATCACCGCTATGACGGCCGTCATGCAAATGCCAGCACCGCTTTTTGACGTTACGGTGATACTCAACGTTATCTAGAAAACCTACACCGATATTATTTATAGACAACGTATGGGTAACGTCACCCAACGTTTCATTACGCCCGTTGGATAACTAAATGGCCTGGTACTGTAATTATCTGTATTAGATAAATTTATATTACTTACCAACTCAGCGACATACACCAGCACATGAATCTGCTCCTTAATAGCCTTGGCTTCGGCCAGAGCCTGTCTGGTAAGTCGTCGCTGCAGTTTCCTCCCGAATCTGGCGCCATGTTGCAAAGCCTGCTCCGCCCTCGCCCGCCCAGATCCGTCGCCGCTCTCTACAGACTCCGCGCTTGTCACTATGATCACCACTACTGGGTTAAGAGGAATTTCGGCCAATCTCAATCCGAATGATACCACTATTCACTCTTATGTGACAGTATGCCAAGATCATTTAAGTTTTTTAATTTTTTAATATTAGAAATGCACTTGTACGCATATGTCAAGCAATAAATATTTATTAATATATTTTTATCCTATAATATAAAATAAATTATAATATAAAACGATAATTTGGGATTTGAACGATACAAAAACAAACAGATGTCGTAACACATCCAAAAAGAAAATTAAAACAAATTTAAAAAGTTTTGTCCCTGTGGCAGTGTACCTTTAACGCTGGCAGCATTTAATCGCTGTATTACGATACTTATAATAATAAATAACAAATAATGTACTTATGTTGGAATTGTTTATTGTCTAAGTGTTTTCTTTGATAATATTGATATGTGTTCGCTGTAAGATTACTTATAAATAAAGATGTTATGATATTTTCAATAATGCAGTTTAAAACATCGAACAAAGTCCGAATGCACATAAGATATCTCAATAGCTTCCGAGACTACTGATAAATGATAACCTTAGCTTACCATGTGATAACAAATGACTCATGGTTAAATAAGAAAACTTAATTATTCCATTCATGTTCAAAAATCTTGATACACATACTCGACTATGTATTTGCGTGTTGCTCCCACGAGAATGTAAGTGCGTGCTCCTATTTCACATTGCCTACTGCTAATAGAGACAAATCTTTGTTGTTTTTATTATTCATTAACTATTAATTACTTAAAGATGTCATGTGGAACATGGTTGCAGCTCCTTACAAACATTTTGTAAAACAAAAAACATGGCGATTGAAAAAATTGGTGGAGAGTTTATTGCCAGTTCTTTTCGTCTTTTCTACACCCTTGATTTGAGAACTGGCAGTAAATATAAAATAGGAAAGGACGTTCATCAGTGTACATTGTGTTACCTAAATGAATAAATGATTTTGAATTTGAATACATGATCAGACTAGTTAGGGTCAATGTTTGGGTTTTAGACGTAATTAAGTTTTCACCGTGTGAGCAAGTATTAATTCCACATAAATAGAAAATATCCGTTCGACGTCATGATTAAGATAAGTTTATTAAAAAAAAATTAAAATTAAAAACCAGAGGCGCTACAACCTTAGTTCTGGGCCTTAGGTTTCTGCATCTGTTTCATGATCATTTGCCAATCTAATAGTCAAATAGGTGATCAGCCTCATGTCTGACATACGCCATCGACTTTTTGGGTATAAGGCAAGCCGGTTTCCTCACGATGTTTTCCTTCACCGTTCGAGCGAATGTTATGCGCACATAGACAGAAAGTCCATTGGTGAGCCGGGGATCGAACCTACGATCTCAGGGATGAGTGCTCACTACAGCTAACACTCCATGTTATATAAATAAACAAATTAATCTTTTAAAAAGATCGCAGCCAACATACATCTTTCCATTTTAACTAGCAACGTATAAAATATTTCTCAATTTGTAAAAAAAATTTAATGTAACCATTCAAAATCGAGATTCGTAGCGCCGTACCTCAGTCGACATACTTTTTTAATTCTAGTAAAAAAATAAATATAAATATTTTGACTATCAAAAAACCTAATGAAATAAAGGAAGTAATTAATAAGTTCAAGGAGTGTAATTGAGAGCAGACATCGCGCAGACAGAAGTACAAATGTGCATCCTAAGCTAATATTGGAGTATCGGAAATTGCCCTTTGGAATGATAACAATTATAGCACAGATATGGCACCGGTCACTAACAATATGTATGATGCATTGATTATAACATCTAGAATGTGTTATATTTTTCTCTAGCTTCTTATTTCTTGCGTAAGTTCTCTGCCACTAACACGGACGTCTTATTGCCAGCCAATTGACGACCTAAACTGGATCGCTAATTCATACCTAACATCGAAACTGACCAGTTATTTTTTATAATATTGCAGATATGGCACCTGTCACTAATAATATGTATGGTGCATCGATTATATTATCTAGAATGTGTTTTATTTTGAAGTTATACTTCTTTTGGCGCGTTAGGGAAAAATTAGGAGAGTAAATTTTTACGATACGGCGCGCACAACGTCACAAAAAACCGACACCCTGAAGTTAGCTAAAGCCAACATTTTAGTGTTTTTGAAGTTTTTTGTCGCACTAGGGAAAAATTATGAGAGTATTTTGAAGTTATACTTCTTTAGGTGAATTGTGAAAAATTGATGAGAGTGAAAATTACCGATGCGCGCGCAACGTTACACAAAATTAACAGAATGAAGTTGCCCACGGAAGATGCTACGGCATTGGACATAATTTAAAAACAACATTCGAATAATAATAGAATTTATGTTACACTTAATGTAAGAGAATAATAATAAATATTTATTTATATAATTTTTTCTATTGTTAGTGTCGTTTTTCTATAGGTAAACGTAGAACAATACATTTTTTGAAAAGATTTTTATTTTGTTACGCCAAAGAAGTATAACTTCTAACCGCGTGAACATAAGTACACACACGTTTATTTACTAGCTTCTTATGTCTTGCGTAAGTTCTCTGCCAATAACATGACCTCTTATTGCCAGCCAATTGACGACCTAAACTGGATCGCTAGTTTCCACCTAACATCGAAATTGACCAGTTAATTTTTTAAAATAATATTGCAGATATGGCACCAGTCACTAACAATATATATGATGCATTGATATATATGATTATATTATCTAGAATGTGTTATATTTTTTCACTAGCTTCTTATATTATGTTGAATAAGTTCTCTGCCACTAACATGACGTCTTATTGCCAGCCAATTGACGGCCTAAACTGGATCGCTAATTCATACCTAACATCGAAACTTCTGTTTTTTTTAATAATAAAACAAACATTTATGCAACCATTGTATAAAAAAAATTGTATTTATGCTAGTAGCCTTCACAACCAAATTCATCATAAACATTTGGGGTTATTTTTTTCGTATTTGCACATATAAATGACCTAACTCACCATCAGAAGCATCCTGTTGATCAGGTGGCAAGTACTTGTCGACATACTTGTCAGCCGTGGTCAGAGCCCGGTCCAGGGCTGTAGCAGTGACCGCTGTCACCCTGGAGTCAAGCACTGCTGTACCAAGCTGCTTGACGGAATCTGCGCGTCGTATGACGAACCGACGAGTTTCTGTATAGATCTGAAACATTAGATAACAAATATATTCACATAAGTTAATGTTACCCTGGCATTGATACAACATTCACGTAGAGTCTTCAAGTAAACCTTGGACTTGAGAGTGGACCATAGTGACGATGTTTTTTATGTCTGTGTATTGGTTGTGCCAAAAATTAATCTGGGATTGTATAGGAAAAACACCTTTTGTATGGCAATCAAGGTTTATAAGTTACCAAAAACATTAAAAGATCTTCCCACTGTTGGAACAAATTTATTATTAATGATTATTTGCGTGAAATTAATATTAATTTGATAACGTAATAATATATTTTAATAATGTGATATTTATCACTACAAATAATATAAGAATTAAATATAACGTATGTAACTTCTATGTAAAATTCCTTTAAGACAAATTTGCCCGCCATTATGTGTGGCAGAATATGCGAACTCTAGATTGTACCACCGCAACATTTTTGTACGATATTCTTGCAAATAAATTATTATAAAAGGAACAGTAACTATGGCTGGATGTATGTATTATAATTAATTCAAATGCAGCGTGATATTTTTGATGTTGTATTTATATATACTTTATATGGGGTGCAAAAATGTATGACAGTAGTTCTCATCATTACAATTAGAAGCATTTCATATATTTTTTTTTTTTGACGGTCATAAGTGTACATTGCGTTACCTATATGAATAAATGATTTTGACTTTTGATCACCTCACAACATACTTTAAAATTTAAATGTATGCTTAAATGTATGTATTTATATATTGTATGTATTAACTAGTGATTAATTTTTATTGTTCATATTACGTTTAAATTTTTTTTGCATTGGCCCACAGCGATTTTTGTTTAGTTTTTGTAATTTTAATTTTTTCGTGTATGTCATGTTTGCCTTGTAATTGTCCCATTAAAAATTGTCTTGTTCTTTTACCAATGTATCGGTGTGCCGAGCGTTGGCAAGTTTTTACCAAAAAAATTAAAAAGTTCATCGTAACCACTTCAAATCAATTTCGGGTACATCTATGATATTTATATATAGATTAAAGTTATTTTCGAAAATGAGAGCCCATATTTTATAAGTAAATAGGTTATTATCAAGTTCGTGACCTCGGCCTCAGTGATAGTAGGAACACTTTATGTTTTCATGTATTATAAATGTGATAAGTATGAAATCACAGCTATTCCGGGACGTTTTTACTATTATATCTTTTGGTAGTTCGACTAGGGGATCCGACAGATGTTGCCTGTACTCACACCTTACATACCAAAAAATCTAATAATGTAGATATTATATATCTTCATTACATTATACGTATAATTCTGATAAGATGACCGAAGTTCCCTTTGGAGTAAACCCTTTAGTTCGTCATTATTAAGAATGCCGGTAATAGTACCGTACAAATGACTGCCTTACGACTGTAATCATTTTCGAACTAAGCGGTTTTGCATCGGCTTACGCTCAAATGATTAGCGCGACCGCCGCTGTGAAAACCGTTCGAAAAGTGAGTTACAGAATCGCAAGGCTGGTGCTTATTAACGAATAAGTATCGCAATACAGCGAGGAAATGCTGCCAGCGTTAAAGATACACTGCAATAGGGACCAAACTTAAAATTTGTTTGAATTTTCTTTTTAATAATTTTTATCATTACTTTGTAGGTTAAGAAAATTGTAAATATTATGTATTAAGTATGTAAGAAAATATTTCGTAAAGTATATTCCAATGCAGTGGCGTGTGTGCGCTCTCATCCCCGAGGTTCGATCCCCGACTGTGCACCAATAGACTTCTGTCTATGTACGTATTTAACATTCGCTCGAATGTTGAAGGAAACATCGTAAGAAAACCGGCTTGCCTTAGACACAAAAAGTTGATGGCGTGTATCAGGCACAGGAGGCTAATCACCTACTTGCATATTACATTGACAAATCATGAAACAAATATCTGAGGCCCAGACCTAAAAAGGGTTGTAGTGCCACCGATTTATTTTTAAAGTATATTCCATATCGCTAAGGAAGAAAACGTGGAGCACTAATAAAATTATATAAATTGACTCGGAAACATGGCATCAACGGTATTTACTATTTATAGAACAGGGAGCAAACGGGCAGGAGGCCCGACATCCGAACCTGATGTTAAGTGATACCGCCCCGCCGCGGCCGCCCATGGACACTCTCAATGCCAGATGGCTCGCGAGTGCCCGCTTTTTAAAAATTGGTACGCTCTTTTCTTGAAGGACCCTACATCGAATTCGGAAATACTTCAGTGGTCAGCTGGTTCCACGAAGTGGTGGTGCGCGGCAAAAACTGCCTTAAAAAACGCTCACGTAACGCCTCGCTTGTGGAACGGCTTGTGGAACGGCGGACGTCGAGGTGAAACGGGTGGAATTTCGTTTTCTGCCTCGATGTCCGATGATAAAACTCAGCTGCAGGTATTAATCTGAACAACTCCTCCAAACACTATTTACGGTACACACATCTCTACGCAACGCCAAAGGATCAAGCCGCTCGGAGAGGGATTGGTCGTCGACGATTCAAATCGCTCTTCGATGAATACGGTCAAGTGGAAGGAGCTGGTACTGGGGAGCTGGGTTTACATAGGTATTGCTTAATTAATGTATTTATATTTTTCACTTACGGCCTGCGGCGGTAGATATATGGAGGGTACTTGTTTTTCGACAACATCAAGACTTTTGCAGAGAAATCTATCCAGCTGGTGGATGGGAGTCTCTAGCAGTTGGACAGCTGGTAACGCGAGTTGAACTCCGATGCCTAGGGATTTTTCACCTAGGGTGAAGTACCAGCGGATAAGGGCGTTTGACTCCTATTGAAAAAATAACGCAGATTAATTACTTCTTTATGTAATTAGGTGAAAAATATACGAAGGATAAGGTCAATACTTCATACGCTTATTTATTTCGTAACAGCTAACATAAATTATATACAGTGTAAACTCTTTATAACGAAATTCAATGGACCGAGCGTTTTTATTCGCTATAGAGAGGTTTCGTAATATGGAGGAAACAATTAATGTATGTGTATTGGGTTAAACCAAAAAAATTTAACTCATATTTACGTTATAGAGCGTTTTCGTTATAACTAATGACGTTATAAAGAGTTTAGACTGTATAACAAAAAATACTTATACTAAAGATATAGCCAAAGATGGATTTTATGAAAGGAATAAATCAATAAAGCTAGACCATAGGATTTAATATCCAAAAATACAAATTCATAATTAAATAATAATTGCATTACAAAAGGTTCGTTTCTATAAATTATTAAATTAAAAATCTAGGGTCAAACAAACTATATTTCATTACCCGTATTCTTGTATAAATCTTTTCGGTCACACCTATGCCGGATTCCACTATGGGAATTTGAGACACTCTCTCTAATGACTCCAGTCTAGGCAGACCAGACTTAGTAGCGGACACTGTAAACAAAAGATATCCATATTAAAGCTATATATGTTTTTTTTTTAAAATTGTAATTATATACTGAATATTCCTTAAATATTATATTGAAAATATCTTTAAAACTTCATGCCATAATGGTGAGATACACGATTGCTCAAATAATTCGAAATGTTTTGTAAATAATATTACTAGTGTTAGTGCACGTTAGTCTTAAGTGCTAAACAGTGGTAGTGATAAAATAGACACAAGTATATTAAAATAAACACAAGTGTTCAAGTATTGGATACTTTCTTATGTTAACTATAATTTTTACTAAATTAGGTTAGACTCAAATTACTTATTAGTCTTAAGTTAGGTTAAATCGTAATGTTCCATGATGCTGCAGCGAAGACACGTGTATTTAAAAAAATTAGAATAAATTCACTTTTATTTCCGTGAAAAATAACAGACATTTTTTTAATTTCTCTGTGTTTCTTTATTCCCTGAACACGGGTTGTATAGACGTACGTTTTTGATGATACGTATTCTTTGTCTTAGTATAAATAAAATATAACCGCAAAGTTATTTCAAAAAGTAAAGGAAAACGTAAACAGATGATTTATTTAAATACATAACATCCCAATACAGCAGTTGAGGATAATCCTGAACGACAAGAAGTCGTAACACCGGTGCGTCAATGCATAGTTTGGAAACAGTATATTTTATTTATTTACAAATGCTTGCCAACACTCGGCACATTGATACATTGGTACTAGAAAAATAAAATTCCAATATAAATGTGACAGGCAAACGTAACAAATACGAAGAGATAAGAAAAAAAAAACAGTAAATCAAAATTTTTTTAAAAATCTAGCTCGTTTATCAGAATAGGTAACTCAATCTGGATATCAATGAATTTTTGCCCAAACGTGTTCTTCTGAACTCCTTTCTTGGCTAATGATATAAAGGGATGCCTGACGATAAATGGATACCTATTTTATATCTACCTTCTCGTACATAATTCTTATACTAAATTCCTAATAATTTTATGCGTTCGAATGTAGAACATATTCGTATGCAAAATAATTAATTGAAATCTCAAATGACAACTTGTAAATTAAAATGCCACGTGTTTTTATTATCTAAGATAAATTTAAAAAAAAATATAATTATATTAATTTTAAAAAGTAGATATAATTTGTATTTATTTTCGACACGTAATATTTTAATGACAATTAAATTAATTAAATTCTTAACATATGATTTCCTTTTTCCCTCCTTCCGAGTCTCGGAAATCTAAAGTTTTAGATTTGTAGGTATAAATATGAACAAGACTTAAAAATTAGTTTGCCAAAGAAGTTTCACTTCTGACATGTGTACTTTGTACGCACTTTTTTTTAATTACGTGTAACCTAGAAATACCTGTCGATCGCTCCTGACTTTCCTTTACTGCTCTTAGGTAGGTCCTTGCCATTCTTGCCACTATCCCTTGTGCCCGCTTATTAACTTCTATTGACACTGTGTCACCGTTATGGAGCCCTTTGCCATTTGACGTCATTTTCCCGCGTAAAATGCGTTGTATTTCAGTTCAGAAATTTGCAAAATTTAAAGTCTTTGATATTAAAATACTGTTTTATTTTTTTAATTAATTATTTTAGGAGACGTGATGTTCGTATTCGTTCCGTAAGTAACTGAACAATTTTTTCTCGCATAATTTATCAAAGCGAAGGTTATCGTTTTGTATAAAATAAGGTGTGATATGAATTGTTAATGCACTTTGCGTAATGCGTAAAACAAAACACATTTAGGGGTAGATATAGCTTTAATTTAAATTACTGGAAAATACACGCAATATGTTTGTTTTATTTATTTATTTATACTTCGATGCAAGACATACTGTAAAATTAAACTATAAAGAGAGCAACGGGTGGTCTTCTTACTTTCGAGCGACCTCTTCCAGACAACCACTGTAAGGAATAAGAAGTCCAAAACTACATGACTTATACGATTACTTTAATCTTTAACATGTTTTCACTATTCTCTATAATTGTTGCCTAGAAGAGATCGCTTTTAAGCGATAAGGCAGCCTATTGCTCTAATTATATGTAAGTCTGTACTATTATGTTTATGCAGTGTTAAAAAAATAACAGATATAATTGTATGTGTTGTGCTTTGAGAGTTTCTTTATTATTATAAAAATGGTTGGTATGAAGGTTCATCTCCATTCATTATAAAAATCGAGTTAAATGCGGCAAAGGGAACAAAACAACATCTTTATTTAAAAAAATGTAAATCAATTAAGTGCACGGGAACGCGGAACAGACTAATTATAATAATATAAGTTATAAATACGTAATTATGTTGATAAAGAAATATATAATTATACATATAAATAATAATATTTATGTAAATATATCAATCTTTCAATGACCTTTATACTAAACGACTAATTCAAATAATAGCTTAAAAGTTTCGGTAAAATTTGATGCATACCATTTGTAATAAATTTATTCTTCTTTTTGGATTTAAAATAAATAATAATTTGTGAGTCAAAGGCTTAAAATATATCTGGTGTTGTAATTTATTACTTATTATTTAAGTTATTAATTATTAAGAGTAAGTTCGAGTAACGACGTAGTTAATAGCTAATTTTTTAATTTGGGAATAGAACTATAAAACGGTTTCTGCGAATACAATAATTTTGCCAATCTAATTTCCAAGTATTATATACACACGGCTGTATTTTACAGTAAAACCAAATAAAAATGCACAATATTTCCTTGAAAAGCCAACAACACTTGGAGTGTCAAACAGAAACTTGAAATCTAGTTGAAGTTATGAACCAAACAAATGGTACAAAAAGTGTTAAGAATCAATTTACTGAAGGATTTAAGGGAGGCCAAAATGCGGTTACAACCCACAAAACATTCTACCACCTAACTGCCGGTATAATGCCTCACGATAAACAATTTTTTTTTAATTAGATGAGGGTAGACAGATTCTAGGTACGGAAGTCTCTACAAATTTGATTACTAAAAGGATCCTTTCTTGTATTTATTAAGAAGGTTTTAGTGATTTTTAGTCTATGAAAACTTTTAATGATTAAAATCTAGTCTCATCAAAGTCTCTCAAAAGTGTATCGATAGAGGGTATTTTAAAACATTCTTAGGACATACTTTCATTTACGTTAAATAACGTTTAATATATTAATTACATTAAAAAAATAGTTATGTACCACAAAACCGCATCTTAAGAAATAAGCATGTATTATCCCAAAAATCGCTAAATTTCAAAGAGTCAATCATTGAGATATGACCTAATCTATAAATAAGGATAAAAATACTTACTGGCGAAGTTTCTACAATTTTCTAATGTATGATAAGACACTACTAAACTCGAACACGCAATGCGACCGACTACCGCGTGAAATAAATAGACTTGGAAGTTGGAGTCTGTTACCAATGACAGATCTGTCAATGTTTGTATTTTAATGTTAACTCATAGATTGTCTAAGTAATTAGAGACTGGACTATGAACTTTTGGTGCAATATAATGCATCGCACGTGATGAAAGTTATTCGCCTGGAAAATATTTAAAAACGGATAACCGAGTAATTATGACGTTTCCATATACCTTACTTATTGCGGCTTAGGAAACCAGGTTTAATTACTTAATTGAAAACTGCAGGCTTGCTAACTTTTCAATTCAATAATCAAATATCAGCCAGATTATAAGAATTTATTTTAAAACTTTTACTAATATTAACGAGATTTTCATTTAAAGTTAATGCACTTACGCCGGATTAAAACTCGGCTTATCATTATCGTTCAACAATTTACACTTAATATAAAACGATTGATTTTTGTTCTCTTTCAATTAATTTTTTTTGTATGTTTAATTTGCAGACTTCAGAAGATTTGCAGAATCTTAGATTTTGTACACTATAATTGTCGCATAAGTTAGAAGTTTATTAGTATCTTTATTTCATTTTTGTGCCTTAGCTACATAGGATCTGGTGTGCAAATAAATAAATAACAGCACCAACCTTGTGCGCGCTGGGAACCTTAAGTTGGCGGGGGGAAATTAATTTTTTGCACTTTTTTTTGGCTCTATCAACTGTTCGTTAACTGTTCTTCATTGTTCTATCAAAAAATTTTTTTGTTCGTTCTTATTTTTTTTTTTAATTATAAAAAAATTGACCCTCAATTTGGCACGAACTATAGATATTTTGATATTTTTTTGTTTTTTCTAATAGTTTAGAACTATTCAATAACTGTTCGTTCAAAATAAACAACTGTTCGGCTTTCATTATCCTGTAATTTAATAATAATTAACTTTTTTTTATAAATCTTAATTAAATGTTATTGCGCATGCGCAGTATTAATGCGCATAGTTCTCATAAATTATGCGCGGCCTATTTGAATTCGATTCAAAGAGACAACACAACAATAACAGCAACAACAACAAAATCATCATCATCACCCAGTTTTTACTTTCATTTATATTTTGTTATTTTATACAAACAAAATGAACTCTTTCTTAACATCTAAAGTCGTATTTCTTGTACTTATCCATTCTTTTAACATTCCTGATTAAATATATTGATTGAGAAAAATAGAAAAGGATTAGTCCCATGCAAACTATAGGTCTACCAGAATCTGATGGCAAAAAAAAGTTTAAAACTTAGCGATTTGCATGTGGCAACAAAAAAAAATCCTCTGTCATCTGAAATTTCGAGGAATTGTTTTTGGTTTGGCTTCAAATTTACTTTAAAAAGTGGTGAAAATGTCGAAAAAACCTCTTCGATCGCAAGCAAGAAATATTGTTTTCAATGTTTATCAAAGAATAATTGATTAACAAGGTGCAGAACATACACAATCATCGATATTGAGCCCATGTCACTTGCACATTGAGTGGTTAGTAGGAATGACACGTCTTGATACTTTGGTTTATTGGATTTTCGTGTGTATTATATTATGTACTTATATAAACTTTGGTTTATTTCAGGGGTTTCTAATACTACCTTAAGATGAATTGTTGCCGAAGGCTGATCTAATAAGGGCGTATTTAGTACGCCCGGTAAAAACAGGAAAGGTGGCAAAAAAAATTAACTTGGATAGATTTGATTTTGAATTGAAAAAAAAACTAAATATCAGATAGATGAGATTTTTAAATCACACGGCCACGAAGTTTTGAGGCGCCCACCATAACATTGTACGTTAAACCCCATAGAATTAATCTGGGGACTAATGAAACAAAAACTTGCGGGTAAAAACGTCAATAGACCTGCAAGTGATATAAAACTATTAACAGAGAAATGATTTAAGAAGCTTACTCTCAAGTAGGGATCGATGAATGGCGAAAATCTTGTGAACATGTAATAAAAATTGAAAATCAGTTCATAGAACAAGATCAGTTAATTGAGATGCAGGAGGATAGGTTTATATTAAATACTGCGTCTTCTCCTTCATATAAAGACTTTTTTATGGATGTGCAGAATTTGGAACCATTTCTAGTTCAGTTCTAATAGCCTATAATTAATGAATAAACTCATGAACGGAGTAATTGGAGTTTTCATCTAAATTTCAAACCCCACATTCGCCACAGTAAAATTTTCAAATATTATCCTTGATCATTGGATAAATTTTTATATTTGCATGTATCACACACAATCAGCCGATATAAGGGAAATAAAGTATCAAAACGTTTTACTCCAATTTCCCCGGTATTGCTAGCGTCAATGTCTTTTTTCCCTTTTTGCCATCAGATCCTGGTAGACCTATATATATATTTATATATTGATACAATATATTCTAGAACCAATTTCTTTTTCATTCTCAGTCAATATTTTTAATTATTAATTATTATTATGACAGCAAGTCAATTTGACAGACCTAGCGAACAGGCTCGCTAGGTCTGTCAAGCTGTTGGAGGCAGATAATGTTGGCGTGTGTGGCTGGCTTTTTTACATTAAGTATTTAAATTTGAGAAAATATACCTTTATTGATATTTTGCGTTTTAATTATTATCTAGCTATCAAACGATTTCTAAGAATTTTGTTCAAGGTTTCTAATTAGTAACTTATCCTCCTGGTACGTACTAATAGATGATGATGATGATGACGATGATTTTGTTGTTGTTGCTGTTATTGTTGTGTTGTCTCTTTGAATCGAATTCAAATAGGCCGCGCATAATTTATGAGAACTATGCGCATTGATACTGCGCATGCGCAATAACATTTAATTAAGATTTATAAAAAAAAGTTAATTATTATTAAATTACAGGATAATGAAAGCCGAACAGTTGTTTATTTTGAACAAACAGTTATTGAATAGTTCTAAACTATTAGAAAAAACAAAAAAATATCAAAATATCTATAGTTCGTGCCAAATTGAGGGTAAATTTTTTTAATAATTAAAAAAAAAAAAATAAGAACGAACAAAAAAATTTTTTGATAGAACAATGAAGAACAGTTAACGAACAGTTGATAGAGCCAAAAAAAAGTGCAAAAAATTAATTTCCCCCCGCCAACTTAAGGTTCCCGTGCGCGCTTTACTTTTAAGTACAAGCGGAAATGCGAGTTGGTCCTGCTGTATCCTGCTAGATGTCACCTAAGTCAAGATAGGTTTATCGATCATACATTATATTTTTAATAATTTTTGACTACTATTACATTCGTCAAAACAGTAAATGTTTCAATAATTCGTATTATTATAACTTTTTGCTTGAAAGCTCTCCATTTTACCAGTTACTATTTTATTAATTCTAAACAAAGCTTGTCTAGTCAAGACTCAAGGCAGATACTTATAGGAATATATTTTGAACACTAAATTTGTGTAAACGCTAAACACAGCGCTCCGAGGGAACCTTAAGTTGGCGGGGGGAAATTAATTTTTTGCACTTTTTTTTGGCTCTATCAACTGTTCGTTAACTGTTCTTCATTGTTCTATCAAAAATTTTTTTTGTTCGTTCTTATTATTATTTTTTTTAATTATAAAAAAATTGACCCTCAATTTGGCACGAACTACAGATATTTTGATATTTTTTGGTTTTTTCTAATAGTTTAGAACTATTCAATAACTGTTCGTTCAAAAAAAACAACTGTTCGGCTTTCATTATCCTGTAATTTAAGAATAATTAACTTTTTTTTATAAATCTTAATTAAATGTTATTGCGCATGCGCAGTATCAATGCGCATAGTTCTCATAAATTATGCGCGGCCTATTTGAATTCGATTCAAAGAGACAACACAACAATAACAGCAACAACAACAAAATCATCATCATCATCATTATCATCTATTAGTACCAGGAGGATTAGTTACTAATTAGAAACCTTGAACAAAATTCTTAGAAATCGTTTGATAGCTAGATAATAATTAAAACGCAAAATATCAATAAAGGTATATTTTCTCAAATTTAAATACTTAATGTAAAAAAGCCAGCCACATTATCTGCCTCCAACAGTTTGACAGACCTAGCGAGCCTGTTCGCTAGGTCTGTCAAATTGACTTGCTGTCATAATAACAATTAATAATTAAAAATATTGACTGAGAATGAAAAAGAAATTGGTTCTAGAATATATTGTATCAATATATAAATATATATAGGTCTACCAGGATCTGATGGCAAAAAGGGAAAAAAGAAATTGACGCTAGCAATACCGGGGAAATTGGAGTAAAACGTTTTGATACTTTATTTCCCTTATATCGGCTGATTGTGTGTGATACATGCAAATATAAAAATTTATCCAATGATCAAGGATAATATTTGAAAATTTTACTGTGGCGAATGTGGGGTTTGAAATTTAGATGAAAACTCCAATTACTCCGTTCATGAGTTTATTCATTAATTATAGGCTATTAGAACTGAACTAGAAATGGTTCCAAATTCTGCACATCCATAAAAAGTCTTTATATGAAGGAGAAGACGCAGTATTTAATATAAACCTATCCTCCTGCATCTCAATTAATTGATCTTGTTCTATGAACTGATTTTCAATTTTTATTACATGTTCACAAGATTTTCGCCATTCATCGATCCCTACTTGAGAGTAAGCTTCTTAAATCATTTCTCTGTTAATAGTTTTATATCACTTGCAGGTTTATTGACGTTTTTACCCGCAAGTTTTTGTTTCATTAGTCCCCAGATTAATTCTATGGGGTTTAACGTACAATGTTATGGTGGGAGCCTCAAAACTTCGTGGCCGTGTGATTTAAAAATCTCATCTATCTGATATTTAGTTTTTGATTAATCAAATCTTCAAGTTTATTTTTTTGCCACCTTTCCTGTTTTTACCGGGCGGAATAAATACCCCCCTATTAATTAAACCCTCGCCAAAAATTTTCCTTAAGGGTTTTAAAAACCCCCAAAAACCAACAAATTTTATTTATTAATAAATTTATTAAACCCAAAACCCCCCAACCCCCAGGAGCCTGGGGGGGGGGTCATTGTACTCAAATGTGCAAGTGACATGGGCTCAATATCGATATTGTGTATGTGCACCTTGTTGATCAAGTATTCTTTGATAAACATTGAAAACAATTTTTTTTTTTTTTCGATCGAAGAGGTTTTTCGACATTTTCACCACTTTTTAAAGTAAATTTGAAGCCAAACCAAAAACAATTACTCGAAATTTCAGATGACAGATGAAATTTTATTTTGTTGCCACATGCAAATCGCTAAGTTTTAAATTTTTTTTCAGATTCTGGTAGACCTTTAGTTTGCATGGGACTAATCCTTTTCTATTTTCTCAATAATTATTTAATCAGGAATGTTAAAAGAATGGATAAGTACAAGAAATACGACTTTAGATGTTAAGAAAGAGTTCATTTTGTTTTATAAAATAACAAAATATAAATGAAAGTAAAAACCGGGTGATGATGATGATTTTGTTGTTGTTGCTGGTTATTGTTGGTGTTGTCTCTTTGAATGCGAATTCAAATAGGCCGCGCATAATTTATGAGACCTATGCGCATTAATACTGCGCATGCGCAATAACATTTAATTAAGATTTATAAAAAAAAGTTAATTATTATTAAAATTACAGGATAATGAAAGCCGAACAGTTGTTTATTTTGAACGAACAGTTATTGAATAGTTCTAAACTATTAGAAAAAACAAAAAAATATCAAAAGTATCTATCTGCCAAAGAGGGTCAATTTTTTATAATTAAAAAAATAAAAATAAGAACGAAAAAAAATGATAGACAATGAAGACAGTAACGAACAGTTGATAGAGCCAAAAAAAGTGCAAAAATTAATTTCCCCCGCCAACTAAGGTTCCCGCGCTCCGAGATGTATTATATTGAAAATATAATAGAAGCACAAATTTCGTTTATGTTAATGTTCTGTGGTTGTCGCACTGACAGATGATATTTAACTTTAATGACTTTGACAATTTATAAATACATGCCTATTGCCTTCCTCACTATTAATTGTTGTTTACAAAAATTGTAAATTGTGTAAAATTGTGTTCACAATTTCTCAAGTTAAATAAAAATGTGCATGGCTTTTAAAACATTGGAGTGACTTGATAGCTCGACGTATATATATTGTTGTACTAGTTCATATAAGGATTAAAAGTAAAAAATGTCGATAGAAATTGAGTCTGCAGAGTAAGTTAATAATTTGTTTAACATTTCAATTAAAAATGGTCAGTGAAAATTAATCGTATTATTTTTGTTCCAGTGTAATTCGCTTAATCCAACAATATCTTAAGGAGTCGAATTTAACAAAAACTTTGCACACTTTGCAGGTAGGTTAATGAAATCAGATAAAGCCGAAAAGAATTGGAATTTTGAAATGTCGTATTACAAGCGCTTACTATGTGTATAGAATACTTTTAAACAGAGCAGTACTTCTTAAAAATTTAATTTAGTTAAGCTTCAGATTTTTGGTATTGCTACATAATTTTTTTTCTATAATCTGTTATCACCTAAATTTCGTGGGTTCTATGACTGAAACCCTTTCTGATCAGCTGGATAAAGTAGGAAGCAGCAGCAAGCAATTAGAGGTTTTTGGTGTTATTCCTCGATCTGGACTTCTCTTTAATTCGTAATGAACTGAACTTACTAAACCATTCACTATGAGATATATATGTTCTATAAGTTACACTCTTCTAAAAAGTAACAGTAGATTGAGTGTATTTCTTTTGTATTGTAGGAAGAGACAGGTGTTTCATTGAACACAGTAGAGAGTGTGGATGGATTCTGCGCAGACATAAATAATGGACAGTGGGATAGTGTACTAAAGGCAACTGCATCGTTGAAGTTGCCCGAACGAAAGTTAATGGAGCTATATGAGCAGGTTGTACTTGAGTTAGCTGAGTTGCGTGAGTTGGGCGCTGCGCGTGCTTTGCTGCGCCAGGCACCACCATGCCTACTTATGAAACGACTGCGTCCTGATCGCTACTTGCACCTAGAGACAGTACTTTCGCGTTCCTACTTCGATCCGCGTGAGGCATATGGTGGCGGAGGCGGTGCAGCGCCTGGCGCAGGTGGCAAGGAATGGCGTCGTGCAGCTTTGGCGGCGGCACTTGCTGGAGAAGTATCTGTAGTACCCTCATCCCGTCTCCTTGCGCTGCTTGGCCAAGCACTCAAATGGCAGCAGCATCAAGGATTGCTGCCACCTGGTAAGTTTTGATAGTATTGATATGTTAGATGTTTCATTAAAGGCTTATTGCATAATCATGTTATTTTACTTTCAGGTACTACAATTGATTTATTCAGAGGAAAGGCTGCTATCAGGGATGAAGAAGATGATCAGTGCCCTACACATGTCTCAAAACTTATCAAGTTTGGACAAAAATCACATGTTGAGTGTGCTAGGTAAACTTTTTTGTCTATTATTGAATACATAGGATGACTCCTCATTATCACTTCTTTGGGTTTGCCTTAGTCTTTGTGTTTTTCTATGTAGAACATGCATAAACTACTATAAAATAAAATGAATCTATAATAAATAAATAATTTTCAGATTTTCACCTGATGGTCAATACCTAGTGACAGGCTCTGTTGATGGATTAGTTGAAGTATGGAACTTCACAACAGGAAAACTGCGTAAAGACTTACGTTACCAAGCGCATGACGAGTACATGAGTATGAGCGCGGCTGTTCTATCGTTGACATTCGCCCGCGACTCAGATACTCTAGCGGGTGGAGCGCACGACGGCAAAGTGTGTGTCTGGCGCGTTTCCACCGGCGCCGTACAGCGCCGCCTGGAACGAGCCCACGCAAAAGGAGTCACCAGTCTGCAGTTCTCTCGTGATGCCACCCAACTCCTTTCTGCTTCCTTTGACCGCACAGTTCGCATCCACGGCCTTAAATCGGGAAAATTGCTAAAGGAATTACGTGGGCACACATCTTTTGTTAACGAAGCAATATGGACACCGGATGGACACGGGGTACTTAGCGGATCGTCAGATGGTACGGTCAAAGTCTGGGCAGTGCGAACAGGCGAGTGTGCGGCAACCCTCAAACCTCTGGGGTCTGGGGAGCCAGCCGTCAACTCTGTCTTGCTTTTGCCGAAAACGCCAGAACATTTTGTGGTTTGCAATCGTAGTAATACAGTGGTAGTAATGAATATGGCGGGCCAGATCGTGCGATCATTGTCAAGTGGTCGGCGTGAGGCTGAAGGGGGAGCATTAGTATGTGCGGCCCTCGGAGCGCGAGGCCGCCTTGTGTACTGTGTGGCTGAGGACCTGGTGCTATACGCCTTCTGCGCACAAAGCGGTAAGCTAGAACGTACCATTACGGTGCACGAAAAGGCCGTCATTGGCCTGGCGCACCATCCCCATCAGAATCTGCTCGCCACCTATAGTGAAGATGGCATGCTCAAGTTATGGAAACCATAATAATTATATACTACTATAACTGCAAACTTTTATTTTCATTGATTGTATTTTGTTTGATGAGACTCTGGATTAATATCTATTTCTTTTGGAAACCAACACTACAAAGACAAAGATATTTGATGCATATAAGTATAGCACATACATGTATGTGTTATAATAGCATATGTCACATATTCTAATAAGATAATGTATTTCCATTCCGTTCATTGTATGTTTGATGCCTAAACCTATTTGAGTTCAAAGATATTCTTAATATTCTGTGGACATTGTATTTTATAAGGATTGAAATAAAAAAAATATAAATAAATTATAACTTTATTAATCTTTTACCTATACCGAGAGTTGTTAATTAAGATTTAACATTTTATAAGCAATGAGTAAACTCATATATCTAAATACATAATACAAAATTATTAATATTCCATTAGATCTAAATTAAATGAACAACTCTCAAGTATGGCCTTAATATATCAGTCAAACATAAATTAACCTACATGTTAATCACAATCTTAGTATGTAACAAAGCCTAAACACAAAGAACTGTACTTAACAGCAACAGTTGAGTTCATGCACTCCTTTATATATTTGGTAAAGAGGGAAGTCATCTTCAGCTCATTAAATGGTGTCCAGACCTAGGTAGCTGCCATGTTAGCTATAATTGCACATAATTACAAAACCACTTTACACTTACACCTCTACTCAATACAATGCCTTAAAAATAGCAACCTTGAATAAGTACTCATGAGGAAAGTGGTGGGGAAGATGGCACAAGGTCGGGTGGAGTGCGGCGCGCGTCTGCCAAGAAGGGATGTTGCAGGGCAGCTCGAGCTGGAAGACGTTCACTTGGATCATATCGCAGCATGGCTTCAAACAGGTCAGCAGCTGCTGGGTGTTGTCTAACTGTAGCTGGCAGTAATAAGCGCGCAGACCGTGATGGCCAGCGTGGGAAAGAAGCCCGGTAATCAGGTAGTAATCGCGCGCCCGCCCACACATTATCACCAGGTGTCCCTAATGCTCGGAACACCCGGAACAGCTGATCAATTTCACTGTCACCTGGAAATAGTGTGCGCCCACTTGCCTAGAACAAGCATATACTATTATTTATCTGATATTCTCTAATATCTTTTTTTAATTCTAAAAATTGGTGAAAGAACAGTGAAATTAACATTTTAAAGAAGATGCTCACCATCTCTGCAAATATACATGCGAGACTCCAGATGTCAACTGCAGTAGAGTAGAACTTTGCGCCAAGCAGAATCTCTGGAGCTCGGTACCAAAGTGTAACTACCTCATGTGTGAAGGCACGGACAGGAATGGCAAAGGCACGTGCCAGGCCAAAGTCTGCCAGTTTTATGCGGCCCTCTGAATCCACCAATAGATTCTGTGGTTTAAGATCCCGGTGGAGCACTCGACGTGCGTGACAATATGCCACACCTTCAGCCAACTGGCGCACATAACTCTTTACTAGATCCAACCGCAGAGGGCCTTTAGACAGCTCCATAAGTTTTTTGAGGTCCATGTGCATAAACTCAAATACAAGAAAGAGTTTGGTGTCAGCAAGCAAAACATCTAATAGCTGCACCACACTTGGGTGCTTTAGCTCCCGCAGCACAGAGATCTCACGCAATGCTGTTGATGGCACACCCTCTGGCTCACTGAAATCATATGCTAGTAATATTTATACATTAATTTACATATTCTCTCTTATGTTATGTCTAAATAACTTATTTCATGAAACATTTCATTATCAGACACAACTGGCTTCTCACCTCACAATATGTAACTTCATACTACTGAAGTAGGCAGTAGCTGAGGTGGTAGTGAGGAGGTAGGTGAGGTGCCTAATATTGGTTAGCTAGGAAATAACGATTTCCATTTTAAAGCTGTGTGTAATGTGTAAGCTTCTTTCATAGCATTCACATGATACACAGAATTGATACCCATAAGTTCATTAATTGCAAGCATTATTATCTTTGAAGTAAGTTTAGATTGTTTTTCTACTGCAAATATATGCCTAACTTGAAGTGACTATTAAAACTTATCATTATTATAATTCTGACAAATTAAGGGAAATTTGGGATAAGTTTAAAATTCTCATGATATAATTTTTTTTGACAGATGCCTTCACTTTTCGCGCCAAACTTACTTTTCAAGTTTAATCTTCTTTAGAGCAATTTCTTTTCCAGTTTCATTATGTTTAGCTTTATAAACTACGCCGTATGTTCCCTCACCAATTTTCTCAACATCTGAAAAATTTTCCATTTTTAAAATATTTGAATAAAGTTTTCTAACCAATAAGTTGTATAATGCAAGTTCTATTGATAATTGTATTAAAATTTACACAGTTTACTTTGTTGTAGAATGTAGTGTCTACACATTACAGATAATGACATGTTGAATGACAGTTAACGTCAGTTGGTAGTAAGTTAGTAACTAGTAAGTAGTTATTAAGGTAAGATTCAGAAAATAAGCGTAAGTTTGACTCAGGTACGATAAAAATGTATTGAATTGACATAAGGTAGTCATATTTTGCTGTTTGAGCTCAGTCTAATTTTTTAATTTTGACCCTAAGTAGCGCTTATGACGTTAGTCTGTCTAGTATGGTCCTTTAAAAGCTCTTATGTCCTAAATAAGCAAAAACTATTCAATATAATATATAATGTTAGTTAAACTTCGTTACATTTATTTTTAATTTAAAGATTACGGTTGGTTTTTCGGACTTGTACCCAAAAGTAATTTTTAGAATTACCGTTTATCGTAATTCGTTTAGTGATAGTAGACATTTAGTTTACTAAAAATTAGTACATTTATATACCTTTAAAAAGAAAACTACTTGCTTGGAAATGCAGTAAAATTAGGCAACAAAGCAATTTACAATGTCGGATGCTATCAATCATATGTCTTATGAAATTTTGCGTCAAGTTGCTGCATCCCTAAGCTAAAGAAATATAGCATTTTTATCAAAATTGTTATAAAAATAAATATACAATTGATCTCTAATCTTGATATAACAATTTATTGTTAAACATACTGTTTGACTCAATTTTATTGAAAACATATAATAAGGAATAAATTAAAATAAATCTATTTGTAGACATTTAAAGCTTAAACAAGTGTAATTTTTTCTAATTGTGCAATAAGGTCCATGTGGTTAAAGGACTGTGGGGAGATAGTAAAAGATTTTAGTAAGTTGAGTTTTTCTGCATCTTTCCCATTGTAATACATTTGGAACTGATTGGCAAGACATTGAGCTTCTTGTCCACCCAACACATTCTGCAAAAATACACAATGTTATTGAATTTAATTATTTTGATTGATTTACATGATTTGTTAAAAAACATGTCCACACTTTAAGGTTATATTTGTTAATGGATAAACATGATAGGAAGTAGAAAAACATACCTTATCATAATCTCCTCTCATCAACACAATACCCTTGTCAGCTAGCTCAGTGTAATGAATCATTGTCAAACACTCAGGGGCATTTTCCTTATGTACCTAAAATTCAATTCCATAAATGCTATTTTTTTTTTAACAATAAATAAACTACCTACTCATTTAACTTAAGTAAAGGTTATTTTATTTAAATGAAATTTTTCTCACCTGATAAGCTAAAAGTGGGGTGAAGTGAACAGAGTGGCCAGAAATCTGGCACATTATAAACTCAAAGCCCTGTGCACGGGGGAGAGGAAAAATAAATGTAGGATTGTCCTTTGTCCTCGGTCTCATGTCTTCATATAGTTGTAGAGGTATAGTGGCACAGATCACTTCTTTATCTTTGTGATACTCTTCCCAAATTACTTGTATCTCTGATGCATCTTTATCTTTAACCAGATCAGTTTTAAATATTGCATCAAGCTTTTTATCTTCTATGCTTACATTAGATTGTAAATTTTCTTTGGGATTAAGTACTGACGAAAACTGCCTGGTAAACAAAAAAAAATTATGAAGACAACCATAACCATATGGTATAATATGCTTAGGATGGTATGCATGGAAAATTGAAGCCTAATTTACACAAGATGCCACTAATGATATGGATTAATCAAGCTTTAGTCACTAGTTGTATTTGAAAAATTAAAATATATTCCATACTACCAAACATGTTTTATTTTTACCTAGTATCCACGGATGATAATTGTTTCTTCATAGGGCTCTCTTGAGACTTGCTTTGTTCTTCTAATTTTTTCAAAAATTCTTCCGGCGATGTTTTTTGTAACGCCGCTATACGTTCAGCGTATTTATCAAAATAAGGGTTTTTTTTAAGATTTTCCATGGCCTTTTCACAATTAATCGGCGTAGTCATTATGTGCCGTAATTTTGTTGTTGTAAAAAGATTTAGTTTTAGTCGCCTCAGGCAAAATGCCATCTATAACCTGAAATAATTATGTAATATTGAATCAATATTTGTCTAAGGCAAGACTTTTCCTAAAAGGAATAATTAGAAAATTTCACAATAATTGTTTATTATGATTATAATGTAAGGTTATATATAAAAAAAATTCAAAAATAATACATTTGATATTTCTTCATTTTCATTATTTAACAGCTGACGTTCGACATCTGTCACAATTCACATAGTTGATAGTTGCAAGGAAATCATACAATATTAAGTATCCCACTTCCTACTACAATATAGTTTATAGAGATGAATTATTAGAGACTAGGAAAATGTTTCAAGGTGTATTTCAAACGATTCGATGATATTTGATAGCAAAAAACTTCTTTGTACTGGTATACTATTTAGAAATAAAATTTTATATTAACGCTTAAATAAGTCACAGAGAACTATAACATCTGATTATCGTCTAAATTTGACTCCGCTCTCGACTTACAAGTGTCAAGCGAGTTGTGAAAACTGAAATGTCATAATAAGTACCTATAACCTACATAGAATTTGTAATTTGTAAATCAATTAATAAATAATTCTTATTTAGCTACTGTTTCATGTGATACTATTTCATTATTGATTATATTATAATACCTGGTATTATCTGGTTTTCTTTGAATGGTGTTAATTTTAAAAACCGATTTCTGATAAGAAAAGTCTCATCATGAAGGGGTAAGTAAATCGACCCGTATTTATTCAAAAACGTGAGAAGTTGTTTAGTTGATTTTAACAATATTACATAACCAGAATTACACAGCGATAGCAGTATATAGAAAAAATCACAATATAATAAAACTCCTTTGAAGGAACTAATTTAACACTGAACTGATCTTAAATTATTTTTGAGTTAAAATATATATCAATAAAATACTATTTATGGTTTAGTATTAATTTAAAATATTTTCAGTAAATCCATTTAGTTCTCATTTATCCAAATAATAAAATATTGTAATTAACGCTTTTCGTATTTTTATTCTATCACAAGTAAATTTTTAAACATTAAATTATTATTATATTATAGCATTTAGAAAGTGAACTTTCTCAAATAGAACTCAGTATATAAAATTCAAAATCATTTATTCATTTAGGTAACACAATGTACCTACATCTTATGAACGTCAATAAAGAAATACAATATAAAATGCTAAATGCTTTTAATTTTACATTGAACTTTCTCAAATAGAATACAGTATACAGATGTAACATGTGGAGATGTAAAGAAAAATAATTTTAGTTTTATTAATATAATGTTCACTATAATTTAATAAAATATATTTTATTTCTGTGTTAATTTAAATTAAGTAAATGTTAACTTTCATATTTTATATTGTTGTGTCAAACTGTGTTTTGTGTTTATATATATACTCATGAGTAACAAACCAATTAATTATATAAGAATATGTTTTGTATACAATATTTGTTGTTGTGGAAGGACATTACACATATCCTTATTTATTTTTTAATTCTCACTTTAAACAGAGAATAATCCTTAATGATAAACAAGGGGCTGCAGACTAGTTTTTGAAAAATTTACACTATGTGCGTGTGTCCGAGATACCACACTTGCACTTATATTTGCTACAATAGCTTTTTTTAACTCAAAGGGTTTAGTTTTCTTTAGGGGTCTTATACCTGTTGTATCAAGAAGTTGGATTGCCTCAGCATTCACATGGTTATATAGCCTGTTTAAGTGAGCTAAGCAAATGTGAAGCTAAGGCAAAGACTGTCTAATAATTTAAAGGTTATAAATAAATGAATTATTGCAGAGGCATGTGTGAACAGAAGCCAGGTGGGGGTAGGTGAGGCAAGGCGAAGGGCGATGGCAGAGGATGAAGTCGGGCTTGCAGACGCCGTGCTGCTCGCGCCCCTCACCGAAGACTCCTTTCTACACAACTTACATGTCCGATATAAAAGAGATATCATTTATGTAAGACTTATTCAAACTTCTTTATGACGCATTATACAATTCAGCATTTACATTATCTCATTGTAATTGAAATTTTTTGATAAAAAAAAAAACCTTCGGCTTTGTTCTACTAACTACTAACTAGGCGTATAATGTCTGAAACTAACCCTAAACTTAACTATAAACAGAAATTGGAATAAAAGCTTTCTGAACTAAGAAAATAATAAAAGAGGTTCACTTTATTTCATAAAATATTCTTTTAAATAATTTTATCTGCTGTATGGTACAGACAATAAACAATAGATTTTTTAACCTTGTGCTATATTTTTTTAAATAAGGGATTAACAGAATGATTAAAACAACTTTATGTGCTACTTACGTGATGGTTAAATAAAAAATCTTCAATGAATTTAAAATTATACAAAAATCCGCCATTACACAAGACACAAACAATTGTTATTATTATTTTTTCGGAATGCTTTTTGCGTTTCTAACGTTAAGGGGTTATAATGCGGTTTCGGTATTGTGGCTATGTTTAACTGGAAACTAAAATTGAAAATATACATTATCAATGTCGTTGACCGAAGTAGTCTTAGAGTAGAATGTTTTGTTACTCCTGCATTGGATTTCGTCTATGTGCATAAATAATAGACAACGATATGTTTTTTTGTTTACTGAAAGATTTTACAATTGTAATGAGATTGCTAGGCGTGTCGAAAACCACCCCTCTCTTGCTGTTATATTCTTTATTTGTAACAATCAGACGTCTGAATTATTTATGAGTTTGAATTGGACAATACGATTTTAGAAGTTCTTTTTCTTTTTTTGCGTCTGAGGCGCAAACCAACTGTCGTGGTCTCTGACAGTATGACCAGCGCTGTGGATCACGTTTGATTTACAGCATAATGCTGAGCCAGGGCCAGTTACTACCACAACACGCACACATTTCACGCTTAAAATGTACCTAATTATTATTATGTATATAAACACACTAGCAGCTTAATAAGCTGATGTATTTTGAGATTTGGAGAAACAGTCGGCCACTACTCGGTTTGGGAGAAAGTTCTTTAGGGAATTTTGTTGTTGAGTGGTCTTAAGTTTACCTGATCCTTTTTTTCTTTCCATAAATTTTTGTGTTTCTCTTTTTTGTTATTATTATGATTATATTGTGTCTTTCTAAGTGTGTGTTTCGTTAGTAATAATGTTGTGTATTGTCTCAGCGGAATAGCCACTGAAATTTGTCTATCAGATTCCCCGCTGCCTCTCTAATGATTTATGTTACCGAACATACAGTTCCTCAAATTTTTTCTTAATCTTGTTCTTATCAATGTAAATGTGTACCTACTTTATAGAGTTTTTTTCTTTAATAGTTAAAAATTGCATACAATTCTTATTTGTACTAATATCTTTAAATTACCGTGAATTCGAAAATTTTAATGTAATGTATTTATAATATGCTAGCATATAAAATTTCGCATTGTTTATTACGCCCTCGCGCTAAAATTGCTGAAGCGAGTTTTGATAAGTTGGTTACTGTGGCGTGCTAACACGAGTACTGGAGGCAGTTCTCCCTCATTAGTCTATAGTATTAACCAAACGAAAAGCACACAATGATTAACTAAAATTTATTCACATTGCGCCGTTTATTTTGTTAACTTAATCTAATTTGTTATGGAATACGCCGATACAATGGTATACGTGATGGTGACTTTTGTAATTCATGTATTTTCCTATTCCTTTTTATTGTATTTTAGAATTATTTGTGATTCATGAACCTTAAAATGAGCTTTTAGTTCAGTTCCTAGTTAAGTAATTGTATAATTTTGTACAATAAATTATTTGTTTGTCAAAAAATAAAAATAAATAATAATTTCAATTAAAATAGACGGAAAAATACTTGAACGAAAACATAAAGAAAAATATTCGACTTATTTTGGATAGTAACCTAACTTGGAAGCCACATCTAGAAAAAATTAAACTTAAACTAACTCCGCTCACAGGTGCGAAACTAACAAATTGTCTCCCACAAAAAGTCGGTATCTGATCTATAATTCTCTGGTTAAGCCTCATGTCATACCTCATGAGGTCTGGGGTACTCAGCAAAGAGTAATTTGATCCTATCCAGAGAACTCTAATAGATTGATTAAAAACTTATTTAACTATAAACTTCGGACGCCTACGGAAAGGATATAGAGGAAAAATTAATGAATATTAAACAAACTACACATACTACTTTATTCTATACAAAATATTAAATAGGAAATTAATTCTAATATAAAATTTTTAACCAAACAACAAACACGAAATGCTAACTTAAGACGTGTAGTTACTGTGACCCCCCTCCTAGAACTAACTATGGCAAAAGAAGTTTGGAGTATGAGGGTGGTACAATTTATAATAAGTTACCATAGTTATAAAAGAGAACAAAATTATCCGATTTAAAAGTTCTAAAAATTACACATTAATTAATACAAATAAGTGATCAAATATAATATTATATTTATATATATTATATCGACAAGAATCGATAACACTTGAAATGTATAATGTTTAAGAACTTTAAATAACACCACTCATTTAAAGAATTGTATTTGATTTGACCAAAATCTGCCTATAGGTGATTTTAATTTGTAAAAATGTTTTATAAACCTTGTACATACCCTAAATATATAAATATAGGAATAAATGAAAATAAAATAGTCTTATGAAAAATAATAAAATAATCAATATAAACTTGTTATATCAGACTATCCATCAATCCACATCTAGAAAAAAATTAAATTTAGAAAAATTAAATTCTAAATCCTGTTTCGCTTGGTTGACTGACCAAGTTTTTATGTCTACCCACATTTTGGTGTGTTCTGTTTTCTTATTTTTTATTACCTACATCTGTGCGCTCTAATTTTTAATCTTAGTTTTAAATATGTGTTTCTCAGTAAGTGAATTTTCAATTCTTATGAGAAATAAAGTTATTCTTAAACCAAATAATTTTACATCGTTATTTGTTTGTGAAATTGTGGTAAATTGCTAAATGTGCATAACTAAATATGCACACTATAGTATTATAGTATTTTCATAACAATTAAACACAAGGAACACGAATTTATTAAATCTATTTAGTTTATTTTTATAACAACACAAATGAAACAGGTACTAAGGTACGTAAAACTAATTATGGACTTGACAAATCAGTATACATTTTACACTACAGCTATATCTTACTACTACTAATATAACTTAAGAAATCTCCGCGTTATAGGAAGGAAATAACGCGGTATTTATTTCATGTGGGGTACACCGTACAGACAGAGCAATTATTTATTTTTATTATTAATGAATTAACTTAGTTGAATAACTCCAGTTTAATGTTATTTATGTGTTTCAATAATTGCAGACATACGTAGGCAACGCCCTTATTTCGGTAAACCCATGCCGACCTCTGCCACTCTACTCGGCGGATCTGGTGCGGACCTATTTAGCGCGACCGCCATACTTACTGCCACCGCATCTGTAAGTACTTTTACTTTTATTAATTTTATACATAAATTTATGTGACGGTGGAAGTTAAATTTGTCACAATTTCTCCGTCCACCGAAGCGTCGACATTCATTATGATAATACCTATTATTTTTTTTTGGACCACAAAATTAGGACAAACACATGATATAAATTGACATACATACATAAATATCAAAAGGGTGGTGCCGTCCCTATAACATTGACACCAATATGAAAGGACACGCCGAAAGTAGATACAATAAGACAGAATAATTATTGGTTAAAGTACGAAGTGCGACAGTAGGAACCAGGTATTGACGCCTGTGCCAAGTGTCGATGTACGGGTGTCTTTAAATTTGACTTTGTTTGTACAAGTAGGTACATATAAAATAAAAGAACAAAAATTAAGCCTTGTACCGTTGATAAACAATTAGTATTATTATTGATGGCTAGAGAATTGATTGATGTTACATACTGCGGCAAGCTTTTCTGACAACCAATACCTTGTTAGTAACTGTATATTCTTAATTTTTCAGTAGAACTTGCAAACAATTTTTGGTTTATTGCAACAATAAAAATGCAACCTCTAATTCGCGATAGAATAATAACTAAACAATCATGCTAATCCTGGCCAGAAATCAAGTTATACATTTAGATTGATCCCCCTTTAACAATAAATAATAAATATTTACAGGTATGCGATAACGGCAACGGCTTATAGATGGGTACGTGATAGAAACGAGAGCCAGTGCATAGTTATTACGGGTAAGTTTTAATCACGTTTGTATTCGCAGAATAACAAAAATAATTGATACTGTGCAAGTTGCCCTAAAACTTAAGTGGAGATGGGCAGGGCACGTTACCCGTTATACAGATGACAGATGGTCAGCCTTCTGTGCCTGACACACGCTTCTGTGATGTCCACTATGCTGCAAATAACACTAAATAACAAATGTTGTTAACAAAGGTGAGAGCGGTGCTGGCAAAACAGAGGCCGCGCGTGTGTGCCTCCAATGTGCGGTAGTAGCAGGTGGATGCGCGGGCGGCGCAGCGGGTGGCGGAGCGGCTGCCACGCTAGTTGCGGCCGGAACTCTTCTCGAAGCCTTTGGGAATGCCGCTACTGCAAGGAACCATAATGCCAGTAGATTTGTAAGTACGAGCATCGACACATTACTGGGTTCTTGTCTTTCACTAAAATCAAGATTTTAAGCCATTCATGAAAATCGGACTGTCTCTTTTCAGCGCAGGGTAGACATTATTTGACAGAAAAAGACGAAAGTGTATTTAAGTGAAATCAGATTTTCATGATCATTTTTTAATAGGCCCATGCCTATTAAAAAAGCGCGTGCGTGGGTGATCAGCTATCTGTATCTGACACACGCCGTCGACTTGGTTATAAGGCATGCCGGTTTCCTCGTTCCTGCATTTATTTAAGTCATCACGCCCTTTTCCCAATAGGATAGGCTGAGACCATAGATCTCCACTGGCTACGGTCTTGACATACCTCACTCGCTTCGCCCACTTCGTCAGTTCTCGGTACATTAAACTGGAATCAAATTATCAAAAATCTCTGAACATTTTACTTTTGTTGATCCCAAAATACTATGAAAAATTTCAAAACTCATTGCCAGGTGGCTATGGGAGCGTCAGAACCTATTAAGCGAAAAGTTCTTCTAACGTTTGTTCGACATTGAATCTACCTACCGTCCCACCCGAAGTGAGGAACTGTTTTGATCTACGATGTAACATTTTCTTGCACTCTACAATTTGTTTATTGAGGATTGCAAGGAAATGTCATCTGTCAACTGTCAACAACAATAAGTTGACCAATCATTTTTAAATACAGGGAAAGCTGTTGGATATAGAGTTGGACTTCAAGGGAGAGCCGATCGGTGGACACCTGACACACTGTGAGTATTTTGTGTTCTGGTATTGTTTTGTGTTAAGCATTTAAAATAATACCATTTTATATTATCAATACTATCATTTATTTGTAAAATTGTTTGGGTTGTTTCAAGCAGACCTCTTGGAAAAGGTATACAACTATTGACTAATAAATTATTATTGATTTTATAAGCTATGTAATTTTTTATTACGGTCTTGAAGTAATTTCATGAATTGGGGTTTTTAGGAACGCGTTTGCTTCGTATCAGACGGCGAACGAAATTTCCACGTACTATATCAGTTACTAGCCGGTGCAGACGCGCAATTGCTCAAGCGGCTTAAGCTGCAGCGCTCATGGGAGGCGTACCGGGTACTGCGGGGTCGCGCGCCCCCCGCGGGCTCGGAAGACGCGTCCCCGCCCCTCCGTCCGCCCCCGGGCCCCGCCGACCCCCACGCAGATCGAGACCACTTCGCATTCACCAAAGCCGCCATGAAAACCCTCGGACTGAGCGCGGCGGAATGCGGGGCGGTTCTACGAATTCTCGCCTTCATCCTCAAACTGGGCAACGTCCGTTTCGAACCCCTTCATCACATAGATGGCTCGATTGGAGCGCGTGCACATCATGAACTCGAGTTACGGGATGCGTGTGCGCTGGTCGGAGTCGATCCGGATACCTTAGCTCTCGCTTTGGGTGCGGCGCCGGACGCAACGGTGCCCCCACCTGCCGCTCCACCCACTGAGGCCCCACACGGTAATTGTTTCTTAACCTTATCGTACTGTCGAGTTGATCGACCACAGTTTACTCCTGTAAAATACCTAATTTAAACTTTTCATGGTACAGAAGACGAGTGTTCAGTGGAGGAGGAAGAGAGTTCAGTGGGGGGTGAATCCGAGGCGTGGAGCGAGTGGGGGGAATGGGGAGAGTGGGCGGCGCTACGGAGGGATCGTGTGCTTTGCGCGCTGTATTCGCGTCTTTTCAACTGGTTGGTGCGCGGCGTTAACGCGGCATTACGAGGAGCGGCCGGCGGTCGTCGTTCACTGGGCATTCTGGACGTGTACGGATTAGAGTCGTTGGCGCACAACTCGTTGGAGCGGCTGCTCATCAACTACGCGGCGGAACGCGTGCATGCGGCTGTCTGTACCCTAGCCTTGCGCCGGCAGCAAGAGGAGTATGCGCGCGAGGGGCTCGCATGGACGCCGCTGCCTCTTACCGATCATGAGGCCGCCGCGGATGCGTTGGACGCGGGACCGGACTGCGTGCTAGCAGCATTGCGCGATGCCACCCTTCGCGCGGCTCCCGACTCCCATTTCATACAGCGTCTGCAGCGTCGTCGGCATCCACGCGTCTTGCCGTTGCCGCCCGATAGATTCCAGTAAATATTATTCTTAATTGATGAAGCCTTTTATATTGCATATCCCATGATTTTGTTTTCAAAGAAAGATTGTTGCTTATAGCGCGCATTAGATTTTCTGTCCATAAAATTTTTTTATAGAGATTTTTTTTGGTTGCTTAGTAACGTTTTGAGCTATAAGGCCCGGTACGGAATTTTATGAGGAGTAATTTTATGTTTACATGTTTATAAAGTTGAGGCGTTATGTAGAAAGAGACAAATCAATTAACGGATAAAGAATGAGATGGAGTACATTACACAGACTTCTATTTTGAATTCACGTTTTGACAGCCATCATTAGCAACATAGTCAGTGTGACAGGTGTAAAAAATAAATTGTCTACGTTGCCATAGAGTTTTGTCAACCCTAGTAATGGTCAGTGAAATTAAAACTAAAAAGATTGTTCATCCGTATCCGTCTCTTACTAGCCGAAGGGTAACTTGGTCAGCCAGAAAGTAAAATCCCCAATTTGGGCTCATAGATGATTACTACAAACATTTATATTATAAAAACATATATAAAAATAAAATATGGTCGACACCGCCGCCACAGAACATTATCTCCATTTTATCGTTCGTAAGGAGAACTCAATCGTGCGTCGTGGAGCTGGCACACATACGACTTTTTTGTTGCTATATCGTTTCGCGCAGTAATGTGTGATCTTTTGAATGGTTATTTTGATGTTTATATGTTTATAAATGATAGTGAACGCGTAGACACAGGACGTCATAAGAGGATCACGCATTTCGGTGGCGTGGTGGTGTACAGCGCACGCTTGCCATTCGAGTGGCAAATTACCGTGACTCGGTCTGTCGCCGTTGTGCTACCGCTCCTGGCCGCAGCTCGTGAGCCCTTGTTGGCCGCGCGTTTCGGCGCGCCTTGTATCGGCTGCTCAGAGGCCGTGGCGAGAACATCGAGCGGGTCACCGCGTCGAGCCGGAGCGCACAATCGCGTGCTCGGCCAGCGTGCGCTCATAAGCCGCTAGCTACATGTAATTTATAATGCACGCTACAGACGCCATACGATACTCACACAGTAAGATATCTACGCACCGACACCGCGCTCCGATAGCCAGACACACGCTTCGACGAACGCCGACCGCAAAATGAACGTCATTCAAAGATCGAACTCAAGGCATCGTGGAGATGGCTGCGCGTTATCGAAACGGGCGCTGGTGCAAGTCGCTGTGCGCACGCGGCTGGTGGCGCAAGGTATGGGATCCTAGCGGTGGCGTCGTTCGACGCTAGCGATACGACGTCGGCAAGTAAAGGAAGGAGAATAGGCGGTGCGCGCGTGCGCAAGATTTCTGAATGACGCATAATGACATTTGCCATTTACCGTGTAAACAAATAAAGGCGTTCGGACGAATTTCTCAAGAAATTTCGTGCTTTTGAATAATCCGGCACACCGTGATGGAAATTGAATATTTAAGCCAAGGCTAGTTGCGAGCGGCCTCGTGGAGAGGCTGTGCTATCACCTGCCTAAGGGCTTGGCGAGACAATCGAGCGTTACGACGTACGCCTATCCGCCCATCGAGCAATCGCCCTGGCCTAAAAACATGAGCGCACATAAGTTTAGATCAAAACATGTAATTTTCTGCATTTCATCTACGCAAATTCAGTAAAGATACAAAACAATTGAAAATCATTAGAGTAAATGCACAAATTGCATAGAAAAAGAGTTTCACATCTCAGCTATGAAAATCAAAAACGGAGAAGCCAACTTTTTTAATATTGAAACAAACATTCAAACATGAAAAAATACTTTTTTTAATGTATGAGTTTGAGATTTTAGTTTAACATCTTCCGTATATACCTTTTTAGGCTCGACAAGCGTCAGTAGAAGATACAATAGCGCTGCAGCCTTCCTATGTAAGTATTTAATATTTAATTGCTATGAGATTTTTTTTTATTTTTCTTCTACTGTAAAGTATATATTGGATTAATATACTTTTCAACATCTGATTCTCTAATTTCTCGGGAAACTGTAATCTGTGATTTATGATCGCTCATTTTCCTACTTATCTAGGTAATTGGACCTTTTATAGTTTTAATTTAAAATACGCGCAGAACATCACTAACATTTATTTAGCGATATCACCTCCTGAAAATATTTCTAACACATTTTACTAGTGTATTTAATTTTTATCTAATCAAATGTTTGTATAACTAGTCTGGCCATAAATACATATCAAAATGTGTATATAACACAGTGGCGACCGGGCGCACCAGCAGCACCAAGTCCAGCGGCAGCACGGGCGGCCGCGGGGCTAGTAGTATGGCGCGCGTGGTGTTCTAGCGCCCGACGGCGTTACCTTCGCGGGCTGTGGGCCCGATTGCCGGCGCGGCATCGTTCGCCCGTCTGCACCGCGTGGCCTCCGCCCCCTGCCCCCCGGCTACTCGCCCGAACCGACTCCCTACTTCGGCGCTTGCATCACCGCTGGCGCTGTCAACTGTACCGCCAGGCGTTCGACCAGACCGCAAGGAACCGCATGCGGGAGAAGGTGACAGCCAGCGTGCTGTTCAAGGATCGCAAAGCGTCGTACGCGGTGAGCGTGGCGCACCCTTTTGTGGGGGATTACGTGCGCCTCCGAGCGTCCGGGGCGTGGCGACGCGGGGCGGGCTCGGGTGCGGCCGACCGCTACGTGGTGTTCGCGGATGCGGCGGTGAGGGTAGCGAGGGGGGGCGGCGCCGGACGTGTCCTGGCGGTGGTGTCGACGGCGGCGCTTCTGCTGTTGGAACCGCGATCGTTGCGTGTGAAGCGACGGGTTCCGGCGCAGCAGGTGTATCGCCTGTCGCTTTCGCCGCACGCGGATGACGTGCTGGCGGTGCACGTGCGTGCCCCTGCCGCCCCCGATGACTCTGACGAGGATCTCTCGCAGTGCTCCTCGAGGGATGCGTTGGATGCCCCCGGGTGTCTATTTGGGGTAAGTAGTTAAAAAAATATAATAATAATAAGGGTCAAAATTCCTTGTCGCCTAAATCTGAACAGAAATTAAAATCACATTTTTGTTTTTGATATTTATTTCCATTATTTATTTGCAAAGGTAATTTACAATGTAATTGTACATATATGTTTGTATAAAGTAATTATAAATTATATAGATATATATTTATAATCTGCATTTATAAAATTTATATCTCGTTATATTCCTAGAGTATTAGGAAATAACATAAACAAAATATGTAGAGTGAAGGCGGTTGGCGGCGACGCGGCGACGTAGTGTTACGGACTTGCCACGTGTTGGAACTGGCCACGAAGCTGTTCCTCGTCGTGCAAAACGCCGTGGGCGCGCCGCCGCACGTTAATATTGCTTCCGAGTAAGTCATACATTAGCGTAGACTGTTATTTTTAATTAAATAAACGACACATGCATCTACCTTCTTTTTATACTATACCAATTACTATAAATGCTACTATTTCCTTTTTAACACGCCATTAGTCATACTATACATGTCATAATTATTAGTGAAATGTAGTTTATCTGTTACCACATGCATACACTAACTAAGCACACTGTAAGAGAGTATAGCCAGACGGAGGCACTCTCTTTGACTGTTGTTCGGGCTGCTGCCAAAACACTTTAATGATATTTAAATAAAAGATTGCTTTGCTCTTAAAAACTAATTTAATGAGTGATCTCGGAGATGGTTGATGACACACTGATGTACCTGTATAGAAAAGCGTCAGACGGAGGCTCCTATACGTACTCTCTTTGCTATTTTACAGTGTTGTTACTCGAACATTGCATTCATTTGCTTCATAGAAATTAACTAAATTAAGGGAGTTACGCCCCGAGAGTATTGCCAGACGTGGGCACTCTCTTCGACCGTTACATTGCATTCATTTGTTTCATAGGAATTAACTAAATTATGGGAGTTACGCCCCGAGAGTATAGCCAGACGTGGGCACTCTCTTCGACCGTTACATTGCAATCATTCGTTACATACCAACTAACATTTCATTATTTCGCTTATATTCTATTGTTGTACGCGAGTGGATAATATAGAGTTAAAATAAAATCCTCTATTATTTAAAGCACATCAGCGTCACCAAGCTCCCATTCCTTTACTCTCGCAGCTTAATAGTCTTCTCGACTCTTCAGCGGAGAGCGATCTATTTGTGTAGCGTTCTAGGATATACAATGATTTAAAAATGTACTTGGTAAAGAATAATGAATGTAAATAAATTATCCAATTAAATTACATTCATGCACCATTTAGTATAATTTTTTGTACCAATTTTTTATTCACACTTATACACACACACAAACATACATATAGGAACTAACTCAACTCTACCTCTCTCAAACCTTTAAAAAAAGTGAAGAAGTGCAAGAATGCGAAAATTATAAAAACAAAAAATAATTACTAGTAATATCCTTTTCAGATTTGAAGCAAACTTCGGTCAGCAGTTAGTGACAATAGCATTTCATGCGACGGGCAGTGCCCCCTCTGGGGCTCGCTTAGTCCGGCGCGGAAGCCGTCTTGACGTCCTGCTGTGACCGGGGTAAGACACGACAATATAACTGTAAATTCCACACGCGGTTTCGATACACAAAATTACTGTTATTATGGCCGTCTCTTTTCTTTAGGGAGAATAGTTTAAATAAAATCTAGTTAATGCATTTTTTTTAATTTGGAGTACTATCTGTGGTGAGATAAAGACTGCCACCGTCTGTCAAGTTGACATAACTATTTGCTTTATGATTATAGTTTATTTTTTATTAATTTGAAAAGTGGATACAAGTCCTTTAGTCGGAATAATAGAGTACAAATGTGACTTAGGATAACTTATGATTAGTATATTGAAATAAAATTAGCTGAACTGGCAAAAGAGCGGAATTTTGGACAGTCCAGTGCCAATATCGCTATTAAAAAATGGGATTGGTGGAAGAGTTAAATGTATTTTGTGTCTAATAATTAAAAAATTGAGATTAGTTCTTATCACTTCGGGGTATTTTTAACACAAAACACTTCATAGAAATCGCTGAAATGGAGTGTGGGAGGAGTTTTGTTATGAACACAATCTCGACACCCAAGCCCCTACGTAAATAATTATTGCGACCGCTGACAGTACGTGCCAAAAAAAATTAAGATAAAATTTATTTTGTTCCTATAAAAAAAGACTCGGCCATACATCGCCTCTTTGTCTACGTCCGTGTGTGGTACGTTTTGCCATTGAAGTGTTCTATTCGATTTAAGATGCGTTGCGATTATATTTTCACAGAACGGCCTAATACGCCATAAGTTCGAACAGTGCCTGCGCCTGTGTAAACGTTAGTTATGAGAGAGTTATGTAATAAAATTTTAATATTGTGTAAATATATCAGTGCGGTGTGGTCGTGGCTCGACTGAGATCTTATGGTCGCATATCAGAATCCTGTAAATGCATGTTGCCACATTGCGCTGACTGTTGGTAGCTGTGTAGTGAGTGTGTCGGCTGTTCCAGTTATATGCACTAATGTATTCTACAGAAAGATAAATGTGCCAATAATGGAGAAGTTTTAATTAGTTAATTAAAAAACTGGAAAGAAAAATATTTCAAGAAAATGATGCGCGTTGTTTTTTTTTAAGATTTTATGGCCTAGTAACAAGGCCTTTAAGTCAAGTTTTATTTTCGGACACTTATGCATGTAATTTCATGTTATTCCAATTCATTTGTTTATTTAAATCATCCCCACGGTATTTTACGTATTTATATTATACACTATAACACTTTGAGCAAATCACGTAGGTGGCGGCGGAAGTGATCACTAATTTCCATTCACGTGCCAATACTAGTCTGTGAAAAAAACATTTGGTTTTGACAGTTGAATATGGTGTATGACATAAACAATAGAACAATACTTGAACTATCATAGTCTATTTTGATGATTGTTTTATCTATATTTGAATGCCACGAATATAATATTGACAATGAAACTTCTCCATTAAAAGTCCATACCGATTTGTAATAGTTTTAAAAAACGAATGTTTGGATATTGTGGGACCAGACTATATCCCTCTATCTGTTTATTTAAAATGAATTCTTACATTCCTTTTTTATTCTGCGTGCCAAATATACACAATGTTTTAAAACAATATAATATATATTTAAATATATCAATTCAAACGTAATTTTTCCCATTTTTAGATGATTTGAATGATTATTATATATAAACTTATGTCCTATGGGTATAATGGAACTGCACTAGGGATTATGTGCCAACGGGCGAGGGTGCGTTTAGAGAAATAGCTGGATAAGTATTTCCAAAAGGTTCGGCTCTGATGAAAATTCTATAGACTTTGACTGTAATTTTCTAAGACTTGTGAGGTTACCATGGCTTAGAGCTGATATGAACCCATATTTTGTACCATGCATACCCCATTCTGTATATAATAACTATGCGTAAAGAATCAGTAAAAAGTATTGTACAGAGAGAAAACTGCTCAAAATTACCGTTTGCTTGGTCTATACTGATTTAACTCATGGTCGCCCCCTGACCATAGATAGTGACAGAGATAAAACAACTTTTGGCAAGACGCTTTTTAAACGTAAAAATTCTTGCCGGAGATTTCTCTTGTTAGTTCGTTTTGAATACCATTTTCATCCCACTTTTAAGGCCAGGTTCACACGGCATTGTTGATTGTCCTGCACGTTTTTTAATGTACAATCAGCTGGGTGTTCATATATATTTTTATTCGTGTAAAAACGAATAGCCGCAGTTTTCAAACAGTTGTCACAGTTGTAATAATTAATTATCGCTATACTACATGCCACTACCGGCGAGTATTCCTTTCGTATACACAGTATACGATTTTTTGCAGTACAAAAGACGTGTACAATGCCCCATAATTTATTCGTGAAGACGTAAACTGCAAAAAACGTGCTGGACTGTGCCGTGTGAACCTAAGAGCTGTACAAAATCATGCTTAAATCTCTCGCCTTGTCGCCATCGGCAATTAAAACTCTTTACTACTTAGCAAATAATTAGTCCACTTTTGAAACTATTATGGTTTGTCTATATATTATATCTACTATATATTTCAGGTCTCTGTCGCGCCCTCTACCTGTTTAATTATTATACTCTGATTTTTCATTCCGTAGAATTCTGACATTTCATAAGTGTTGCTACTAAAAAAGTTCTCCACTGAAAAAGCGACAATTTTTACTTATTTGAGGGCAATAAAAAAATTTTTTTTTAAGGTTTACCTACAAAAAGGTAATTCTAAATATTTACTTACTAATTATCACTCGCCGTTAAACTACTTTTAATGTGGAGCATCGCAATTAATAAAATAGATACATTAACTAACAATAAAATGTATGTATAGACTCAGATGTTCAGACTCGTATTGAAATTGAAAAATGTGCCCGGTCAAAAAGGTTTGCCATCTCTGACTTGTGAGCTGTCAGAATTCTACGGAATTAAAAATCAGAGTATAAATTCTTGTTTGAATGAAATATTTAATGTCACAGAATAGTGTGGTAATAATCGATTTAATAGTATTAATTGCCAAAGTAACTCTTATGATAGGGGCAGGGCATCTTGGAATTAATAGGCTTTAAATAATATAATGTTGCGAGTTTAATGAATTGTTGAGGTGCCAAATGTTATGAAATCAGAGAGACTAGATTTTTTCTTCAGATGTTTTAATTGGGCCCGGAATTTACCTGACTCGGTGGCTGATAATATACATTTATATGACAGAAATGGGTTGTTATATGTTAATAGACAGCTAGATCGCCACCGGGCAGAGTGACTTGACACTGTAAATATATTCCTTGCTTAGTTTTTTCACTACCAGATGTCAGAGAACATTGGAAAACTTTACAAGCGTGCCAATCATCACTGGCAGGGTCGTAAGAAACTAAGAGAAGGTAATCCCTTATGTTATCGTTTCTCAAGCGGGTGGGTCGCGGCCCTTGGGGGGGCTCGATTTTTTAATTGGAAACATCTATAGCCGCACGTAAAACCGATTTCTGGCGTGGCGACGCGTCACCACGCTATATGATTGTATATATATACAGTCTATATGCAGTAGTGTGTACGGTGTGTGTATTTCTAAGTCACTGATTAAACGAATTAAGTAGTCACGATTTGTAATAAATTCGTAAATTTTTGTATTTAATGAAAATAAATGTTTATTCAATAAATAGTCATCGTTATCTGGAAAAAAATCGTAATATTTTATTTTATCATTATGACATATTTAGTTTCTATCACAATCTGTTCTTTTCTGCATATTACTTTTACAAAATAATGTCGATGTTTCACATCTGCCAGGCGTCCCGTGACGGCTCACATTTTTTTTTAAAAGGGGTCGCAGTCAGTTGACAAATAATAAATAAACTACATATAGGTACAAATAGCGCGTACATATTATTATAATTTTAGTGACGGGGTCGCAAGACTGTTTTGGATTTTCCGTGGGTCGCGACATAAAAATGGTTGAGGAACGATGCATTATGTATTTGACCCTACCAAATTTTTGGGGTTTCTTTACACAGCTTAGATTCGAGATATATTTAAGATTTATTAAAGCACTATTATATTTGTAATTTTCCCTCACCTAGAATCCCGTACCTAGTAAGTGGGTACTTTAGTTTCTATTGAGATGGAAATGTTTTCAAAATGGTCCAGCGTTGTTTGGGATGCGAGTGAGGCGGCCTTGAGGACATGTTAAATTATCAATAAAATGTTTTATTGTTTTTTAATAAAATTTAACAATGTTTTTATACTGACTTTCATTTTCGTTATCCCTGCATCGACCTTATTATAAAACGTAAATTTCAAAAATAAAATACAAGATTTAGGGTCTGTTTCACAATGTATGGATAAAGTACCAAATAGCTATGCAACAGGTAAATTATTTGGACGATAAATTGTGCTATTTGACACTTCATCGGACTCAACTTATGATGGACTTTATGTGACGAATAGTGCTATCTGACAGTCGTGAACCGCAACAATAGTGTTTATCTTACAAATAAGTAATAAATAGCTAATTTGGAACTTATGTAGAACTTATCCGTACATTGTGAAACAGACCCTTAATGTGACAAGCACTTATAGGCAAACATAAACACATCGATTCATTAATTATAAAAACTAAAAGAAAATTTTAAAGTGTGAGAGGAGCAATTATGGATATCCAGACCTATCTATCAAGAAATAAGGGAAAACTTTTCCAGCCGTCTTACAGGTTGCAGAAAATAAATACTTCATTTATGGGCCTAAGTATACGCTGCTATAACATGATTCCTAGTGAAATATTGGAACTGCCTTTAAACAGATTCAAAACACACATCAAAAAAACCTTAATGTGTAAAGGTTACTACACAGTCAATGACTACCTGGAAGATAAAAACGCTTGGCAATAGTTCTAATTATATTCTTATAATTTGATTTGTTATCTTTGAAGTGTTATGAATATGTGTGTAATGGTGAATGTGGTAAATCACAGAACAGATTTTTTATTTTTTTTTACTTATGTAATTTTAATGACGTTGTGGTTTATGACTTTTTCCTTTGAATAATTGTAATGTAAAGGGAGGGCAAACTTGCTGAGTTTCTTGCCCGTTCTTCTCAGAACAAGGCCTCCTGGTAGTTTTGCGAACGGATGGCGTAGTCTTGCTCTTTCGTGAATTTTGTAAACGTTGTTGACATTCATAAGCATGCTCTAAGAAGCATCTAAATTGAATAAACGTATTTTGATTTTGATTTTATCTCGTTTATCAGAATACTCAATCTGGATATCGGTGAGTTTTGGCCAAAACGCGTTCCTCTTAATGGGATGCCTGGGGTATATCTAAAGGGTACACGAAATTTAACCTGATTTTGAAATATTTTAAAGTGTGAGAGAAGCAATTATGGATATCCAGACCTATCTCGTTTATCAGAATGCTCAATCTGGATATCGGTGAGTTTTGGCCAAAACGCGTTCCTCTTAATGGGATGCCTGGGGTATATCTAGAGGGTACACGAAATTTAACCTGATTTTGAAATATTTTAAAGTGTGAGAGAAGCAATTATGGATATCCAGACCTATCTCGTTTATCAGAATGCTCAATCTGGATATCGGTGAGTTTTGGCCAAAACGCGTTCCTCTTAATGGGATGCCTGGGGTATATCTAGAGGGTACACGGAATTTAACCTGATTTTGAAATATTTTAAAGTGTGAGAGAAGCAATTATGGATATCCAGACCTATCTCGTTTATCAGAATGCTCAATCTGGATATCGGTGAGTTTTGGCCAAAACGCGTTCCTCTTAATGGGATGCCTGGGGTATATCTAGAGGGTACACGGAATTTAACCTGATTTTTAAATATTTTAAAGTGTGAGAGAAGCAATTATGGATATCCAGACCTATCTCGTTTATCAGAATGCTCAATCTGGATATCGGTGAGTTTTGGCCAAAACGCGTTCCTCTTAATGGGATGCCTGGGGTATATCTAGAGGGTACACGGAATTTAACCTGGTTTTGAAATATTTTAAAGTGTGAGAGAAGCAATTATGGATATCCAGACCTATCTCGTTTATCAGAATGCTCATTCTGGATATCGGTGAGTTTTGGCCAAAACGCGTTCCTCTTAATGAAAAATTTTAAACGCAAACTCTCTATCTATGTAACATAACCTATATAATATATGTTTTAAAAACAGGCCCTACACCAGCTAATTTAAAAATCATAATATATTTAATCAAAAGAATAATATATTAAATGCTTCTAATTTTACTTATTTTTTAGTGCCAGTTCTCAAATCAAGGGCGTAGAACGGACGAGAAGAACTGGCAATAAATTCTCCGCCACACTTTTTAATCGCCAAGTTTTTTGTTTGGCACAATGTTTGTAAGAAGCTGCTACCATTACACCATGTTTGTCATTACACATGACATCAGAGTAATGAATAGTTAATTAATAATAAAAAAAGAACAAACATTTGTCCATACATTTGTCCGTACATTCGTGGGAACAACACGTTATAGGCAGCGGCACGTAAGTCTAGCGCTGGCCGATACGTGGAGAGCATTGCTGCGCATGTGTACTGTCGCGCGGGGGACGGAATGCGACTGGAGAGCCAATCGACGCTACGCGCGCCCGCTAGCGCCCCTTAGGTACCTTATTTTTTACTTCTGCGCAATAACGGTCAGCGCTAGAATTTCGTGCCGCTACTTGTACTTTACGTATTACTAAATACCACCAGTACAAATACACTTGGGATAATTTCGTCAAAAAATAAAACAAACACTACACACATATAATTTTATTAAGGTAATAATTTGTTATAAACAATTAAAATGTACACTTAGACCAATTCCACATAACAAATCATTTAGCAATCGGCTTAACAGACGATTTGATTACTACTAGATAGAAACAGTCGATATCTCTTATCATAAACGTGGTGTTTCTGTCGCAATCAGACAGATTGACCTGGTTTAGTAAGAAAGGAGTATCATAGGGACAGAAAGTAAGAACTACAGTCGTCGATTCGTTCAGTCTTATTTCACTCGGCTAACCCGGAACAAGCGGCGGCCGTATATCCTCCATTAGAAATTTGTAATAACAGCGAACGATTTTTTAGAATTAAAAATAAATGAGTCTCTTTTCATCACAGCGTAAACACAATTTGATAGAGGCGAAAGAGTAGATACTTAATTTGTATTTGAAATGATTTAGTCCTTTTTTAATTTAACGTAAGAATTCGTGAAAAACGCCGCTTGTCCCGAAAGTGAGCGTTTGCTCCACGCACACAGATATGTCTATTGTCTACAATAACATGATTTGCAGCCTTAGGCCACTAGTTAGGTCCATACGATATCATTGTAATAAATTTCTCTATAAAATATATCCAATGTTAGTAGTACATCTACTTATACAACAATAGTTTTCTATCAAGTATTGATAGGTAAGAGGACAGCTTCACATTTTAGCATAGGACTGACGAAATAACCCTAACACACTCCGAGGTACTAAGATCGATAAGTCGAAGTTTCAACAAAATTATATAGAAACGTTTTTTGTTCGCTTTACATTTGAATTGTGTATCTTGGATATCAATGTTTAAGATTTGGTATTTGTGCCTTTACTCAGAGAGACTGGGTCCGTCGCATGATAGGAACAAACGGTTGGATACCAGAAAATTTTCTTAATAACGTCACTTTATTGCAGTTTCATCGAAAATAAATCAAATGCTGTATTTTGAACCCTGTGCGTATTGTTAGTGAAGTCTATAAGCTTTAAAGTTTTAAAAACGTAAAACAAAGTGTGGAGAAAATTGTAGGTGGAGGCAGTCAGTGGGGCATGTGAGATGAGGGGTGGTGGGACAATGTGGGGTAGTCTCACTTGATGGAGCAGGTGAAGTGTGCGCGCAGCCGCCTCAGGGAGCTGGCGCCGCTTGAAGCAGCCTGCTTAAGACACCATACAGTTTTTAGTCTCTGTCTGATGGATGTTACCGTAATTCGGTATAGACTCCGAGATAAGAATTTTGTATCAACAAATCCTGTAGAGATATACTATAAAGTTGTCTACCAACAACGGAAATTTTGTTAAAATAAACTTAACTATAAGAGCAGGGTTGGACTAGTAGCTTCAACGTGCACCACTCATACCTGAGATCGTACGTTCGCGCCCTAACTGTGCAACAATGGACTTTCTTTCTATGTGCGCATTTAAGATTCGCTCGAAGGGTGCAGGAAAACATCGTGAGGAAATCGGATTGCCTTCGACCCAAAAAGTCGACGGCGTGTGTCGGGCACAGGTGACTGATCACCTACTTGCCTATTAGATTGATAAATGATCGTGAAACAGATACAGAAATCTGTGGCCCAGACCTTAAAAGGTTGTAATGCCGCTGATTGATTTTTTTAATTATAAGATATTCCATCATGACTATAACTTTTGTCACACTCGTGCACTCAGCATTCTCTAAAATATTTATCTCGTTACTACCTTAAGAGTGCACCCCGCCCCCTCAGGATCGCCGATTGCGTTTTCGTTTTCGATGTCACCTGTAACAAATTAATAAGATTGTTACCAATCCTTTTTGAATAAGAAAAGTACACGTTGAAAAAAAACACCATCTTTCTACGTGATTCTACCTTGGCCATATAGAGGTGGGGGCGGCGTCGGTGATGTGTGCGTACGCGCATTATCTAGCACGGGCGTAGAGGTGTAGTCATTGCCGTTATCATCACGTGAAGCAGAGCTGCTTTCTGTGGAGTTGGGTGCACTTTCACTGGAGCGGTCAGTGCGTCGTGACGAGTCCAGTTCCAGAGATGACCACGATGCGCCAGATTTCTCCCACTCTTCTCCTTCCTCGCTTTCTGCACTCTCTCCGGCTGGCCCACTTTCCCCACTCTCCCCACCCTGCCCGCTACCCCCCGAGTCCCCAGCCTGCGAACAAATGTAGTCCTGGGAAACCCTGAATTAAACATTCTTAACAGCTTTTCTAAACAATCAAAGTTAAATAAATGTTAACATAATAAAAGTTATACTTTATAAAGTTACAAAGACCAAAATAAAAAATTAAAATATAACATCAATTACCTATTGTATTTTTATTGGATAGTAACGTACATTTTTGAAATGCTGCGGAGAGATGGCTTCTTCACTTGAACTCGTGTCTCCTGCTACAAAAAACCAGATTAAAACCGTATGCAAAACGGAGGTCGGGTAGAACACCACCACAACATAGACCCACCTCGGTGTGCATCCACCTTATGTTGTAGCAGCGGGAAGAAACCTCGGGCGGTCGCGTTATGAGGCTCGTACTGTAGAATAAGACGGCAATATTTGAGCGCCTCAGCGTACTGTCTTCGCATTATCGCCGACAGGAACTGTAAAGACACACAGGTGTCAGTCTAAAACGCGCGATCTACGTAAAAAATAACTAACGTACCTCCGCCAAAAACTCGCTCGGTGCTGTGCTTCCCTCCGAGCACTCCGGGCTAGCCGAATGACGTGTTACAGCATCCATCCCGCGAGCGGGCAGCGTTACTACCAGACGACTATCGGGGCGGGCGGGCGACGCGAGGCGCGCGCTAAGCACGCGCAACGCGGCCCGTGACGCCGTGTCGAGCGCGTGAGGGGGCCGCGGCGGTGAGGCCGGTCGTGGCCAAGCGGCGCGAGGAGTTGCCGGAGGTGGCACAGGGCGTGGTGGACCCGGCCGGTACAGCCGTGAATTGGGCACTGGCCGCCGGAATACCCGCTTACGCCTTGCTCGCCTCGACTGGCGTTCTGAATTGTTGCGTGGCCCTGGGTACCTGTGTGCATTTCAAGATTTTTTTTTCTCAGCAACATTAATACAAAATTGATTTGCACCTACTACTTACAGTTCTACAACACAAAAAGAGAAAATAAACTACATAGAAACCGCAACAATGTATGACAAATAACAATATAAACAAATAACACAAAAAACAATTGTCAATTGTCTTAAAGTACCGAGTATGTTTTAATCATCGCTGTAGGTTACTAAATAGTTATTGTTTCAATACCTACCTACTTATAAGTATAAAGAATTGCAACAATATTAAGCCACTTTTTGCGTTTTCTGCTGGTCAAGCTGGTGGCTTGCAAACTATTCTGAGGAAAGGCAACATAAAATCGATTAAAGAAAAAAGATTAGACTTACAGTCTTGGGTTGGGAGTATAGGGCACGGTGGGCGGAGGACGCGGGTGTCGACTCGCGACAGTGCGACGACGCCGCGGAGCGCCCAAGTCAATCACATCTACGGCTTCAGCATCAGTTGCAGATCTAAGCACGAAAAAATCACTGTATTATCGATATTATCTACAAGTTTTTTGTAAGAGATAGACTCACTGATCTGTAGTAAGCTGCGCATCGCCGAGGGCGGAAGGCACAACGATCACTTCTTTGCAGGTGCTTGCGGGTCCCGCCCGCTGTTCACGACTGTCATAGAAAATAAGCTTTACGAAAACACATTCTATGTTGATATAAGATGTTTGACAATCATACAGGTGTATTTTAATGCCTACGAAACTGGGTATATTATTTTCAACCAATGTTTTTATTTTATTTTTTATTTCTATCTTAGTTGCCGATGGCAACGTACGCTTAGTCACACGAGACAATAATTTTCTTGGTTTAACCACGACACTGTTATGAAAATCTCAATCTCACTTGAGATCCACAGTTGTACGGACTGTTGCATGTAGGTAAGTATATAGTACACCAACTGCGTAGAAAGCGAATCTGACCAAAACAAACGCACGTCATAATGTATTGATTCTCAGTTTTAAGGGAAACATTCCGGGAAGATCGGGGCGGAGTACAAGGAAACTTTACATACTATCTTTTCGATAACAGAAAACAAAATCACCACCACACTTACTCTATTTTATATGCTGCTTGCTGGAGCTGCTAGATTACGGTTAGTCAGGCGTCACGCTTCGTTTTACACTTATACTACGCATGCGCCGTCTATCATCTTGCAACCCCTTAAACCCCAACAACCCCCTTACTGATTGCCAGCTATATCACGATTAAATGAAATGGGATTTCTAGGATAACACAATTTTTTTACCGGGATTCATACTCAGGGTAATGCAATCAGCTCGTATAAGATGATGGCATATGAAGTAAAGTTCTTTTCGGGTTATATTTTTCAAATAATAAAAATAAATTATATCGGAATCTGTATTTTTATTTGTGTAACGATTAAGATACTTACGATTTCTTAATTTGTATTGGTTTAACTACCATTTTGCAATATTTTTAATTTGGACAACACTGGATACAAATTTTTTGATTCCGCTAAAAGGAGTTATTTCAATTTAATTTTCAAATATTCAACATGACAGTCAAATAAAGCTTAGGTACTTCGTAGTAAAACACATCATGTCATGCTCGGCTAGAGAGGTTTTATTAAGGAAGAATATCTTTAAAAGTAAAGATAAACAATAACGTTGTTTATCTGCAAAGTACGATGTAATCTCATTTTAAACTTCTATATTATACTGTACCTACTACATGAAGAATGAAGCGTCTGAACTCTCCGATTCAGTCACAACTCACCGTTTTACCTTGGAATTAAAGATAATAAGCTGTAAATTGGTATAAACCTTTGTTTTGTCGTTTCTAAATGTTGTCTAAAAAGTCGCAAGTGCTATGGTGTCCGCGTCGAAGTATTTCCGAACCAATTCGACTTTTGGGTCCTTCAAGAAAATAGCGTACCAATTCTTAAAAGGCCGAGCGCGCTTCCGAGCCTCCTGCCCGTCTGCCTTCTGTAACATTAAAAAAAACGTTTTTACGGTAGACCGCGAAGAGTGCGCCGCGTACAGTCATATATGGCCTAATGCAAGGTCAAGCGTGACTACCGCAAAAACGGTTGATCGTAGGAAAAAACGTTCAAACAAAAGTTGTAGAGAATTTTATATTCTACAACTTTTATAATAGGTACAAATCTCATTTAAGCAATAGAAAGCGAGATATTCACGAAAAACCCATTTTTATGACCTTAGACCTTAACTATCTTAAGACGCGGACACGATAGTACTTGCGACTTTTGCGACAACATTTAGAACCACCAAACAAAGGTTCATACCAATTTACAACTTATTATCTTTCATTCCGAGGTTGACTTCTTTTTTTACCTAACATGACTGGGCTAACTCTGAATATTACCCTTAACAACTACCGTGTGGTTCACGTATATCAACAACATATTTGACATACAATTTTTTAATGGAATCTCGCTGCTGGCCTGAAGGCCTGTTTTGGCGAGCGAAGCTCTGCTGGAAATGCAACTGCACTGGAAAGGACATACAAAAGTCACCTAACATAATAACAGTAAAATTACTTATACTGAAGACTGCTCTCTTCATTTTGATTTAAAGAAAAATGTTTACCTCGTCGTTGACAGTAGTAGAATTATCAACTTTAGCAATAATAAAATGTCAAAAACAACATGACAGCTGTTGTAAGTTATTCTGATTTCTGTGGCAGTTAGTCGCAGAAATGGCCGACTTACTGGTTGTACCGTTTAAAAAATCTTCTGATGTTGATATAGTAAAACCACTCAAAAATTTAATTCAAGCCAATTACAATAACAAAAATGGCAGTGAAAATCTAGGAGATGCTATCGTTGAACTTGGACGACTTCGTACCAATGCTATATGGAAAGTTTTTGAGAAGTCTTCGCTCGATGTTCTTTACAGGTATTTACACTTATTGTATGACTCACTGATGTATAATGTAGCTATTATAATATCATTTTATATTTTTAACAGTTACTATGACCAACTGGTGTCACTGGAGAGCAAAATCCCAGCACATGAAGTTCAAATTCCTTTTAAATGGAAAGATGCTTTCGACAAGGGTTCGATATTTGGTGGGCGAATGAGCCTTAGTAAGTAATTAACTAGTATTTAATCATTACTGATACAAACGATGGTCATAAGCTTTATTTGGGATCAATTATCTAGTTCAAAATTTTTAACATTTATAACAATATTTATTTATTTTTTTACAGCAATCAGTTCAATAGCATATGAGAAAATGTGTATTTTATTCAATATTGGCGCTATGCAGAGTTCTATAGCAGCTCAGCAACCCCTTGACACTGAGGAATCCTTAAAACTAGCAGCTAAAATGCTTCAGCAGGCAGCTGGAGTCTTTGCCTACCTTAAGGGGAACATCATGATGGCTGTCCACCAAGAAACAACACCAGACCTTAACCCTGATACTCTGAATGCACTATCACAGCTCATGCTGGCTCAAGCACAAGAAGTAATAGCCTATAAGTGCATTCGTGATGAGATGAAGGAAAGTATGGTGGCTAAAGTGTGTGCCCAGTGTGATGAGTTATACACTGATGCACAACGGTCTCTCCAAAAAGAAGGGGTCAAGGCTTTGTGGGACCGAGACTGGATTGCTACAGTAAGTTTATTATAATATAAGTTTTGAAAAAAATTCTAGAAAGAGGCTTTCTGACTCAGTGCTGTGCACTTGTGGTCATGGTAACTAAAGATGTATTTTTTGCACATCTAAATGTAAGATAAATTAATTATAAAGAAAAAAATTCTATGATGTAAATCTAGCATTTTCATTTTAGGTGACAAATAAACAGTCAACATTTCGTGGGCTGACTCATTATTATCAGGCAAAGGTGTGTCATGAAAATAAATCTGTTGGAGAAGAGATTGCCCGATTACAGGTGAATTGTCAAAGTAATATTACATTTATTTTGTATTTAAAACAAGTACAAGGTATACAAATACCGAGATATTTACTCACTACTCACTAGTTACTTATTGTGTAATATAGACAAAATAATTTATGCATAAATAAATGAGCTTTTCTTAGATATTTCTAAACTATATAAAAATACCAAAATGATTGCAAAATAATCGACAGCAAAGGCATGTGTGTTTATGCTTTTTTATGGAATTCAAACAAACTTATTTAATAAACGTGTGGAAATTTCATAATATGGCAAATATGTGTGGGGGGCAGGTGGCGATTGATCTATTGAAGAACAGTGGCAGCGGATGGGGCGGCGGACGAGTGGCGGACGTGGCGCGGGCAGCCACGCGAGGTCTGGCGGCGGCTACCCGCGACAACGACTTTATCTACCATGAGCGCATACCAGAAGCCGCCGCACTGGAGCCGGTCCCGCGGGCGTCTGTGGCCAAACCACTCCCGCCGCCATCTCGCTGGGATTCCTCTTCGCGAGACCTGTTCGCCGACCTGCTGCCTTTGGCCGTCCACACCGCGATGCAAGCTAGCTCCACTCGCTGCGGAGAGATCGTCTACGCCGAGGTCGACAAGCTGCGGGACGCCACGCAGCTGCTCAATAGCATTCTCGCATCACTCAATCTACCCGCCTGCATCGAGAGTGCTGCTCCAGGCTCGCTGCCTGATTCCATTCGCGAGAAGGCGCGCGCGGTGCAGGAGCGAGGCGGCGTCACGGCCTTGAGCTCGCTCATGGCCGAGTTGCCGGAGCTGCTGCAGCGGAACCGCGACATCTTAGGCGAGGCCGATCGCATGCTGCGGGAAGAGTCCGAAGCGGACGACGCCCTGCGCTCTCAGTTCGGATCGCGATGGTCTCGCACGCCATCCGAGCGGCTCACGGAGGCCTTCCGCGCCAACCGCGACAAATACACGCAGATCATCGACAACGCGGTGCGCGCCGACGCCATCGTGCAGCAAAAGTTCCAGCAGCACCGCGAGGCCATGGAGTTGCTGAGCCGGGGGGAGGCGGCTCTCGATGCTGACGTTCCCGCTGCACCCGCTTCTTCGGCCGCCTCTGACGGAGAGCCGCTCGTCAAACTACGTACGCTAATGGACTCCGTAAGTACTACGCGTGTCTCATGTCAACAGAAGCCAAAGACAGCATACATATCTAATGAATAGATCACTAGAAAAACACACACTTATTTTTATAAAATATAATTTTACAATGATTATTGTTATAACTGAAATACAAAAAATTATGATTTTACGTACATATCTAGTTAGTAAATGTATGTATGTTTGATGGATTATGCAGTAACTCCAACTTAGGAGAACAGTCCGATTTTCAGCAAAATAACTCCTTTTAATTTATTAGTTATCAATAGATGATTCTTATGATGATGATGGATATTTTCACTGTTCTGGAAGGGATACATTTCTGTCTAAGTTCTTTCTTTCTAATTTTCAACGAATGCTGTTTAGGTTGAAGCATTGAAGGCGGAACGCGATGAGATCGAAAGCTTATTGAAGGACTCGACCGTAGACTTGCGTGACAAGTTCATAGCCGCTCTGGCGGAAGACGGAGCCTTGGATGAGCCGGCAATATCGACAGCGGCCGTGGGTTCAGCGCTTGCGCCGCTGCAGCGTCGTGTCACAGAAACCCTGAAGACTCAGGAGCGGCTTGTAGCGGAGTTGCAGCAAGCGCATTCGGCGCTGATGGACTCCCGCGGTGGTGCTAGCGGTCGGGACGCGGCTTTAGGCAAACTGTGCGCTGCGCACGATGCTTATCAGGAGTTGACTGGCAATCTGCAGGAGGGAGTCAAGTTCTACAATGACCTAACACAGGTAACTATCCAATATTTCCACTATTTCAAGATAACAAAACAAATTCAACATTTGTCCCAAAAAGTTAATGCTTTTTGTGTGTTAAGGTTGATCTTTTATTAAATATGTGACCATCTTTCGTTCTGTACAGCTGCTCCTGGCTTTCCAAAACAAAGTGTCCGACTTCTGCTTCGCTCGTAAGACGGAGAAGGAAGAGCTGCTCAAAGATCTAACTCAAGAGGCGTCCCGTCCCGCCCAACGATCGGCGCCCGCGGCACCTCAGCATCATACTGATGCTGCCGTGTCAGAGGTAATGGTGATATTTATTTTTATTTAGCTAGTCAAACCCACAACCTATTATTTAACATGGATCAAAACGGTACGAGATTATCAATGAGTAAATAGTTGTGACAAATGTGTCAGGAAAAGTTTAGGTAAATCCCATTGGATTTACCTTAACTTTTTCCTTATTTAAGTAAATTGTGCAATTAATACTGCCGTATTAAGTGAGGGGGTTTTATTAATTAAAATTATATGTTAATTCTGAGAGTTTGTTAAAATTCCAATCTGGTGTAGATTTAATAAGAAAACTTATATTACCAGATGATCTGTGATATATATAAATTAACTTTTAATTATTCCAGCCGTCGGTTACAAAGAAAGAAGCACCCCCGCGGCCCCCTCCGCCTACGCCCTCAGTCAGTACACTACCATACCCGGCCCAGCCTCAGGGCATGCCGCTCCCGTATGGTGCTCCAGCTGCGCCGTACCCAGTGTACGCCCCCATGCCGGCCATGTACAACCCGTACGCTACGCTACCCTACCCCCATCACATGAGAGCTGCGCCACCACCACAGCAGTACCAGCCCTACCAGTACCCGCCACCACCCGCTGGCTACCCGCACGCGCCATCTGCCGGATACAACCCCTACCCACAGTAATCGCGACTGATACTTTCAATTTATATAGAATATTGAGTTAAAAATGTTAAATTTTATTGTGTTGACTCGCTCACAAATGTTTTGAATCAATTAAAATTATTTTAAGAAATTACTAGAATTAGGTGTGTTTAATCTGTGGTAGGTGTTACAACTGTTGAACAGTTTGAGCTATTTCTAATACAGGACTCAATGCTTAGGTAATATGGCTTTTGCATAATATGTATGTTATTCTTATTTACAAAATAATGAAAAATAACTTAAACAATTCTGTCAGTGGGTAGCCCATCACCTAAACATGGGATTGTCCAGGTGCTCTAATAATTCTATGGCAAGTTCAATTTTTACATCTTGGTCTTGGGAAAATATGGAGCAGACATTTTACAGGTTACTGAAAAATTAACTTTTTTTTGTCTCAATGTGAGTCTTAATATGACCCAAGTAATGGTTCAGGCTCAATTTTATCTCATATAAGTAACATTTATATTCTGTACCATACATGAATTATTTTAATAAAAGCAAATAATTAATTAAAAAATGGTTAATTTATAAATAATTATTATATAATAAATTATATTTTATATTCTTATTGATTTTTTATTGTGATCCTAAAAACCATGTAGAAAAAATAGTAAGGTTTTTTTTGTAACACAACCTTAAACAAGAGGCTGTCCTTAAGAATAGCATGTTTATAATTTGAAAATGTCCAGGAATTGATTTTCATAATAATTTTAATAGAATCTGTTTATTTTAAGAGACAAGCTAAAGAAGTCATAAGCGTATATTTTTACTAAAACTAAATTCCAACCCTCCTAACAGTTAAATTTATAATTCTTAAGTATTTATCTTTCATTACAATATTAAATTAGTATTTTATGTTTTGGACTAACTATATATAGTAGATATTATTGAACCTACATTTAACTCATCTAATTTCCAAAATAAACAAAAAGAAGTAGAAGCAATAATTGGTATTATTATACTTATGTAATTTTTTGGATATGGCATTGTATGCACAAAATTTTATATTAGAGATATAAAAAGTTATTTGCATAAAGTTAGTCCTTATAAAAAGGATCAATTGAACTTTAAAATTTGTTCAAAAAAATTCTTTTTTTAAATAATACAGCATTAGTCACATTAACTATTTATTAAATAAACAATCTAAAGCTTGATTCACTGTAAATAAGGAAAACTTTAATACTTGGGAGCGGGTGAATGCTCCTTGCTGTAGTCAATGTTGGGTGAGTAGAACTGAAACAAATTGTTACATACAAATATTGAAAATCTTCATAATATTTAATATTATTATTCTACAATAAAATAGGAAAATGAAAAGTTGTAATTATTTTAGCGGATGACCAACAAATTAATTTTAAAATTACTCTTTATTTAACAAAACATTTGTTTTATTTTTCTATTTCTGAGTAATCTAATGTCAAAAATGTTTTTTTATTTATTAGTTATTTTTGTCACAAAAATTCAGTAAAAATTAAATATGTATACCTTGTATTGCCTGTTTCTGTACTCTTCCCAGGGCTCTGGGTTGGTACGCTTGTTCCATGAGACATCTGGATTACGTGTTGCAAGTCTCAGTATATAGAACATTGATGCACCACATCCCAATCCCACACACACAAACAAGGGGATAAGCTGAAAGTTATCAACATGTATATGTTAGTTGTATTTTTAGTTTGTTTATTTCCAGAACATACTTGTTTTGATTGTTCTACTATGGAGATGATTTGATTCTTCCTATTACATTTCCAGGTTAAGTGCAACATCACTTAATTAATTTAGAAAAATTTGATAAGAAATGATTTGAAAAGTAACCATTGTATTTATCAGAAACAGAGAGACAGACAGAGATAAAATGAGTCTTCAGCTCTTAAGCTGGCAAATCTTGTCTATATTTTATACTTTATGTTCTGGTAGACAAAAATAATCATTATATCTTATCAGTCTTGCAGAATTAATGTTTAATTAAGTTTTTTTTGAAACTATAATTGTTATTTAAATATAAAAAATAAGAATTGTTCAGATATAGCAAAGAGTTTCATTACATCAGAAAATTACATAGTATTTTGTTAATAAAATCACCAAATGATAACAATAGAAATGAGAGAGGTTAGTTATGTAATTCTTCAATCAATATTAAAAACAATTACTCACAGCCTTGTGTTTCTTCAAACTTTGAATACTTAATCCCTGCATTTTGAAATAGGCTACTGCAACTTTAGTTTAACGTAATTTACCAGAGCTTGAGAGAAACTGCGCATATAGTAAGAAATGAAAAACGTATCTTTTACAAAAGTATTGAATATTGATTAATAATGAGTAATGACCGAAATGACAATTGACAACTGACACCTCAAGTTACTAGTCAACCAGCAGTTCTTACAGATCGACTCATCTTTATAATACCTCTTACAAAATTGTCTTAACACTATTAGTATTTAGTATTAATTAGTTTACAGTTTCAACATATTTATAATATTTATTTAAAAAAACATCAATAATAATTAAATAAACTTACTTAATAATAAAGTTATGGATTATTTATATTTGGTTCCGTATATATGGGATTTCCACCGCCAAATTATAGACGAGATCTTTCCGATTCTAAAATACAAAAGACTGAATAGTAAAAATTTCTGAACTTAACTGAATTTAACATTTATATACGAACCACACACATATGACACAAGTTAAGTTCATTGATGATATTTCAAACGCTTAAAAGCTTCTAGCATCAGCATATTATGATAGATGACCTTTCGACCACAAAGCAAAATTAAAAAATATATATATATATATGTATTCTTATATAATTATTATTGATATGCCAATACGGATTAGTGAACTGTTATATATTTAATACCCTAGAAATAACCCTATTTCAACCCGCTTTTCCGATTCAACTACCACTAGCATTATCTTTCAGCCTTTAGTCAGACCCATTCTACGATTCAAACCGAGCACTGAGCAGTTGCCTTTCTAAAATCTATATTTCTAAATAAATCCTTTGTGTAAAATAAATTCTTTTTTTAAAACTCGAAATCCGGGACGTCGTATAACAGAACGTTTAGAGCCAAATAGCTAGCCTGGACGACTAATTTTTTCAGGTTCTTGCTGACTACTTAATATTAATATTATACTCTTTGATTACCAACATTGTTGATTGTAACATATATTTTAGTCTTTGGTTTAGACTTTAGAACTCTGGAGTCTGGACTATGGTGTAGTCTGTGAACTACTAAGTACTTATGGTTTTCTTTTATTTTAATATCTTGATTCTTGAAATCACACTAAAAACTAAATATAAATTTTATCAAATAGTAAATACTTATGAAACAAGTATCAAGACCATTGGTGCTATTTATAGTTTATTAAGTGAACGTACATGTATAATAATTAAACTACGGGGTTCAAAAATATTAAGGAACATAATGAGTTTTTTATTGTAAGTATATATTTATTTTAGGATCTTCATATATCATAACGCTAGGTAATTTTTACCAACAAAAATGATGGATACAATGAAATATTAATGCTCCATTCTGTGTCACAATTAAATTACGGATTTTACATGACCCTTAATGTTTTCGTTTCAGCGGTAGCCGGTCTAATAAGACATTTAAACCCAAAAAGAACATCCCCGAGGGCACACATCAATATGACTTAATGCGACACGCAGCCGCCACTCTAGGGTCTGGTAATTTGCGGCTAGCTGTTATGCTACCAGAAGGCGAGGACCTCAATGAGTGGGTCGCAGTTAACAGTGAGATATATATTACATCCAATTATTACTTCAAATCTTGCCAACCTAATTTCCATTATATCAATGTTCCTTTTCATTAATTTTGTATGTGTCATGTGTGACAAAAGTGATAGGAAATATGTAACAGGAAACTGGTATTGAATATTGTTTCCATATAAATGTGTAGCTACAAATCAAGTAGAATGATGATTGCATTGTGAAACAAATATAGTCTTGAATGACTATTACTACTCATTCATATTATTATCATACTTACATGTGTATACATTTCCAATAATTAAGTGATGTCTTAAGTATTAGTTTATTTCTACTAATAGTATATTACTCTGAATAAAATCTGGTTAAATTACCTGCCAAGACTTGTAATAATAATGTTTCAGCTGTGGATTTTTTTAATCAAATAAATATGCTATATGGTACAATAACGGAGTTCTGTACTGAAGAATCCTGTGCAGTAATGTCAGCGGGGCCAAAATATGAATACCATTGGGCAGATGGTCACACTGTGAAAAAGCCCATTAAGTGTTCTGCACCTAAGTACATTGACTACCTCATGACCTGGGCACAAGATCAACTTGATGATGAAACATTGTTCCCATCTAAAATAGGTAATTCATATTATACTTAACTATATTATGATAATACATAACTTCTTACACTATTAAATGAATATAAAAATATTATATTATCTTATTCTATTTTTGTAAATAACAAATTGGTGTATGTGTAATAACAAATTAATAAATTGCAAGTTTGTTTTTTCACAGGTGTGCCATTTCCTAAGAATTTTCTGTCAATGGCAAAAACGATCCTGAAGCGTTTGTTTCGCGTTTACGCCCATATCTACCACCAGCACTTTCCACAAGTTGTGCAGCTAGGTGAAGAGGCTCACCTTAACACTTCCTTTAAGCACTTCATTTTCTTTGTTCAGGTTAGGAGTTTACACTACTTATAATGTAATTGACAATGGAGTAGGTCTCCTAATTCAAAATCCTCCTTTTATATATTGGACTCACCTGGTTAACCATAATATCTATAGAAACTGTACAAGTCATAAATTACGGGTCACCCCAATGCAGCAACTATTTACATGTATATTATGTATATAGATTATTCTTGTCTTGTAATATTTTGTTGCATAATCAACAAAAATATTTAGAAGGTTTAGAGGTGCCTTAGCTCTAACAAGGGATCTCTTTCAGGCAATCAGGGACTGAGAAACTACTACATAAACATAATTGTTTAAACAATAAAGACAGAAGGATTTATGAATTACATCCTTTTAAAACTGGTTAGACTGAAACTATAAATATTGTATATACTATATATAATAGTTTACAAAACAAAATTACAATGAAGTTGTAAGATACATATTATGTTCATAGGAATTCAATCTAATTGAGCGGCGTGAGCTGGCACCCCTGCAGGAACTCATTGAAAAGCTTACGGCCAAGGACACTCGATGAACCCCTAAAGGACACTAAATCATCAACATAACACCACCATTTGTAACACACTTAGCAACGAAGTATTTTTGTCACATAATTATAAATCTTTTTTTTTATATTTAAATAATCTTACAAGACCTAGTTTGTCTTTGTGGTGTAAATGACGGATGAGGTATCTTCATTTACAAGTACTGTGCAATATGTTGCTACAGAATAGCAGACTATAAATTAAATTTGAAATCATTATCAAATTCTTAGGAGTATGTGACAAATTTTTGACCAAAATGATCTGATGACTAATTTTTGTTGTGTATTATAAGATTTGAACTAATTTTATATTTTTTACATAGGAGTATTATGTACCATATGTAAAAAAAGGATCAATATTGTATAAAACAGATGGCTACAACCTATGTAAAATTATGAATAATCAATTTTACTGTGCAAGTTTCAATAAAGTAGAAACATCCAGGATGACACTGCCTTCTCTGACTAGATTAGAAATAGAAACCTATTTATATTGAAAGATAATTTAGATTTGATACACATAATAAATGTAAGACTGTTTGAATTACTAGGCATAGTACAGGAACAGGTCTTAATTAAAATACTCAAATATGAATTAATGATTTGTGAAATTGAATTGGAATCTGCTACTAAGTACTCCTAAATTTAACTGTTTTGTATATAAAATTTGATGAAATTGGCAAACATGAAAGGAGACATTAATTATTGCAGATTCTACTTTTGAATTAATAGAAATGGAGGCCCTTTTGATATATAATTTTGTTATGAATGAATTCAGTCATTTACGGATTGGTTTGCGCGTAAAAAAGGCCTTTATACCTTATACATTGAACTAGACCAGTCAAACCCTTTTCTTACGGATATCGACTTGGATTCTGTAGACGGCCCTCTGCAAGTTTGACACATTACAATTCTGAAGACAAAATTTATTTGATACTTGCTGTACATTGTGCCTAGTATGAATTTGTGCATTGGCCTCAATAAAAACGCTTAGTTTAAGTTCCTTATTTATTTATTGTATTAGTTGTGATCACTTGATATGAGTGCAATTGCATTCGAATTATACTTAATTTTTTGTAAAGAGCTATTTAATTAACAAAATAATATCTAAGTAAAATGTGTTTCATTTGCACCTCTCTTTAATAATTTATTATTTTGACGCCATAAGGTACAAATAACATATATATTATTCCATCATATTGCAGTGCAAAAAGACAAAACAAGTAAAATGAATTGATATTGCAAAGGCTCGGAAAGATTAAACAATTTAGATAGCACCCTCAGCTAGGTTGCAAGATAATACATAAAATTAAATGAAATGCATTTTAATCCTTCTGTTTACAAATGATTTTAGGATTGAATAACTCTTCATATTCAAAATCAGAGAAATTTATACATAAGAGATAAATTAATCTTGCACACATTATTTTAACCTAAGCAATTCAAACAATAGGAAGTAAATTATAAATAATATTTACTCATAAAACAAGTTTGTATAAAATTACCATTAGTAAGTTTCCTTCTAGAGTCTATGAGGATAAGATGGGTAGTATGTACTAACCCTTTAACCAGTCCCCTTATTCAAAAAATCTATGTCAATCTACACGGTTTTAACTAAAATATTCTTTGTGTAAATATGCATATATGCTATGATAAAAAGAATGTTTAGCTCTTAATATGACTTTGCTTTTATGGATTAGTAAGAATCAACTTAAATTCTTAGACTCAGAAATAAGTTAATTTGTGAACCAATCTTTCTATGTGTCAATGTAGTGATGCTTAATCTTAGCCTGAAACTTGTTAAAGTACAAATAGTATTTTTTACATTTCGAAGTTTTTGAAAGAAATTGTTTTTGTAAATACACACAGCCGTAGATCCTATGAGGACGAGATGGGCGGCGGTGGAGGTGGAGGGGCCAAAAATGGGGGCGGTGGAGCGGCCCAGGGCGGGGGTGGAAACCCACCACGCCAGGTGGGACCTCCTACCATACCTGTAAGGAAACAATGTATTTAAACACCTTATAAGAACGATTTTTAACATTAGGCCAATGTAAATAAATGGTCGCCATGGGAGCGTGTAGTAAGTATAGTGCAAATAACTTTTAAGTGAAACATTTAAGCATAACAAATAGTATTAATTTCCATTTTAAGTTAGCGTGTGGCAGTTGTGTTACAATGATGCTGATGTGAGATCACACTTAAATTTTCTAAAAATTGAATTGTTAAAGATATTAATAGTTAAGAGTTTTTAGCAATAAACTGCCTTAAGAGTCCATAATGATAATTTGTATGGTGTATTTTTATACACATATATTTTTTTGTATTGTTTTCTGTTTTACTACTAGAGGTAAATACAACATATATTACTTAAGTCTTTAATAAATGTGCTTACTTTAATTTCACATACATGTTAATTTAGTGAATATGGAAACAATATTGAAAGTTGGTAACTGTCTAAAATCTATTGTAATTAACTGTTATTAAAATATGAAAAGTGTGAACTTACCGGGTGGCGGTGGCGGCATAGCACCAGGACCTGATCCATCACCCTGAAAAGCAAAAGGATAATTACTTTATACTGTTACAGCTTCCGCCCGCAGCTTTATCCGCGTGGATTACTTTATATTTTAGTAAGATATTTTTGATAGGTTACAATTAAAACCAATAAGGTCTGTTTGGTAGTTTTTCAGTTTATCGCCAATTATACCCAAAATCAATGAGAAAATGGTACATAGTGCATTATACTTTATTATATAATATTATAATGTAAATATGAACTATATATGAGAAAAAGAAAATAATCATTAAAATACAACTGTAGAAAAGTAAGTGGCCGGTATCATTTTGCATTTGAAGATTGACTTTATGTGTATTTGCCAAAGTATAATTAATGTTTACCTGTCCGTGATGCGGTGGCGGCGGGAAGGCAGGTGGCGGTGGCGCACTTCCCGGAGGAGGCGGCTGACTACCTGCACCTGCGAGGATTAGAACACGTCTTAAGTTATGTATGAAGTTTGAAATGTGAATTGTGAGAAAACGATTTAAATGTGTCCGCTTTGGCTCGTTACGGGGCTTGAAGAAATAAAAGTTTAAATATCTTACCGAGCCAAGGCGCGTGATGCGGCGGCGGCGGATGCGGTGGGAACATGCCTGTAATTTAATAAAAGTTTTATTTAATATATTTTATTTAAGAAAATAAAGAGCCAAATACAGTTTATGTAAATAGTAGGTCGGATAATGTTACTTCAGAAAAAGAGTTTTAAAAAATAAATTATATTATGTAAAGTTATTATTCATATCATTCAGGTCACTTGAATCATTAAACTAAATAAACAAATTGCATTCTTTTAAAGTATCTTTCTGTCAAATAAGGCTGTGATGAGGATGTTAATATTAAAATGCTTTTACCTGGCGGTGGTGGCATAATCGCTCGAGGCGGATGAGAAGGCGACTGCGGGAAGAGCGTGGGCTGAGCGTGTTGAGCGTTCGGTCGACGTCCCCCGCCCATATGAGGCGGCGGCGGTGCCTCGCCCAACTCGGCCATCAGCGAGAGGTACTCCTCGTCGATCTTGGCCCGAGCCGCAGGCGGCGGCGCTTGGCCTGGCCGCTTAGCGCGACAATCTCGGGCAATATGGCCGGCGCCGCCACACGACGAGCACACGATCGCGCCCGTCACGTTGGGCTTGTCCGGACAGAGCCAGGTTTTGTGGTCCACGGCGGAGCAGTTGGCGCAGCGGGGACCGTCACTCTCGCGTAGTGTGCCGTTGAGCTGGGCCAGTTCGCGTAGTTGCATGCGTCGCAAATCGTTTTGCCCCTCTGGGACTTCGACTCCCTGGCGAATAACTTCTTTTATCTTGTCGACGGCGCGTTTGACCGCGTCGGCGGCGGTCGCCGTGATGTACGCGTGTAAGGGCTCGTCTTCCCCGGGAAGCGGCTGCCCGTCCTTTCGTCCCACTTTGCCTTCCTTCACGGAGCCCTTTCCCCGGATGATTATCTTCGCGCCCGTCTCCTTCTCCATCGCTATTCGTGACATGATATATTGATTATGTTATAAAAATTTACTATTTTTGAACCATCTATTAAAAATTTGGGTCTAAGTTAAAAACGTCTGGAGCTAAATTTAAGGATTATAGCATTACAGTAATACACAAGGAAGGAAAATAACCTTAAGATTTTAGTATAAAAAACTATAAATTACCTTTTAGTGTATTTCCTCTCGGACCAATAAGTAATCCGACAAAGTTAATGTCAGGGTGCTCTTCTTGAGGGATCATCACTTTGTCGTGCACGCGAATTATGGGCGGTCTGAAATTACACATATTACATATAACCAAAATAAAAATGGCACAGAATTAATAAAGAATAACGATTTCTAATACAGTCTGGATAGTGTTTGGTTATCCAACTACTTTTTTATTACAACTTTTAATAAATATTGTGATGTACCTAAATAAAACCATTCAAGAACAACTTGAATGTTGAACCCGTCAAATACACTCTATAAAAAAATATAAAACCTTATTAGAATTTTAGGTCATTTCTTTATAAAAAAAATATTTTATATCATTTTTTTCAACAAACATTCTGAACGAACATCTTTCAGACGGCTAGTTAAACGGCTAGGCTGTTAATGGAACGGCTAATTAAGCTAGTTGTCTGCGACATATATATTGGAGCTAAATGAAGTTTTTCAAAAACCTGATTCATTGAATACTACATCTTACTATAGTACGGACGCGGAGCACGAAGAATTTCGTACACAGACCCCTCATCTTATGTCTTTGTCGCTCGCCCATAAACATATTGCCGTTGCGCTCACACAGATGCAGTGACCGCCCGAATTCAGAGATTGTAAACCTTGTAGTCATAACCATAAAGACTTGTGGTGGTGCACATGTACTTTGGTTTGTTTTGTTATAAGTAGTCATTCTTTTTTTTTAACCCTGAAATAAAAAAACATTCCGTGCTGGGATACGCTCGTGTGTAGTTTCGTTTTTGAGGTTAAGTATGTTGTGAGTGGTGTTTGTGTGTTTGGTCGTTGAATTATACATTACACAGTATATACGAATCTAACGACACCTCTCAAGCGAAAATCCATCAAGCCGTTCAGGCTGCAGAGCGTGCCAAAGAATTATACATACATACACTCGAAAAACATAACCCTCCTTCTGGCGCAGTCGGGTAAAAAGCTATCCTTGGGTACTTACCTATATTAAGTCGATGATCTTATTTACAAAGCTAACTCAAATTCTAAACTAACGTTTTTAATATTCGTACGAAATTCTTCGTGCTCCGCGTCCGTACTATAGTAACATAACTATTTGTGTAAATATATCATAACAGTACAAAAGCCTGAGCCCAAAAGAAAATTTGAATGATTTTTTAATATTTGACATCACCTTGAAGCAGTTGAAAGAGAAAAGTGGGGTAAGCTGTACTCACTTATAATCTGGAGGCGGCTTGAACTCAGGGTTGATTTGATTCATGCGAGTGACCAATCTATGCCTCTCCTCCTCCAACTTGCGTCGAGTGCGGTACTCTCTTGTGTTCAGCCGTTTGCCATCCGTCGAGTAGATCGGCTCAGGCGACGGAGACCTGCGTATATGTAACTGGCATAACGACAAAAAATAAAAGAACACTATTATTGTTATATAAAATTAAATAAATTTGATTTATTCATCCAACAATACATATCTTAATTAGGTAAAGGGTTGAAAAATCTCCCATTTGCGAGTAGGTATAGACAATAATTAAGCCTGTACATATTTCCATGATACCAATATGTAATATTTGCTTATTAGCTAAATTTTAATTCAAAAGTTATTTTATATAGAACGTGCGATGCCACGGTCTCGTCTAGTCTAGATCAACCTAACGCCCTGCGAAAAAATAATTCAATTAAATGCTGAAATAATAATTTATTCATTATTAGAGCTGAAAATTATGGTTATTAAAAACCTGAAATATTATTAGTTTAATTGAATTATTAGCATTGCGGACGGTTCGCACCCTGCAAATATGAAAAACTTTCAATTAGTGTATAGTGTATGCGTGTGTGTGTAGTGTATACATGTATATGGTAAAAGTGTTTGTGTGTAGTGTCCGTGAATGTGTGCGATACTCAGCGCGGTCCAGGCGAGCGGCAGTACCTCTCTTCGACGTTGTGCGGGATGCCGAGGTCTCCTGAGCGCAGCTTGCGTGACACCTCCTCGATCTGCAGCTGAACTGCAAGGGAACCCGTTAGCCGCGCGGCCACAAACACCACATTAGAATAATTACCTTTCACGCATCCTAACAACCCCACTCTCCCCTCTAAGTTTACCATCTCCACAACAAATCCACTCATGTTAAAGCCTTAAAATGCTTTACTTAAATTTATCTAAAGGAGATTAATATTCACAGCTTTGTTCTCACAGTTTACAGTTTTTGTTCTCTGTCAGAGAATTACTTATTCAGGCTAACAATAGAAAACATTTATAATAAAAATATAGTAACACTGAAAATTTATTACAAATTTAAATGTGATAAGCTGAAAATTAAAAATTTTAACGTCATTAGACATAAATAAAGGATCACAAGTAATCACTTCATTTCTATCAATATAATTTTAATCAGAGTGAAAAAAATTGTTTAGTTTAATATTTCACATAATATTTATGCATTCAAGTGATTGCTTGAATTTGTAAAATCTTACTTTGGCAAATTAAAAGTGATTGTATCACTTTTAAAATAAGTAAATCTTAAATAAGTAGAATAATAAACTGAATTATATCCAGGAGATACAAATATTTCCTTTAAATACCCATAAATTCTCAGATAATTTGTCAAAGCAAATAAAAATTTATTATCAAATATAAATATAACCAGCAATACACCTTCACCAAGACGACTTTGCAAAGGTGTCAAATAGATAAGGTGTGTAACTGACTAAACATTTCAAATAATTAATTAAATTCAATGTCAATAATGTTAAATGCTTTTATTTAAATAATATAATTAAAAAAAAATTAACGATCAATATAAGATCCTGTTTGTCAGCATACAGATTATTAAAAATGCAACTACTCACGTAGATATTGCTCCTCCTGTTCCTTCGTGAGTGTTGAGGGTAATACAGTTGGCAACCCTGGGATAAAGGTCTTGTCGTGCTCGGAACCCATCCAACGGGTGCGCCGCCGTCTCGCCCGCCTTTCTGCTGCCGTTTCGCCCTCAGGGCCTATGTCCAAGTCATCTATTAATAACTTGATTTAAGATAGGTGACATTGGATACACAAAATAAATTGGATTATTTTAGTTAAAAAAATTTATCATGATTCTTTGCTTTTTTATACCCAAACATAATAAGTATTAGATCTCTCCCTCTGATAAGCTACTTGCCAATTAAGTAAAATATATTATGTAGATATTTGCACATTGAAAAATTTCTTACCAAGGCCATCATCCTTGTCATCATCAGGGTGATGATCCAGGGGCAGCTTGTCTCTGTACCGGGATTCTGTTCTTGCCTGAAGCTGATCTAGCTTTTGCTGCACCGAGGTGGGTGGTGGAATGGCAGTAGCAGCAGATAGGGCTGCAGCCGCCGCCGCCGCCGGCTGCACCGGTGCCGCCATTCGCCGCTGCGCCACAAACGTCTGTTACACCAACACGCCGCCACGAGATTAGTACAATAATTAACCAATTGCTTATTGCAAATAGTTCTATTAACTGTTTTTTTTAAATATACATAACATACTAAAGTATCAAATCAAATACATCTCTACTCGATTTGATACAATTTGAACTATGTCAAAATATAAATATATCTTACTGCAAATTTAATGTAATAATACAAAAAAAAGGAAATCACACTATTAATATCAAAGTATTAAGACAAATTATGATTTACCTGTAGTTCAATTGAATTATGCTGAAAATATTAACAAGCCGTGAAATGAGTTACGTTCATCATGCACTACCAATTCCATTAAGCATTACAATATAAATAACAATTTTATGATTTATTAAATATGATGTGTGCTATATATCTATAGTATCCCATTTCCACACATATTTGATATTTATCTATACATTATTGTTAATCACCCACCTCCATGCAGGCTGTAAAGCTGAAATCTTGTTTGATTAAGCACCAATCAAAGTGTATTTAAGGTTGTTATTTTAAGCTTAAAAACAATGTCCTTCATTCAATAGTATATGCGTTACCTGTGCAACAGCTGCAGCCGCCAAAATAGCAGCCTGAGTGGCTGGGTTTACGTTACTGCTAGTGGTGACTTGCCGAGACATTGCTTTGGTTGTGGTGCCAACCATCTGGTCCAGTAAAGCAATAGTGCCATCTCTGCAAGATGATGAAAGTTTAAGAATGAGTTTTAGCAAAGGACCTTAATGGCTACGACAAATAATTAGTTATTATAAATAAGTGACAGAGATTTACCTATCTTTAGATTTTTTGCCCCGACTGCGACTTCGAGAGCGACTCCTGCTTCGTTTCTTTTCTCTGTGCCTTTCCCGGCTCCGACTTCTATCGCGCTCCTTACTTCTCCTGTAATAAAGTTAGTTAGATTAAATTGATATGAACTATAGTTTGAACGTGAAGTAGCAGGCGAATAGAGCAGTAACAGTGAAACGTACCTTTTAGTACGATGCCTGTCGCGGTCACGGTCGCGATCACGATCCCTGTCTCGATCACGATCGCGATGTCGGTCGCGGTCTCTATCACGGTCGCGATCCCGATCCCTGTCTTTTTCACGATCCCGTTCCCTACCCTTCTCTCTTTCTTTATGCCGTTCCCGATCTCGAGATCTGGATCGACTTCTATGTCTTGAACTCATATTTTTTTTAATGAACGGAGTACCACAAGGTTATACGAAATAATAATTCAATTTTTATTAAACTAAGAATAACCTATAGATTACCACGACATTAGTAAAATTCAACACGGAACACGATACAATCAGTTACAAGTTTCAACATCAAATAAAAAACAAAATGGAGTTTGGTCAATGGACAGTAGACTACCACAATTCACAGATTGAAAATATGGTTTACCCTAAGTCAATCACCATTGTCTGACATCCATGTATTTTATCGTTAAAAATAATCGAGCTATCTAATATTATATTTTCAATTAAGGAATTATTTACCGCTGAACTTTGGGAATATTTTTTTTTAATTAAAGGTGGATTAAATCGGAATCACAGAGCACGTAGAAAATTATAGTAGCGTGTGGTTGGGAACTAATATGTATTGGTAGGCAAATATAATTTTAATAACATCATTGAATTTTAAACAATGTATTTAATTAATTAGGACATCAATGTATAGTAATAAATTATACTTCCTAAATACAAAAATTCGCTCTGCTAATTTGTAAGTTCATTTAAAAAAAAACTAAATTACTTTTCATTAATTGATAAGTAGTCGGGTTTGCCATATAGAATTTATCGCAAATGTGTAATTTAAAAATCCGCGCCAGTTTTAAATTGAAAATATATATCTACTAATATCGCTGTCGTTCAATGATTTGTGTGTGAAGAAGGTATTATGGATGCATATTCATGGAACTTTTATTTTGGTTAGGAAATATTATGTGAAATATACACAATTTATATTGAATTAGGTAATTTGCCTGCTTTATTATTGGTTAATGTGTTTGGTCGCAAAATATAAAAACAGAAAATTTTACGTCCAATATATTTTAAAGGTCAAAATACATTTCTTACAATTTGTAACAAGTTTCATAATACGAAATTACAAACTATTTATCATTGCTTATTCAATTTGTTACACAAACATAAAATGCTGCAAATTACAAATACAAAAGCTTAGAGCAAGTAACAAAATGTGGAGAATTGAATTATATAAACAAAATTAATGGCGGTACACCGCGTCAATTGTGTAACACTAGGATGTAATATTTCTCCTGAAGAACAGAGAATGTGAATCCCTTACCTTACACAATTAATTACTATTTAAATCTCCTTATTCTAAATATTCTATGGCTTATAACTAATAAGTCCAGACAATTGTGTCACTGCACTCCCCACGTCACTAATCTTAAAACTAATTTAGCCATAAAAGCCATTGCTTGGCCAAATTTACAATGATAATGATTGTTAACCCGGCGACATGTGCTTGTGATTATTATCTTCCTTGTATCTGTAACAAGCAGAGTATTGTAGATATATCAAAATTGACTTATACAGCAACATTTTCTATGTTCAACCAGGTAACTATAGGCATCAAACACAAAAACTGTTTTGGTTAAAGTAATTAAAATAATATAAACAAAAATGATAAAGATGGAAACATTTAAGTCTTTCAGCAAAACATTATATTTCTATTGATATATGCTCGGAACTTTGAATATAATTAGATATGAATACCTTCATTAGACTGGTGCTCCAGGTCCACCCTTTTTGCCAATGAGAGATTTGTGAATATGAGGGATGACACCACCTCCGGCAATGGTTGCTTTGATAAGACTGTCTAACTCCTCATCTCCTCTGATGGCCAACTGCAAATGCCGAGGTGTAATACGCTTCACTTTCAGATCCTTTGATGCATTGCCAGCCAACTCCAACACCTACAGCAGACAAAAAAAAATTGACTTCATAACTATAACAATAAAACTAGTGTACTCATTGAAATTCATCTAAATATATGTGGGGTTCAAAATTACTCTTTTTTATATAATAATATGTAATATCTTAGGGCACAAAAATAAACATATTGGGTAGGATGACTATAAAATCACAAATTGTATTGATAAATAAATTAAAGTAACTATTTCATAGTAAATACACTATTTCCCGCCAAAACTCATTTCAACGTAATATTGCTCAAGATATCAAACTACTGTTTATTTATAACTTTTTAACTTAAAAAATGCTCTTTCTAATGAAAGCTTACGAGAAAATTTTCTAGAAAAAGCTAAACGTTTCCTAATCGAATGTAAATACGCGCAGTCGCCATATTGGTTAGGCGTCACTCACCTCTGCTGTAAGATATTCGAGAATAGCGGCGGAATAAACCGCAGCCGTGGCTCCAACGCGTCCATGACTTGTAGTTCTATTTTTTAAATGCCGATGAATTCTGCCGACTGGAAACTAAAAACAAAACATTTTCAGCATTGTTGTCATCGATTTCATTGCAACTACAATCCGCCATACTGGATTGGTCATACGTACTTTTAATTTTATCAATTATGAAATACTGAAAAAATATTCTCAAAAAAACCATTGGTAAAATCGTGAAATAAATAAAAATCACTATACAACATACCTGTAATCCAGCTCTTGCTGATCTTGAGACAGCTTTTGCTTTAGCTTTGCCAGAGTCTTTACCAGCTTTACCTCCAGCCTAAAAATTCAGAAAAATCCTATTAAATTTTGTCGTACGACGCTGAAACTTCACCAGTAGATGTACCACACTATTTTCTAGTGAATCACGTTAAAAAACCCGCACTACACACACTATTTTTCACAAAATCTTGAAAACTCACCATTTTGTAACGTGTAACACACTATCACTACTACTGAGAGAGACCAACAGGAAGGCGCCAAGCCAAAATCCAAATCGACACAATAAAGATGGCAGTGCCGCGTTTATTTGATGAATTGTTGGGGTTGGCCAACCAAAACGTCTTAACGGAAATAACGTTGCAGGACAGACCAATTAGATCGTTTCGCGCGCTAAAGCTATCTTTCAAAATGGCGTGAGCAAATATGCACAGTGCTGCCAAGCCCACGGCGGTAAAACACATTAAACTAGTGTCCAATGTCCGTCACGCGTCCATTTTATAGTGTGACATTGACAATTACATACTTTTAATTTAAGCACGTGCAGACTGCAGTATTGAGCATCTATAGTGCTTACTTTCTTTCTTTGCCCCATTGCTTGGCCTGCACGTTCAGCCATTTGGCATTTTGTTCGAAAAAAATGGTGCTTACAATTTACATTGTGGGTATGTAATAGGGATGTGAAAAAATAATCGATTATTAAAAAAATCTACTATAATTGAAAATCAATCATAGTCGATTTTTCATCTGCCACCTCCCGACATTATGTCTGGTCTTTTATAACCCGGACCACGAACAATTAGGGATATTCGATATACATCGATGTTTACAATGCGATGCATTGTATAGATCCGATGATTTGAAGATGTATTGATATACTCGATGCATTGATGTTTTTTTATAAAACATCGAAAGGATGATAAAACCAGTTAATTATACAAAAACTCAAGTTTGAATTGAACACTAAAATTTAAAAGTAAAATAAATTTATTCAGTAGTCAAGGTTACATATATAGGTAAAATAGTAAAAACTAAGATCAAAGTTAAAATTCGTCTAGCGTCAGAAATCCAATGGTTAGTAGTGCGTTGTCTGTCCCTTCATTAGAAGACATTTTATTATGATGCTCTTAATAAAAATAAAACTATCGTTTAATCATTATTGACAATATACAAACACTATGCTTTCTCTACAATAACTACGTACTTGTCAGCGTTGCCATACGTCCCGATTTTTTAATGAAAATGAAATGCCCCGCGCGGGACAGACTTTTTCCCGCTTTTTGGGGTTAACTCAAGACACCATAAACTCATTCCTCCGTTCTGACAATTATTTGAAACGCCATAATTGTCTAATGAATACTTTTTTGGTTTAGTTTTGTTTATTTATTTTTATATTAAGAAGACAAGTATTTAACGATAGGGTAAATCTGATTTAAAATATCACCTTTAGTTACTATGTCCCGCTATCGACGAGAGATTCCCGCTTTTTTAACTCAAAAAGTTCCAAAATCCCGCCTTGACAATAAAAAAATCTGGCAACGCTGGTACTTGTATACATAAGGAACCATAGTGTACAGTTTATGTCACTGTTTTAAAACTCTTAATGATCTTTATTTCTAATCATATATAAAAAGTAGAAAGGCAGATTCCTAAAACACACGTGACATACTGTTCAGTTTTTTTACAGACATAAGAAGCCTATATCTTTTATTATCATTATTTCGAATTTAAAATCAAGAACAATAAATAATGTTCGAAACATGTCAAATAGGTTAATTAAATTTTTCGTCAACTCTTTTTCTTAGGGCATTTTTTGAAAATACTTTTGGCAATACTAATTAATAGTTAATCAGTAGCAAAAAAAATATGTTTAACTGCGCCTTGCCTTTGCATTTATAAATCAGTTGTGAATTTACTAGGCCAAGATGCACACTTCGTTAGACATGCTTATTTTTTTTAACAACAAAACAACAAAAATTTCTTTATTAAGTAAATAGTCTTAAATCTATATTTTAGTACATCCCTTTTAGGTTCAAGAACCTGTGTTAGGGATGAACGCTCTTTCCTATGTTAATACTTAATCTACTTAATAAAGCAAAACAGTAAAGGTACTTAAATGGTTAATTAATTATATTACATACTTGAAAAACCAAATTACTGGCGATTGTTGATATTAAATCGTAATAACTAAACAAGTGAGGTAGATTGAAATCAATCACACCATCGTCTTTCTTTTAATTGTGTGAGTGAGACATGAGTGTAACTGTAGTGCAACTCAGACGAGTGTAGTCCGTATGTCGTGACCAGTGCAGGTTAGTACAGCGTAGCATGTCTCTTATCAGCAGGATGATGCGACCACATAAAGTATGGAATACTTTAAATAATTATAATATTTTTATGCGGGAAGTAACCTAACTGAATCGAATGGCTAGTGTATACATTCTTGTAGATTGGGTGTTTTTTTTTTCAAACAAATCTTCGTTTGAGGCAAAATTATTTGAGTTGTTTTTTTTTTTTTTTTTTTTTTGGGGGTTTTTTTTTTTTTTTTTTTTTTGTTGTAATTGGGTCACAGTTTGGAGTAACAGTTTTATTATATATGAGCGATTTCTTTTGCTTAATATAGATATGTCAAACGGGGTATTTTTGTGGACTTTAAGTATGCATTGAAGTATGTATAGTTGCCTAACTGTTAGGAGATCTGAATCTTTATAGAGTTTTTCTGTGGAATATAGTTTACTCTTGCAAAGCATTATTTTCAAGATACTTCTCTGCGCACGTTCAATGCTCACAAATTTTGATTTAAATGTGCCGCCCCATATACTTATGCAATATAGAAGAACAGACTGTACTAAGGTTTTGTAGATATACATAATAAGCTGTAAATCACAAATGTTACGAAGGCGTTTAAAAATCCAGATCAGCTTCCTAGCACGTTTAGCTACTACATCGATTTGAGGGTACCAGTTTAAATTTCTATCTATAATAACTCCTAGATATTTTGTGGTTTTAACTCTCTCGATCTCGGGACAAGTGCAATCTTGAGGTACATCGCATACATGAGCCTTTATTTTTAAATCAATATTTGGTTGCAACGAATTTCGTATAGAAAACGGGACATAATTTGTTTTACTTAAATTGAGTGACAGCAAGTTAATTTTTAGCCATTCGATAACAGTGTTCAATCCCGATTCAGCGCAACTGAAAGTTTCAGCCCAGTTTTTTCCGTAAAAGAGCAAGGCAGTGTCGTCGGCATAGCAAAATACTTGTCCATTGAAAAGATGGAGATTTGTAAGGTCGTTTATGTAAACTAAAAATAATGTTGGGCCGAGGACACTGCCCTGTGGAATGCCAAAATTTGTAGTGAACTCGTCAGAGCTGAGGACATCATCACAAATTCTAACTCGTTGGGTACGGTTTTGAAGATAGTCGGTAAGAAGTTTTAGGAATGAACCTCGGATACCTATTATTTCCAACTTTTGTAACAAGATAGGTACAGAAACAGTATCAAAGGCCTTTTTAAGATCCAAGAAGATACATAATGCCTTTTGTTTACTGTCGATCGTTTTTGTAATTTTACCAGTTAGATCTCGAATAGCGTCCTCAGCACTAATACCCGCACGAAAACCATACTGTGATTCGGACAATATGCCATAGTTGTTAAGATAGTTAAGTAAACGGTTATTTATAAGTTTTTCAAGGATTTTGGAAATTACTGGAAGGACTGAAATGGGTCGATAGTTATTTATATCTTCTTTATTACCACCTTTATGCACCGGGTGTATTATTGAGCATTTCAGTGTTTGAGGGAATAGACCACATGATAGTGATAGAATAAAAATTTTAGTAATTACGGGAATAATAATATTTTTTGCCATTTTTATAAATCTTGTAGGGATGTTATCATAACCTGATGCTGAATTGGATTTAAGATTATTTATAATAACTTCTATCTCTACTGAGTCCGGTTCTATAACTCCGATTGTGCTGAACTGGATAGGGAGCTTGTTAAGATAATTCCTTAGAGATTGAGGATCACTTGAGATACCCTGTGCCAAGGATTTGCCTACGTTGTTGAAATAATTATTTATATAGTTCGCAGATTCAATGCCTGTAGACTTTAAATTAGTAAGTTCAATATTTTTCTGTTTGTGTTTATTTAGGTTTGCAATATTTTTGATACATTTCCATAATGATTTATTACTATCCTTTGAATTATTCAGTAACTGCCTTTCATATTCATTTTTTAACTTTTTTATTAAATTATTACAGTAATTACGATACCGTCGGTATGTAATCTTCAGTACGTCATTATGTTCATCGAGTTTCAGTTTTTTTTGTAGATTATTTCTATGTTTTATACATCTAAGAATACCAGGTGTTATCCAGGGTTTTATTAGTCTTTTGCTACTAGGAATTTTTATAATGATTGTATTTGTTTTTATGGAATTAGTTATTAATGTTATAAGTCTGTTTGTTAGAATATTAGGATCATCAGTGTTTAGGATAGTTGGATCATAGTTTGATTCAAGGGTTTTTAGTGCTTTATCGTAATTAGTCATTAATTTAGTTTTAGGTGCTGAATGATGGTTTTTTAAATAATAAACATAAATAACTATCATTTTATGATCTGTGATTGTAGTATCTAGCACTGCTATTGATGCAGAATAGTGACTAGAATCCAAGTTAGTCATAATGTGATCTAGACAGCTATTTATCCTCGTGTCGAAGTTATGGCCGGGTAGGAGACTATGAATTGCTAACATGTCAAGGTATGTACCTGAAAATTTGTCATTATTACCGTCGATTATATTTATGTTGATATCCCCAGTCAGTATCACATTTGTTTTTAAATGAGGTAACATGAGGTATTTATCCAATGAATCAATAAATTTTTCGATGTTTTTATCCCCTGATGGGCGATAGATACAAATCAATGTTTGTCTTTCAGCACATGTCGGGAAAGTTATTTCAAGACATGATGCTCCTAGTAGATGTATTTCTTTAACTCTGTGCTCGATTGATTCTCTCACGAAGACTACAACACCATCATTTTGGTTAACCTTTCTCGTGCTATTATATGTCACATAATTATGTTTTTGAGGGAGTGGTTTGTCAGGGTTTATTCTACATTCAGTTAGAACTATTGCATCGATATTTATGTTAAATGTTGATATATTTATGTCCAAGTCGTCAATATTTGATGTTTTATGGATGCTTCTTATATTTTGAGTAACCACTGAGAGAAAGGGAACAATTTGAAGTATTTAAAACACAATTACATTCATATATTAGTATTAATTTTAAAAGATGACTGAGAAGGTTTGTTATAGACTAAAAACATTATTAATAAATAAAGAACAACATAATAGCATATTATTTTATTTGATTAAAGTTACTTAACAAAAATAATAGATAATTGTGTATCCTTTACAATTTTTGGTTCCATAATCACAGTGGCTTAGAAAACCACATAATGTGGTTGATGTTGATTCGTTGTTAGAAACGTAGGTGTTGAGACTAGGGAAGTTAGAACTAGACTTAAGATGCAGCGTCATATACTACACTGCGTCATCAGAAATCTCGTCGCACCGATCTTCCAACTCGTACTGCAAAAAAAAATATATTTAGAAGTATTCTATATATGTAAGTATTGTATAATTCAAATTGTTTTACCGAATTAATTTATCAGTGCGATCTAGAAGGTACAGACCAAATTAAAACGCAATTAACTGTCACTTAAGATATTTCTTTTGTCCTTGTTTGTTCCTCTGATTATGGTTGATTGACAAGTTGACAAAAGGTAATATGCGCTCATAAAGTTAAAACTATTGCCATAATATTAAAAAAAAGGTAATATGCAGGAACGGGTCTTAGCGCGAACTACAACTCGGGAATGTCAAATCCAATACGTATTTGTTAAAATTGTACTCTACAGACAAGACTAAATAAAATCGATTAGTGAAATGACGTAGTTTATTTTTTTAAATGATACATATACGAGTATATACATAAATATTGCCATAATAATTACCTCATCGAGCTGAAGACACTTCCCCCATTCGGCCAATGTGATGCGGTGATCAGCGTCTTCATCACAAAGATCTAGGAAAGGTGCGATGCAGTGCTCCAAAGCCATCAGTGGAGCACGGATTGGGAACAATTCGTGACGGGAGACGAACCTGCAAAGAATGAGATATTGGTGGAATTAGATAATATTTGAGTGTGATAATGTATTTTTGCATCCAAACACGTGTAATGAAGAGGTTGTATAATGACAGATAACCTCACCTGTCATTGTCATGTGTGTCAAGGTCACACCACTTCCAAATAGCAGCATTGGTCCACCTGCGGGTGAGGTTAGATTCGGCCTCTCTTTCCATGCGCATGAAGTGCGCTGGCAACTCGCGCCTCTCCGCCATGTCACGCATTATGTTGAATAACCAGTCACGCATACGACGCGGGAAGTCAGCCATTTCGCTTTCAGTGCACTCCTGTATACATGACAGATGTCCAATAAAACGTCAAGTCGAAATCGGGCGATGGGGCAGGGATGGGGGCTAACCCCAGATAATTGATTAGAAAACGTTATACACTAAGGAATTTAAACTAAATGCGTCATATTTTTAATGACACTTGTCAACATTGTTGTTGCAACAACATTGTTCACTATTTTCGATAGGACATCACAGGCTGTGTTCAATTCATTCATTTTTTTAATAAACCTCATTTTAAAAATAAGTCATATAGAATTTTTAAATTAATCTTCTCTTTCAATGTATCTGCCCATCACCCGATTTTAGCTTGGCGTTGATTTCTGGGACACCTTTATAATTTAACAACTAAATGTTAGTAATACTGTAAGTATTAGGATCCGCTTACAAATGCAAAATCCATGAAGTATGATTGTATCATGGATGGCACTTTATACATACAGGCATTTCACGGCATTCTCCATAGTATTCAATCTGTACGTGGTGGTATTGTGGGCCACGGCAGAGCTCGGACCCGTCTAAGCAGAGACAACGCTGACGGTATACTTCGCAGTCGGATGTCCAAGTCTCGTTGCTTTGAGTGCATACCTTTAAATAAAATATATAGGATATATCTAATAACAACCTAACATGTTATTTCATAGCAGGCTTTCTTTAAAAATTCCACAACACTCACCATAGTCTAATGGCAAAGTTACGAAAGTATTTGTTTTTCTCTTTTTATCACAGCGTAAACACAATATGACAGAGAGAGAAGAAAGATTACTTCAGGTAACAGAGTGCAAATGGACTGATTGTTTTTTTTTGAATAAGGTTATTCAATTAGTTGTGACCCGTTTTTTCAACCGCGTCAATTGTGTTATAAAATAAATATTTAGAAAAATTTACGCAATGCAAAATATAATTATAACTAAAGAAACTATTTGGATCTGTGTAGAGATATTTGAGATATAATTGGCCGTAAAATTATAAATATATTCTCTTCTATATATAACCTGATTTGTGTTTATGTAATAAAATATTTATTATTATGCGAACCTTTCGGCGCGAGTCTGTCTCATAGGGACACTCTTTGATACAGTTGCATACAGCGTCACCATGTTCGTCGATCTCGCACACGCGACCAGCGCTACAGTGCACCTTCAGGCAAGGATCTGCACACACACACAATTATTCTTACGGCTATCAAAAATCTGTAAAAACCGCGAGTATAAATTCATCTAGAAAATTCTCTGGATTGTTATTAGGCTGTCTCATTTGAAGACACAAAAATTTCAACAATATGAGTGATTTTAAAAGAAGATAATTTACCATCCATGAAGACTTCGTTCTCTGCCTCCTCATTCGAATCCCCGTTCATCAGTTCATTAACGCGCGCTTTTTCAGCTTCCTATGGGCGTAAAGATATCATTATTATGGAGCCACAGGAAAAGTAGTGGTAAATTGAAGACATGTTACACTGTGGTAAAAAAATACGTTCTTGTTCTTATATTTCATATACTTACGAAATTCAGTTTACATGTAAGGTAGTAAGGTAAGAAGGGACCTTACTATCACATTATGTATATGTTTTTAGGATCTTAGGTAGTATTATATGTATAATGCGGAAATGTTGGAGAGACTGGGGCTGCGTGTGCCAAATAATCACACTCGGAGTGGTAAGCGTTATAATTAGTTATAAAAAGGTTTTGGTTTTTGGGATTTTTTCTTTTGTTTATATTATGTTTTTAGTTTAATTTTAATATTAATAAGTTTTGTACGGAAATAAATAAACATTGCTTTCCGAACTGAACCAACTCAATCCGACAATCGAATCTTGTACCTACCAGTGGAGTAATTACCTTGAATTGTAGCATTATTAAGAACCAAAGTAAACCTTAGAATCGAGCTGTGAAACTGGTATTAATACACATCGAAGCACCCACATATAGCAAGTAAAAATAATACATGATGAAATATAAATAATTTAAACTTACCTGGAAGCGCCTCTCATCAAGCTTTTCAGCCATTGCCAATTCAATGTGTTCAGCCTCTGTGTCAGTGCGATGAAGGGCTGGTGGGAAAAGCCGCGCCGCGGCAAACATCGCCGGTTCCGTTGTCGTTGTAGTGCGCAGGCGCCGGTGACGCCGCCGCTAAAACGTTTCACGTTAAACAAATGAAAATAAGGCTTTAAGTTAAATACTTTTATGCCACTTAGACATAGGAAGAATACTGTGCTATAAAAACACAATGATATAAGAGTCGATTATAACGTTTTCGTAAGGAATATACAAATCAATACATAATTAATTTATATAGGTAACTAGTGAACATTAGGAAAAAAAATTATGGTTCTAACTTCTAAATTTACATTTAGTGCCCGTTCTCAAATGAAAGGCGTAGAACTAGAATTACTGTTACTTAACTCTCCGCCAGTATTTTAAATCACCCAGTTCTTTACGTCATGCACCTCATCACATGTTAATTCAATAAATTATTATACTAATAAATCAAACCCCAGAGCTGTTGCTTTCCTCGCTCAACGAATAAGTATCGCAATACAGCGAGGAAATGCTGCGTTAAAGGTACACGTCACAGGGACCAAACTTTTTTAATTTGTTTTAATTTTTAATTATTTCTATTATTACTATGTAGGTTAAGAAAATTGTAAATACTGTATATTTGATTGTTTTGTTTAGATTTTAATAAACGATAAATCAGAAAATGTTTAACCTCTATCACCAAGCGGTGAAATACATGCGCTTATTGTGGGAACAACAATAAATAATCATCTACCTGAATAACACTCAATAATATTTTTTCAGTATTTTTATTTACAATTGTATTAACTTACCACGGCTTCAGTGGAGCAAAATGCGGCCACCAACACGGCCAAGAAAAATAGTTGGCCCTTCATTGTGTCACCTGTAATTACAAATTGAAATGACATACTTTGTATTGAGAATGTAGTTTATTGTTTATGCCGCCGATGCGAAAACCGCTGTGTGAGTTTGAAAAGTGAGTTATAGAATCGCAAGGCTGGTTGCTTCAGATTCGACTGTGAATGAACTTTTTTGGCATTTAACAGTCGCTCGTACGGTGAGGGATAACATCGTGAATCTGGCGTACCTTTGACCCAAAAAGTCGACGGTGTGTGGGCTGATCACCTACTTGCCTATTAAAAAAAGGAAATGTTCACTCAGAACACACAGAACAGATACAGAACTTTTAGGGTTATAGCCCTACTGGCTGAAAGCCAGCCTTAACTTAGATTTATTGCTTAAATGCTGTGTTATAAACTGACGTTTAGTTAGCTTTGGTCACGTTCATTTGCAACAAGAGTAAGAACCAAAAATATGTATTGTAGTAATATGTTTATAAATAACTATATTTCGCCAGCTGATCGCGTGGAAAGTGCTATATTTTTTTGCAACCTCCTTAAACAAAAATCTTTTATTTCAGTCAATTAACTTACATAAAACCATATATGTAAATACTAGATACTTAGAAATAGATTATACTATCAATTGTTGAAAACTGTACAAATATCCGTTCTGAAATTTTGACACAGCCTTAACGATTGTGACGGGGGACTCCATTATCTACACAAATAAAAGAATGTCGTGTGAAAATTGGTGGGGAGGTAGCTTAGAACCGGAAGCCAGACTTTGTATCCTGTTTCCGTGGGATGTGACAAAAAAAGGTGGTATAACAAAACGCAACAAGCAAAAAAACGAAAAATGTATAAGTCAATACATCAGTCTAAAGGTTAACCGTTCATTTAGTAATACATAAAAAATGTCTATCACAAGGTGCTTCACTGAATAGTGCAACCTAGGCACCAAAAACATTGCCAAAAAAGAATCATTAAAATACTTGATTTTTTTATTTATATTTATTACCCTAATAAAATACAATATTTGCTCATTTATTGCTTCTAAGGCGGAACAAAGTTCGCCGGGTCAGCTAGTATCTAATAAGTATAAATCTATTTACATTAAACAATGTTATCTCAAAGTTTTTTAACACAGCGTTTGAGAGCTCCGATTATGTTATGAATGCGTCATAGTTAGCCACGAGCAAAAGCACGTTTCGAAGAATCGCCACAGAATGTCTTCACGTTCGCACTTCGCGTCCCGTATCTAGGGATACGAAGGAGATATTTTAACACACAACAGGTCAACTGCAGTGTTACCCAGAACTGGCGAAACGTATATTATTTCCATTGTTTCCTACGGAGACAACATTTTTCTATACTCATTATTTTTTTGAGAATCAGTACTGGCTGAGGGCATCGCTCTAACAAGTTCACTGTCCCTCGAGTTACCCGACTGACCCGAACTATCACGTTTCCGACACTCAGCGTAATATGACCGCAAAGGCGCTTTATGATTCAGTGTTCGATATGATGTATCACTACATAGTATAAAACATAGTCGCTTCCTCTGTCCCTATGTATGCTTAAATCTTTAAAACTACTTTTAAACTTTTTGATGCGGTTTTTTTTAATAGATAGAGTAATTGAAGAGGAAGGTTTATAGGTATAATAACATCCATTAAATATGGATGGAGAAATACTGTTATTTTTGAGGTTTCTAATGTGATGTCGTAAATCTTAAATAATTACATTTTTTCCCGCTTACATTGCGAACCCTACGAGATTTATCAAAATAATGTACTTAGTGTTGTACACATTGAAAAGGTCTACAGAAAACTCCGCGCTGGTATATGTCTACCTATTATGGATATCCCACAATAACATTTTTTTGTCATTTACTTTTTACGACAAATAGTGGCTAATTTTCGAAGTGATTTTAACCAATACAGCATTAATCCTTATCCAATTAAATACCTTAAATACATTGTTGATTTAATATAGATCTATATGGGCCTTTACAGCATTATGATTTAAATGAATATAACAAATTTAAAAATTGCTATATTATTATTATAGCACTTTGAATTTAGTATCAGCATTGCATCCGTGCGAAGCCGGGGCGGGTCGCTAGTAATAAATATATCATTCGATTTGTATAACTCTATTTCTAAAACTATGAATATTGTATGATGTCATGCATTTTATTACCGTCCCAAATTTATGTTAACTGGTTTTCTACGAAACTGTATCAGCATTAGTTGTGTATTAATATTAAGGCCGATTTACATTATCTTAGTGTTTAGGAGAGTGCTTTAGGATAGTACTTTAGTTGAAACATGTAAACGCTACTTGCTTTAGTACGGTTCTACTTGACTTTCAAGTTGAATCAAAATAGAATCGCTTTTTATTTTTGTTTCAAGTGATACCCTCCTGCCCCCGCCGGGGTGCCCCGCCCCGCCCCCCCCCCCCCCCCCCCTCCCCCCTTTTTCCCTTTTCCTCCCCCCCTCCCCCGCCGGCCCTTTTTTTTTTTTTTTTTTCCGCGCTGTTTGGTGAAATAGCGCAACCCTCCGAGATCTTCCCTCGTTGTGTGTAAACACGTAATTTAGTACAATCTTTAGGAGAGTGCACAAGTGCCGTGAAACGCGTGCGTGTTTTTTGATTTTTAAAGATGGCTAAATGGTCGGAAGATACAACTATCAAATTTGTGTCTGAATATATTGTTCACGAATGTTTGTGGAACGTTAAAAACAATTTATACAAAAACAAACAGGCTAGGCATTCGGCATACACTGCCTTAAAAGAAGCTATTTTATTTATTATTCATATTTAGTTTATTTATTTCGAATAAAATCTCGTCTTGTATTTGTTCCATAACTACAGTTAGTATTTTATTTTGGTAGAATAGAGCGTATTTGCCGACGTCGTTGCGCGTTCATTGTGGCGCTGTAATGAATAATGATACTACTCTACTGGAAGAAATGTAAACGTTCACTCGCAACGCACTAAAGCACTAAAGAACTTGCCTGTCAACTTGTACTAAAATACTCTCCTAAACACTAAGATAATGTAAATCGGCCCTTAAATAGGGTAGGTGCAGGAGGGAAGAAGTCCGCGTGTAAAGCTCAGTAAACCGCTAATACTTCCGACATTTTGTTCCACAAAACTCTTTTAACAAACAATGCACTGTATTAAATGCTTAACTAGACGTACTTTGATGGTTTTTTGTTTATCTTAAATTGATTAAATTTTCCAAAAAAATAAATTTTTAGTTTTTTGAAGAAAACATTTATTGGAACCTTTTTCTGTTTCTTTTATATTCTTTAAAAACTGTGTGTTATATTTAAATGTGGTTCTATTTACCTTACACGTGTTGTTTAATTGTATAAATATTAAAAATAGCTATTGAATAAAAAATATTTCTGTTAATTGGAAGAGGTTCTATCTTTCGACCCATATGGCGTAATAAACATTGATAATTGAATGTAACGAATGCTATTTGTTTCTATTGACCTAAATATGCGGTCACCTCGCAATTTGATTCCATGACACCAAGTCATTGATGATACAACCGTGCAGTCTTGCAGGCCGTTTCAATTATTGAATGGCATATAAATTAATATGATTTCTATAGGCGTATATGCGTTCGGCGAATGAGATAGAACGCAATCGAGTTTATTTGTTTTGAAGTGAAACTTCTTTAGGCGGATAAGGGTAACATTTTTACCGATACGTCACGAAGATGTGCAGCGTTTTTGTCGAAGAAAAGGGAGAGAGCTATTGAGACCGATTGAGAGAGAGTGAGAAGGGCTAATTACCTTATAGAAATTCTATTTTTAAAATTAAAATTTCGTAAAGAGAATTTATGAAATATTAGTATTTTATATAAAATAATTTATTGAAATCTCAAAAGACGAATTGTAAATTAAAATGCCACGTTATCGAATTATCGAAGAAATAAATTTAAAAAATTAAATTTATTATTTGTATTAATTTTCGAAACTTTTAGTATTTTAATAACAATTAAAATCATTAAATTCCTAACATATCTTCCCGTTTCCTTCCCTCTAAGTCTTGGAAATTTTTAGATTTGTATAAATATGAACAAGACTTAAAAATTAGTTTGCCAAAAACTTTCACTTCTTACACGCGTACTTCGTACGCACGCACTTTTTATTAAAAGGCCAGTATCATTGCGCGCTTTGGTGTAAAACCTTTTTTGTCGGAGGGCAAAAAATAAAAATATTTTTATTCTTTTGATCTTGATAGTCTTCGCCACTCGGCACGTTAGAAATACATTTTCATACTCTGTAACCCGCTCTAGGGGTTCTGTCTTATTATCAAAGAGGCTCCTAACTACCAAGGTGCAGTAAAAAGTTTTAGCTTTATAAAATCCGTTTGATAGTGTTTTCCATAGTAAGTGGTCCCTTACGACACGTATAAAATAACGTGTGAATTTATACTGGTATTTGAAATCCAGTAGCTTCAGAAACGCGACCAAGCGCAAACTATATAATGCCGTATGTCTATATAATCCTTCACAAAGGCTACGTGACTTCTGATAGAAATAGCGACTTTAATATCCTCTATATTTCATACATAATTTTAAGTTTATCAAAGCATATTGAAATACATATATCGTAATGGGTTAAATCCTTCATTTTATTTATTATATTATGGGTATTTTTGTCTGCGCCATCAATTCTTAATGAATAATCGAGTTAATCGTGAGCGATTTTTGAGATAACGTTAGATAAAACATAATTCAGAAAATATTGTTCAAAAACATGCCTACGTACCAGTATGAGGCAAGTTTTTTTGTAAATAATGAATGGCGGGCCTATATGATGATGTTTCCAGACTCGGAATCATCTGGCGCATCGTTTAAATGAAACCGTCTAGATTACATAAATAACTCAAGGATTGCAATATTATATTTCTAAGTTAGTCGAGGAAAGATTATATAAGGCATTTATATTTAACTTTTTATTAATACAACCGTATGCCTGTCCAAAGTTACGACAGGTACAATACAGAAGAAA